CATCTTCGGTCTCACCCTCCTGGTATAATTACCAAATTACCATATGAGAATTGTTGTCAACGAAGAAAAAAAAAACATATTTGACAATCATCTAATTATTAGAAAATCCAAAATCTAGTAAAAGACGTACTCTGCACAACAGAAACTTGGACTCATTCAAATTAGTTAGGATTTTTTTTTTTCTTGTTGGCAGCAGTCAAATATATTTTGTACACCTACGCTTTTTGCTTAATCATTAAATGTTGAATTCGTGTATCTTTGTGTACAGAGAACCATGCATAAACACTAAAGGCTTTTCACTTTTAACATACGAATGACCAAGCACCACCAATATTAAAAAGAAAAACTCAATACTGTATCATATATAAAGTGATCTTTTTATGTAATTAATATATGATCCGTAGTGATGCAGACTCAATCTCAATATAGATCAAACTACAGTCAACATTGTTTTACACGTAAAAACCACGTTTAACTTTTGTGTTTCCGTTTTTGTGTTAAAGAAACGCAAATATGAAGGAACAATGCTTTGTGAAAGAAGGGAATATAGAGAGTACTTGTCGAAATAGAAAGCGAAAGGGGCCATAACAATGGCAGCAACACCATGACGGTAGACGACAAGGACGTAATTGCTCATGCCTTCGTTTAGGACAGCTTTTGTGAGAATGTCCATTCCTGCTAACCCTACTTGCAACAATACCACTAAAATGAATGGCATTGCCTTCTTCAGACAATCCATCTTCTTTACTTTTTCCATCCTAGTAATTTAAGATCAGAAAACCAAAAAGAAAAACTTAAGATCAATAGTCACTTTCAACACACACACACACACACAAAAAAAAAAAATCAACAGCCTCTGTCTCTCTTTAGATATGTGCGGAGATAAAGTAGTAACAATTTCTTTATTTTCGAATGAGGTGTTATGATAATTATTTTGGTTACTATCTCTCTTTAAATAAGGCTAAATATAGAGAACATGACGTGAACATTCTTCTCTCTATGGAAACTTAAATAAAAATAATAACATTTAAAATGTTTTATCTGCTATGACGTTTACAAAAAATAAAATAATATACCGACTCAAACAATTCGTTGATTATATTTTCTTTTGTCAAAAAAATGTGTAGCTGATTTCTTGTCAAATAGAAATGTCCAATAAATTATTTCGTTTTTTTTCATATGAAATTTTCTCGAATAATTAATTTTTTTAAAAGTTTATCCTTCAAAAATATATACATCTTTTATTTATTATAAATTTAAGTTTTTTTAAGAAGAAAAAACCTCGGACCCATTCAATTGTTTCGTGGGTTTGCCCTCTTGGCCGCCACTGTGTGTCCCTTATCAAAATACATGTGTAATATTGTTTTCTTTGTTTGTTATGCACTTTGAGGGGTTTACCTTATCAACTTATTTACCTTATCAACTTAAAACCACAAAATGGTTAAAGGTTTAAATTTTTTATTTGATCTTTGTCTTCACATTACCGAATTAAAACAATAAAAATTGTTCTAGTAATGTGAATACAAAGATCAAAGTCGCACGCACATTGTATTAATATTCTCTCATTTGATACATTTTCTTGATCCATCAAGTTGTTAGTAACAACGGAGATATGGAAGTCTGGAAGAAAATAGTTGGTTCTTAACTAGTACTCTGTCAATAATAATATATAGTCAATTATCAGTTATGTTCCACCTACAAAATGCATTGTGAACATTATATTATTGACATCAATGCTATGATACAACATCATTTATGAAAATATAAGTTACATCGTTAATAATGCATTTCTTTTTGTCGGAAATTTGAGAATAATTTGTGTGGTTCCACATAAATATATTCCAGTATCGCGAGTGGATATTATTGTGTCTTCCAATTTCTTTCACATTATACTTTTTTAAGATGTTTGAAAAAGTATCTGGCTGTATATGGCATATTAGGCAACTGTGGCTGTATGATAATACTACTATAATATTTACTAACAACAAAAACTATAGAGGCGGTAGTGTAGCCAAAATCAAATTGAATTGTTAAATTAGGATCTTGTTCAACTATTCCAAGAACTTGCCTTGGAAACGTGCTACCTAGCTTAGTTCTGATGCAATTTCTTATGTCATTTTTATAATAATTTCCTTTGTATATTACGTTAAATAGTTAAATACGAGTGCGAGATTAATTAATAGTGATTATAATTTATAAATAAGTTCTAAAAAAATTGGAGCTGGATATTATTTTGTTAGTTTATGGAACCTTTTTAGCATTAATTTAGACAAATCTCATAATGTTATTGCTAAATTTAATTATATAGTCAATTCCGTCTAAAATGGATGAATATTTTTACCTGAATTTACAATAGCCCAAATAAATTCCAAGTAAAACCACCATTTCTTTAGACTTTCTGCATGTCCATGGAGTTTTGAAATATCCAAACATAAATATTCTAATTCCTTTGTTGGATTCGAACTATTTCCCATGTTACCGAATGATATGACTTAAATTAAGGACTAAGAACTGAGTACTGTTTAGCTAAAACAGATCGTCAAAACCTCGTTAGCGAATAAATCGCCCCTAGTATATGGATCTGGAGTTCTGGACATCTGGTCAAGATAAGTTCACTTACTCTCAAGAAAATCCAATATATTTTTACATGGATAAGGTGATTGGTTGACTGGCGGTCGACTTAAAAGAAAAAAAATATCTTTTTTTCCTGAAAAATGCATGTGATCACTAAACTTATTTGCTCACTGAAGATATTTATATATCCCATACGGCATACGCGCAAAAGTTTGAATTTGGAGCTGACATCTTTCTGTGACACGTCACAAGATCACAAAAACATATACGATCACGACAGTTGTGTTCGCCGCCATCTCGAGATGATAAAAAGCACAAGTATGACTCTGAATCTACGACAAAGGAATCCATAGAGAAAATTATCTTGGTTTACTAGAAAGAAGATAAAATGTAAAAGTGACTGTACATGCATAAATAACGATAAGCTTCATCTTAATTATATTTTACGCTGAACGTAAGGGATGACTGTACATGCATAATACAACGTTAAGCTTCATCCAAATAATATTTTACGCACAAATTAAGTGACTGTACATGCATGATACAACGCTAATTAAGCATATCCAAATAATATTTTACGTAAAACATTGAATATATGCGTGATGACTTTTGTGAGAGGCTGACAGCATCCGTTATTGACTTTTGTAACATGAATGGCGTTTTTGTGAAAATCACATAAGAATTTTAAGGTTGTCTACCAAATTTGATTGCCCATAATTTTATATTGTCTGACGACTGACGACATTATTAATGGATAATGATTCCACGGCTGCGTTTTTTGCTGAATATATATAAGTCAACACTGAGACGGAGAGACTTGGAATTCAAAGAGGAAAAGGAGGAGGATATGGCCATGATAAATTTGATAATGTGTTATCGAGAGAGAAAGAGAGAGTGTGTGTTCACAACAGTTATAATTTATTAAATTAAATTATCTTTTAGCCCTAATTTATATTCGAAAACCCAATTAGGAAAATGCTGCATGTCAACTTAGACATGAGTTCTTTCCACTTTCCACTTCCAACTTAGATAGTTCTTTCCAATTGTATTTTGAAGGATGAATTTGCAGGGTTACTAACTAAATAGGACACAAAAGAAAGAATATAGCCATTTATCCAAAAAAAAAAAAAAAATATATATATATATATATAACTATCTAAACTGAATAAAATATATCATCTTCTCCTATTCTCTAATCCCCTACTATTCTCTTCTTTGCAGAATACAAATGTTTACCCCATTACATTTTCTATTTATTTGAAGGAGCATATATTTCCATTTCAAATAATGAAAGATGCATATATGGTAGAAAATCTATTTACCATTATGAGAATACCTTTTCAATTTTTTTCTTTTTTCTCAATATCTATATTACCTTCTCAAAATAGTCGAGAGACAATTATACTCTTTCGATCCTATTTCTTATAGTTATTTTGTATTGTAATTTGAAATACCTTCCACACTTAAAATTATTTTCTTTAAAATGGTTTTCAGTTATTGGTATGAAAATTAGAAGATGCAAGTATGCATTGTGACAAAAAAAAAGTAAAACGATGGCGAACCCACTACTATATAATAATATACATCTTGAGAGTTGAGACATGCAAATAATATCCAATCACACAGCAAAAGAAGTTTCAACAATCCTAACATGTCTTCTATTTTTCTTACTACTGTTTTTTTTTTTCTCTTTATGTTTTTGAATCATTATGGGTATGGTTTGGAAACATATAGATATACGGTCACATTCGATAGGAGAGTTTGGGACGAAACTAAAAGGAAATGCAGAAACATCACATCACAGATAATTAAGTAATGAATTTTGCCGCTTCTTTGCGAGCTACATTCCGCTTTTCAAGAACCACCAATACGCTGACTTTTGCGTAGCCTGAGACCTTCCAGCAGACGACTGGCCAGCTTGGTTGATCTTGATTGTTTGTGGCTGCAAGAGCAAGATAGTTTGCAAACGCTTATTGTCATTAACACTCATTTTATCTGGGCCTTAGTCCGGCTTACTGAAACCAAGCCCATACATAATACTCCTTAATCAAGAAATCAATGGAAACGTATTCTTCAAGTAACCTCTAATGCCTTGCTTACTTCACAGTTGAATACACAGTTTAACAGAACCACACGAATGGATCATCATAGCATGCGGAAACCAAATCAAAGGAAAAGTAAATTGTCCTCTAAATAAAAGAAAAATACACAAAACAAATTGTTTAAAAAAGAAAAAGAAAAACGAACATACTTGGATTAATGACTTAATGACCCATTACAGTTAATTTTATTAATCCAACAGGAAGCCAGAGAACTCCACTCCTGCATACATAACCATGTGGACGTCTTTGTTTTATTATAAAGAAGATGATCATAAATCTGATTTCATCATTTTATTGACAACTTGATAAACTTTTGCTTCCAGATTACGCTAAAACAGAGCCTTTCAACACAGTCACAGCTTTTCCAGTGAGAAATACTCTCTGCTTCTCCTTATCATAACGAACCTTCACCGTTCCACTCCTACGAGAAGCCTGAAAAAAACAAACCTATTGGTTGTGTAAACTGTTTCTTCCTTTCTTAGCTTCTAAACGTCAATAAGTTTTGAGAGAGAGAGGAATCACCGAGTAAGCGAGGAAATCAAACTTGTTCATCTTGAGGCTCCAGTAATATGCTAATGAACAATGTGCACTTCCACATACAGGGTCCTGAAGAAACAAAGATCCGAACAAGACATTTAGTTATTTGTTTGTCCCTAAGAAGTGGATTGAGGATGGTTCATATTTTTTTGACCTCATCAACTCCTAATTTGGGGGAAAAGAAGCGACTACAGAAATCATAATCAGATCCTTCAGGAGCAGCAGCTGTAACAATTATTAATTTTCCGGGGCATTTCGACAATTCATCAATTCTTGGCTGTAGTTGAGTGACATCTTCCCAACATGGAAGCTCAACCTGTAATCAGATTGATAAGAAATTTTCTTAGCAACACATCTTTGTTTAGAAGCAAAATATCAAGAAAGCAAAAGATACACATAATTTGTTTTTTGTTTTTTTATTTTCAAAATGCATACAATGATTTTATCGGTTGAACTTGCTTTGGCAGCTCCACTGAAGAAGGACTTGGAGATTATTTTATCGGTTGTTGTTGTTGTTTCTCGGACATCAACAATGGTAGCTCCGTTTAAGGCTTTGGAAAACATGGACATGTCATGATTGGAACTATGCTCACATGTTGGAATCACAGGGAAATCTAATTCGATAAAGAAGAATCCTTTCATTTTGTTATCTGGAACTCGCTTGGCTGTAAGAATCCCTGATCGTGTTACAAACTCGACCTTGTCTGAATCAACCAAACCGTTTGAGAAGAGACTATGAGCGGATGCCAAAGTTCCATGACCACAAAGATCAACCTACACGTTAAGTAGTGTACGAGATTTAAATATATAACCACCAAGTATTTATCACAAGTTATCACAATTAGTTTGGCTTAATCTGTTTTAAAGTAACTCCAACTCTAGAGTCGAACTCGAGATCAATTTCTCTTAAAAAAATTAACAGTCGAAAGTTAACCTTAAGAGAAACAAAGTCAAAAGTGGACAAACCTCGACTGTAGGGGTAAACCACCGGAGACGGAAGCGAGCATTGTGACCAGTGATCGGAGTCAGAAAACAAGTTTCTGAAATGTTGAATTCGGCGGCGAGAGACTGAAGCCATGCGTGGTCTCTCTCATGATCATCTTCGAAAATGCACACTGCTGCTTGGTTCCCCTTAAAGGCTGACTCAGTAAATGCATCAACCTGATTTAGCAAACATTTATCAATCTCGATAAGCTAAAAAAGAAGAAGGGGAAGGAAGTTACAATTTATAAAAGTACATTACAAGAAAACAAAAACAAAGAATATAAGATACGATTACCACAAAGAACTTCACGGGCTTCTTCATGATCATGGCCATATTCTTCTCTCTTTGTGGCTCTTTGAAACCTACGTCTCTCGGTGTTGACTTATATAGTATGCAAAAAAAACGCACCGTACGTGGAACTATTATCCCGTTTATTAACTAAAATATTATAAATAGATAGCCGTAATAGTAGTACTCGTTTGAAATCCATGTGAGAGTGAGAGTGTTTGATTACAACTTGAATTCCTTTTGCCTAAGCCCATCTGTGACCGTCACTTGACAATTTTAAACATATTCCAAAAATCATTAGTTATCTCAAAACAAAATTTTGAACAACATTTATCTAATCAATCTTGAGAAGCTAACAAGAAGGGGAGGGAAGTTACAAAAAGAAGAAGATGATAAAATTATCATAAAGTACTTCTTCATGATCATTATCAAAGCTGTGATTCTGTGAACCAATGCCATTGCCATGCCTAACCAACCCTCTATGATTATTATTATTTTTTTTTAAGGGAAGATAGATCTGGACCGTTGGATCTTTGTACGTGAGAGAGATCTGTTATAGTTTTGATCGACATGTGGTTTTGTATATGTACAAAACACTGTCGTTTGCTTACGTGATAGAATTCCTCTATTGGTGAGCTCGTGATTTTTGGTTACATGTTTTTTTTTATATGACGAAAAAATCACACAAGATAAAAATATAGAATTCTATCTCACATTAATGTAAGTGCATTTTCTACATCATACATGTTACACAAAAAAGTCGAAAAAGGGTGGAAAGAATACTAACTTTGCCTAATATTTTGTAAAAGTCGATAATTTTTGCATAACACTGTTTTTTACTGGCATTACTTTTGCATCATAGTTTATATTTCCGGAAGTACAAGCACTTTATACAAAGGATTAATTCAATTTTTAATTTAATTGCCAGCTTGGTCACGCGCTAATGAGAAAATTCTTTGGAAAACGAAACAACGGATGTCATATGCGTCTCGTCTCGCTGGATTCTTCAAAATAAATTGAGACAACATAAGAAACTAAAAATAAAAACACACACTTATATAGGGTTTTGTGCAAAAAAACCTTTCAACTAAATTAATTTTGCAAAATAAACCTTGAATTTTGTTTTTGTGCAGGTCAAACCCCAGAACTCAAAAGTCACTGGGTGTATAGGCGACGTGTCTCTTTTTAGACCACGTAAAAACATCAAAACACTGCGTCTTGGACATTAAAACGGCACACAGTTTGCGGACAAAACTAAAACACGTGAAATCAATGGGTTCTTGAATCAATTTGGGGAAAATCTTAAATCGATTTGGGGAAAAGTAAATTAGGGTTCTTGACCATTTTAGAATCCTGCAGTCATAGAGAATCGTGTTGAGATTGGCGAGATTGACGTGTTTCTCTTCAAATCCGAAAAGCTTGTTGATCATTTGATGAGGACTTGACAACAACCATAAGATAGCAGGGCTGTGAGAGATCCATGGGGCTGTGACCGTCGAAAACCTGCATAATACGGTTTCCGTAACTGGGACGAGCTTATCCTGAGGTACGCATATACTCTGTTTTCTTGGTTTCTTATAACTTTGTATCAGATACTTGATTGTGATTATGGCTGTGGTAACATGGCAGTGTTTGATCTTCGGTTTGGATGATATAACGGTTTGATTTGGTGTGTAATGGAACAGATCGTTGGATGATGAGCGCAAGACGGCGAAAGAAGGGTATAGGATCAGAGGCAATTCAGGTGACCAATGGAGTGATTTGTTGGGATCTGCAATTCAAAGCTTCCTTAAACTCTTACGTCCCCAGCAAACGCTATTGATAGCATCCCAAGGTTCTTGGCATGTTTCCCAATGTACTCAAAGGACTTGTCAGTGAGGAGACCAGAGACTGAGAGCCGTTGAAGATCCTTGCATCCCATAGCTATGGCTTTGAATCCTTGATCAAGCGGCTCTTGTGTTTTGTAATCTGGAGCAAATGGCTATATCACACAGAGACGGAAACGCTTGATGCTCAGAGAGGTCTTTCAAACTTCCAAATCAATGTATTATTATATCCCCTGAAATGGGAAAACTCTAATTCGATTATTCAGGGCCAATTGTGGGTGAATCCTCTGAAGCAACCTGCTATGTAGTTACTTGCTGCATATGTATGTGCTAATGACTTGTATCAGCTCTATGTTAAGAGAGCTTGTTCCACCAAAAGTTTATAGAGATACTAAAATGCCATTAGCTTTTTCTGGTTCAGGATTTGTATTGTTTGTGAAGTCGACACTAAACAGAACCAAATTTGAATAAGAAAATGGGACGGACACACACACACACACACACACACACCATTTGACTGATTCTGAGGGATACCATAAATTTTTGTGTAATGTGATAAAGCAATACATGTTTGATTAAGATTGTATATCTTCTTTCCCTTATCTTTTCACGAGTGCTTATACGTGTTATTCCACTATATGTCAGTTTGCAGATTTTCAAGAGAAGCTCCCATTCCCCATTTTCTGCACAAAACACTTATATAAACACCAACACTCGATAAGAGTAAAAGACAAATGAAGTTGAGAGAAACTCAAATCACGATGCATGCAATTCATTCAAATACTTCGAAGCAACGCCATTGAAACAAATATTAAAACAAAGATAATATCTTCAACATAGGCTGCAGTCATAATGCGATACAATTTGTTGAGCATATACACTAATAAGCATATTAATAACTAATAATTCCTAATTATAGCGGAACGATGGGCTTCAACTCATTCTATGAGAACCAAGACATCATTGCTAAGATAATGGAGAGGTATATTACCATCGAAATCAGCCGATTCAGATCTAACTCACCAACAATTCCGAGAAGTTTATCTACTGGATTTAGTAGAGGAGGCAAATGAGCAACCACATCGACATGGGCCAAAGGAACAACCGCTTCAGCTATCGCCTCTTCTTCGATTAGTTCCATGTCCTGTTGGTGAAGCATGAACTGGTGCAAAATTTGGTCAAGACTAAACAAAGAATCTTATATATAATTAGGGAGTTATCTTTCCATCTAAAGTATCACATTAGCACAAAAACATTAAACTGTATTTAAAATATTTATTAAATATATGACTATTCATATTTTTCTACATTTACTATTTGGTTTTGATTGAGAATCAATTTATCTTTGTATAAAATGATTATGTGGATAAAATTTGATCAAACCATTCTATGATTCTTTTATAATTCTGTTATCCGATTTGTTTGTAAAAAACAAAATTCTGTAACCGATAAGCCGTTGAATCATCATGGATGGGACCTTGAATCTGTCATCAGTTACTTCATATAGTTGAGATCGACCAAACATATGGCTTAGGTAGTTAAGTTTGGTGATATTTATTTCCTCAAATAGCAATTTATTATTCTCAGCCCATTAGAGCAAAACAAGCCTCAAAGGCCCATAGAGAAAAGTCTAACCTAAGAGACACGTGTAGAGTCGCGATTTTGTCTAAAGTAGGCCGCCACATCTATCGCCCTTGATTTTAAGAGTCATAATTTTACTATTTAAAACATCAAATCATTTGTCTTCTCCGTCTTTCTTCTTCTTCGTCGTCTTCTCAAATTAGCTTCTTTTCTCTATCGTCCTCCTCACGCCCAAATTCGTTGTGGATATCATATTTCTCCTTGATTTATCTGGTTTTTCCATGATCCGTTTCTAGGACTTTGCGGCTCGTTTGTATATATCTGGCTGCTCGGAGAATTTTCCCTCTCTTTCCGCACCAAAGGTTTCTGAGATCTCAGCGTTATTTCTGAATCGAAATTCGAGAATTTGGGCTTTTCCGTTGGGTTCTAGGGTTTCGAAGAGCATAGATATAATGCCTTCGGTGCCCTCTAAGCTTCTCGTTCTCCTTCTCCTCTCTTTGATCCCTTCGTTGACTCCTAATCATTCTGGTTTGTCTTCGCATCGTCTTAAACCTCTTGAAAAGTGTGATTGGCGTGGTAATCTTAGTTAACATTTCGATTCTCTTCCATTCTTCTTCTTCTTCTCTGGTCTCATCTACATACTCTCTCTCTCGCCCTTGAGATCTTCCTTGCTCCATTTAACCTCCACGAAGAAATTAATTGTGAATCGAAATCGTCGAACACAGAATCTTTGCAACGGTATGATATTTTGTGTATGAATCTTTGTTTTCGATTTGTGCTGAGATGGTGTCACTTACTCTTGATTACATTTTGAACTTTCTTCGTTGCAGTTACTACTCTTGTGACTACCTTCTTCTGCTATTGTTGGATATGAGCTCTGTTTGTGGTAATTTGGATTCCAAAGATGCAGGCTTTGAGATCGCCACGACTTCGAGTCCAACGCAATGCTCTAAAGGCTCGAAGCATTCCTCACATGCCGGATCTGAAGATTCTCAGGAGTCTGATGGAGATGAAACTGGTTATATAGACCAAACTGCAGAAGAAGAATCTGCTGAGAAGGATCTCGGCAAATCCACCTCAGGATCTTTACCTCCACAATCTTCAGATGATGAAGAGAAAGATGAGAATGTTACGATTGTAAGATAACTAGTTAACTATATCTATTTATATTCTCTGGTCTATTGGATTTGTGCCTTGTTCCTTATTACTTGCAAGACCATTATCAGTATAAGCTGTTGAGAATAAGTCCTCGAAATTGAGCTATGTGGTCACTTGATTGTTTCTTACCTGTTTGTTGGATTGCAACAGTCACCACCGGTTGTTCTCATTCCGGCGATTAAAGGAAGTAGGGAGAAGCATGGACTGTCACTGAGGAAGTCGAGTGTAACATGGGCTGATGATGTTTATGATCCTCCACCTTCCATAGCCTCGCACACGAGAAACAAGAAGCAGCAGCAGCAGAAATCCAAGAGCAAAGACAACCACAGGAAGACCGGAAAGAAAGGACAGAAGAGCAAAGACAACTCTTCCTCTCGCGGTGGTGGCAGCAGCAAAGACAAGAAGCAAGCATCTCGCAAACACAGTCGTGAGAAGTTTGATTGGGTTACTCAGATGCCTATCGTCGCTGCATCTTCTTGAAATGCCATATGGTTGCTAAATAACCAACCACATCTTCATCACAGCTATGAAGTATGAAGCTTGGCTTCATAGCGTCTAATAAATAATCAAATCTCTCTTTGTGTGTGTTTGTTTCATGTTAGGTTTTACTTATGGATAATGTTTGTTCCTTTGACAATTTTGTGAAGGTTTTTGTTGAAGTTTGTTGCTTCTTGTTTTCTCATATGGATTCTGTTTCGCTTTTGTGAAGAACTCGATAGAACTTTGTTATTGAATTGATGTTTGTCTTATTTGAAAGCAAAATCAGTCTATAAATCGAAATCATAACACAACAACAGTACATTAAACTCTGATTCTCGTTCTCAGTCTCAAGAAGTGTATTCAGCGTTGATCTTGACATAGTCATAGCTAAGATCACACCCCCAGGCCTTTCCGGTCGCTGCGCCTTCACCTGTTCACCGGAAAAAACCACACTCAGGTTCACAATACATGATGGTTCGTTTAGTATGGTTAGTGAAAAGAAGCTCTCACCTACGGACAAGTCCATGGTAACAGTTCCATGAACCTCACCGGCTTTCTTGAGGTAGTTACTAGCTCCGTCCCTGTGTACACACACATTTGTTAAAGAACTTGATCTACACTTCATTTTGCAACTGAGAGACGAAATCAGTTTGTAAGATAAACCTGTCAAAAGGAAGAGGTTGACCACTCTCCATGAGGGAAAACTCGCCGAGCGATATCCTCAGCTTATCCATCTGGAAGGAAACGCCGGCATAGCCAGCAGCTGCAGCTATTCGTCCCCAGTTCGGATCTCTCCCATATACAGCTGCCTGTCACACCAGCAAACGAAAAGATGTTTACAATAAGTTTACAAACAAGAATGTTCCTCACTTTTTGATCATTCATGTAAAGTCTATTTCTCATTCCCATACTTTGACCAGTGAAGAGGAAGCCACAGAGCGTGCAATTTTCGCTGCTTCTGCTTCAGTTTCTGTTCCTTTCACAGTTACCTCGATGAGACATGTAGCGCCTTCGCCATCCCATGCTATTGATTTGGCAAGTCCTTGCATCACCTGAACAGTTATCAATCTTAGGTTAAGTCCAGCTTATGAGAGCAACTGTTAGAAAGATAGCAAGAACATTACACACATACCGCATCAAGGCATGCCTGAAGCTGTGCAGCTTCGTTACAGTTCAAAGAAGATATAGAAGGTGATCCAGATAGACCGCTCGCCAAAGCAATGACTGTGTCGTTAGTACTCGTGTCCCCATCTACCTGAAAGACCATGTTTTCATTGGTTCAGAGCCTATAAATGATAACGATCCAGTTACACAACAATGTTTGAAACTGTGGATGTGTAACTTACAGTGATTTGGTTGAAACTTCTGTTGACTGCAACCTTTACCATCTTTCTCCAGATATCACTTTCGACTAGCGCATCTGTTGTGATGACCTGAGAGAGAGAAAATATCAGCGTTTAACATCAATGTGTATGGTTCAACGGATACTTGGCCAAAGGAAAAGTAATGGCTAAAGGACATACACCTAACATAGTAGCCATATTTGGATGGATCATGCCTGAGCCTTTTGCCATACCCCCAACTCTAATTGTGGTTCCACCAACCTGAGAAGTTTCAAGTTTTAGCAAGGATTTATGAAATGCAAGAAACATAGTAAAACGTGTTTCTTATACATACCTGTGATTCAACTGCCACGCTCTTGCTTACAAGATCCGTCGTAGTGATTGCTACAGCAGCAGTATCTGCCCTGCATATACAATACTCATACGGTTATGTCCAGTGGTTACTGAAGATTGTGACCTACGAGCTCAGATGGAGAGAAAGAAAAGAAGACTATACTGGTGAACAGAGTCTGATATCGAGCTGACTAGTGTTGGAAGTGCTTTGAGAAGCTCTTCCTGCAAAAGATTTACGAGTAAACTAACTTTAATCAGAGCATTTGGACAGAAAACAAAAGAGAATGAGAAATTTGTTTGTTTGTACCTTTTTGATCCTCTGGCCGATAACTCCAGTTGACTCTATCAACACTTCCCCTGGATTCACTTTTAGTAGCTACAAACAATAAAGAAACAATATGGGAACAATGTTGTAAAGTATGAGACTTTGCAACAGACACTAGAACGGAAGATATCAAAGACAATACCGTCGCAAGAGAACCAACACAATCTAACATATCTTGATAACCAGCATCACCCTGAAAAAATGAATGATCTCAATCCTTAATACAACCATATACAATTCAGGCTATTTCACTATCATATGAATTAACTCCTAAACAACGTAGCTCGAGATCTCTACTTACAGTAGCTGCATTGGCCTGACCGGCATTGATCAACACTGCACGCGCCTGAAAAGATTTCAAAACTCACTGATTCAAAGCTCAGAAAGCACAAAAATGGTTTGGTCTTACTCCGAAATCCAAATAATTACCGTTTTCGAAGTCTCAAGAACCTTTTTGCAGTAAACGACAGGAGCAGCAGCGACCACATTCATAGTAAACACACCTGAAGAAATTCACAAACAAGAAAAAGTCAGAAACTTTTTGCATCTCAACAAATTAAGGACTAACAAAAAGAAGCGAGCATTTTGGACCTGCAGCTACAGCATCGACATCACAGGTTACAAGAGCGAGATCAGGCTTCTTCCCTGAAGCTCGTAATCCAGCATACATACCAGCAGCTTTAAACCCTTTAGCTGCTGTAACTCCACCAGCTATCTAAACACCAACAACAAAAAGATTCAATTTTTCGAACTTTGTAGCATTTCAAAGAGATCCGAATTTTGGATGTGAAGTGAAGCAGAACAAAACCTGTTTCCATGACCCTTCAGGTAGAGAAATCGGAGCTGCTGCTATGCTAACTGACGCCTCCTCCATGCTCGTTGCCACTGCGAACACTCTTAATTCTCTCCGCGAAGACGCCACAAAACTCTGAGTAAAAAAAACACCTAAAGTGTCAAACTTTGTTTCTTAATCGGCAACCAATCACACAGAGAAAGTAAAGAGGGCTTCTTCAGAAGAGAAGAGACCTTAGGCGCGAAGAAATGGGGAAGCTTGAGAGAGGCGAATTGAGTATGAAAACAAGAATGCATCTTTTTGAGAACAGTCGCCGAAATTCGAGATCAACGAAGTTGCGGATTTTGATTAATTGTTGTCCTTCTTTTTGTACTTTTTGTGTCTGCAGATTGATTTTGTCTGAATGTCAAACCTTAAACCCTAAAGTCCAACCGCCGTTTTACCTCATCTAGCTTTTTTAAAGGTTTTTTTTATCGCCACTTTTGTTATTTTTACTCTCTCTGTTTGTAAATGTTTAGAGAAAATCGGAAACTTGGAAGAGAAGGATTTTGTTATGGGCTTGTTAAAGTTTTATAATCTGATCATATGAAGTCTCAAAAACTCAAGTCAATGTCTAATATGAATTTGCCTCTGCCTGGAATAAAACGAATGGCTCCAAGAAGCTATTTTCATTTCATACAAACAGAAATCTCAAGTGTTTTGGGTTTTGTTCATTTACACCACCCAATGGTTTTGTTTGTTGTGAAACCGGAACCAGAGGAAGATTGAGTTTCCTGCTCCAAAGGCCGTCTTGGTTCTCTAGGTCTTGCAGGATCCACAAATATGACCCAACCGTCCAAGAACTTTGCATTCATTCCTTCTTTGGCCTTCTCTGCGTCTTCTAATGTTGCATACGTCACAAAACCGAAACCCTTTGATCTCCCTGTCTCTCTATCTGTGATCACTCTCGCTGCAACACCCAAAAAAGAAACAAAACTTCTGTGACTGAATGATTTGGTTCTTTTATGGTTTAGATAAGGAATCTTTAAGGAGATGGTGAATAAATGGAGCTGAGTAATGTTGTTATACCATCCACGAGTTCCCCAAAAGGAGCAAATGCATCCTGAAGCTTTTCATTTGTTGTGAGTCTGGAGAGACCTATTCAAGTCACAATGATAGAGTTTCATCATATAATCTGAATGCCTTAAAGTCTTCTTGCAAAGTAAACATATTTTATACATCCATAAGTCAGAAACATCCTCATTTCTTGTTCTTTAAGAGTTCCACATTTTAACGATGAGAACGCACACTCACCAAAAGATCTAACTTCATTATAAGAAAAAGGAAAAATTGGCAAGTGGATATAAAATTTTATGTTGATTCCAGACACAAGATGAGAGTTTCTAACAAAACTAATACTGAAGAAGCAGGAGATAGCTTCTGTTTGGATTGTTGTTTCTCAAATGATCCACATACAAACCAAACAAACAATTATCATCTATAAGAGAGCAAAACCAATATCATCCAAGCTTACATATCTCATTACCGATATTCTCTATAGCAGAACCATTTCCTCTCCCTAAAATTTGTTCCTAAAGCGTGAATTTTAATTTGAGTAAAGTTAAAGACAATCCCAGAGAGAAATTACCGCTAACGAAGAGCTTGGGAGAGGTAAGAGTTGAGCAGTAGCGCACCAAGGAGGATGGCGAATACGAGAGGCTGTTGGATCCGGCGGAGATTCGGCGAAAGGTGGAAACGAAGGCCATTGTAGAGCAAGTGGGAGAAGAAATCAAATCAGAGAGCATCAGAGGAAACAGAGTGAATGAGTAATTATGTAAGGGCTTTTCAAAGGGGAAACGAAGCCCAAGTTAGCAAATCCTGATCCTTATCATCACTTAAACGTCGCCGTTTGCTCTGTTTCACATAGGTGAACAGAGAGATGAAAAGAACTGATGTGTAGATTGAGTTCTCTCATCTCTAGCGTTTGTTTTATCAGAAATTGCTACCTGAATTTTTTAATAAAATGCTTTTTGTTGCAGTTGACATAAGAACTTTAGCTTCAAACTTACACCTTACCCTCCTGAAGGCAAGTTATTTTAATATCATCCAAATTTTACATCCCCCCATGAGTTTAGTTCAACTTTTTGCTAGTTCTTTTAAGAGAAGTTTATTTAACGAAAGAAAACTTTGGAATAAGACTGAAGTGATTATTTTCTGGTTAGTAAGTTCTCCACTAATCCACAAATTCTTATCACTGTTCTATTATTTGATTTTTCTTCCCTTTGGTCTTTACAAAAACGGAACTGTTCCATAGTGTCAACTGTCAACCTATAATCTATTTTCAAAATAACCAAAAACAAAGAAGAGGAAAGATCCGAACACAAAAAAATCAGACGAATCTTTTTAGAGATCAGATGAGAGCTGTTGCTTTTGATAAACTCTTGGGTACTTTCTTCTCCAGCATCGAGGTTCCGTTGAAGATTGTAAGCTGCACTTCCTTTTGGTACGTCTGCAACTGCAAAAACACCATTGTAATTGCTTGTTACCATCTTGATACCAAATCGATAGTCTTAATGTACTACAAATCCAACAAAACATAACGTAATAATGATCCGAAATTATTATGTTTTACTTACTTGCTGTTCAGACATCCTTGTAAATCCAAACTTCTTTGTCCAAATAGACTCAGCTTCCTCGGCTGCCGGAAGAACCAGGTTCTCAACATTTAGTGAAGAAAGAAGATTCTCCACACACGCAAACAGCCCTTGGAAGTAGCCCTAGACACCATTAACACCGTGTGAAACAATTTAATCCATAGGTCAAAAAAAGAAGAAAAAACAAAACCTGAGACATTATGAAAAAAATGGGATGTATAGAAGCTTTACCCTTCCTTGGTACTCTCGGCTTGTGGCTACAATAGGAAGTTCAGCAACTTGCTGACCAAATATTCTCAGCAGCGCAGCAGAAACAACAAGAGAGCTAAAACATGCACATCATGAGGAAAAACAATTAGCATAGAAAACAGAGAAATTGTAAAAAGAAAGGTAAAGAGAACATGCATCAACAGCAGCAAACATACTTTACAATCAAGACCAAACAGTACATTCCTCCAAACTCCTGGCCAGATATATTCCTCCTGCAATTATAACATAAGAAGTACAAGGCGAATTAAACCACTATCGAAACATGGCTATTGTGTAAAGAGTTTATCACGTTGTAGCTTACCCATACACCATAACAGGAATGAGATCTCGGCCAGACTTTGCAACGATGGGATCAAAACACTCCTACAAGATTAGACAAGCAAGAATTAGCATGCATGTTTTAAGAAGGTCACAGTTAGAACTTAAAATAGAGAAAGCGGCCCAACATATATCCTGAGAGCACATCTCTACCAAGAAATAAAACCAAAAGACAATTGGAACACATCTAAAGTCAAGACATACCCTGAAGATAACAGCCGCTCGTGAAAGCAAGGGCAGATGCTCTGGGTATCGACTTTTCCCACTAAGTATCCTCCATTCGACTATATCCCCATCGTCGGTAATTATTCCTTTTTCTCTGTCCTTTCTGCGTATTAGGTCTAACAAAAGTGTAGGAACAGTTTGTGTCCCACACGAAACAGAACTCTGAATTGCCGCGTGAATCCTGCTGCAGTCGCTACAGCAAAACCATTTCTCCTGCGGGATTTCCTACAAAAGCATTCATGAAAAAAATTGACAAAGGTTGTGTGACATGGTGAACACTACGCAGAAGGAACTAGCTTTGCACAACTTACTTTCAAATCACAGAGACCATTCTCTCTCAGGCAACCAACATGGTATTCTTTCTCACACTTCAAAAGAAAAGAAGAAGAGGACTATCATTAACGTCTGAACTGGTAATGGAAAGAGTTGAAATCAAGATATCAGGAATCAAGAGTATACCTGGTCACAGAGAATAACAGTCCTTTCATCAAACTTCCCAATGCTAAAATCATGGGACCTATCAACAATAAAACGAGAGTGGAACACAGTAAGCAGTAATTCAGAAAGTGGCACCTTAATGCGCCTCACCAAAAAAAAAAGCAATAGTTCACATGTAGATTCCACATCATATACTTTAGACCTTTTTCCAAAGCTATTAAAATTCATGCGAAAGTTAAAAATATGTACGCAACCAACCTGCAGAACACACAACCACCAATATCGCTTTCTGGCGCTTTAACGACTCTTGTCAGTCTTATGACTATAGCCTTAGAGTTTCCCGAAGGATCAATAGCAGTAGCCCGTTTACCAGTGCTAGGTCCATCATTGCAGCTAGAACAATACCAAGTACCTTCAGGCATAGACTGGAATTTCAAACAAGCTGCAAATGAAAAGAGACATGAAGGATCAGAACCAGTGAATAATATGAGAGTTGAAATCTAAGCAATGTTGTTCCTGAAATCAATAAATTAAATTAAAATTCAAACTCAAAATAAATTGTTTAAGAGAGCTAATTTAAAGTTCCATAAGCTCTCTGACTGAGGCAACAATTTCGCAATCTGTGTTCTAGCAATATTCAGTTTGAAACCTAGAAGTTGCGTGTATCCTATACCTACCTGTATGAAATGCTTGAGGACATCCAGCACAAAGTAGCAAATCTCCACCATCCCCACAAATAGAACACATGTCATCACTGTCACCAGTTGTAATGACATGTCCATTGGCCAATGACAAGGCTATATCATGCAATGACAATCCCGAAGTGATAAAGATATGACGATAGCTGCAAAAGATACAACACACGTTAGGTACACATTCCAACGATAATGAACATTAAACAAATGTATTCGATAACTCACGGTTGTCGTCTACCAGCCATTCCAGCATGCGCTTCAAATTGCGAAGGACTAATCTGTTGTAGATAGTTACAAGAAAAAAAAATCATTAAATAAGCAAAACTATCAACGAATTCAAATTGTGTCTGATGGACAATCCACATAGCCACACTACTTACCTCTCTGCTGCAGCAGCTACATAGTATACCACTTCCTTGCTTGTAACCCTCTAGTAGTTTCTGCAGGGGAAAAAAATGTTAACAAAACTAAGCTAAATTCAAATGTCAGTGAAAATAAACAGAACAAGTCAATTCTACAATAGTATACCTGCGATTTCACATAGTAAGCCAATTCGGTCCCGTCAGGAAGCCCATTAGGCATAAACAGCAACCGATGTAAATCATTGTCCCTGAAAACATAAGATTGTGTCTTTTTCAATGTCGGATTACGTTTAAAGATTCAAATGAAAACAGCAAACACATGTAATGAGGTCGATAAAAGAAAAGCAACACAAACCTCTTTCTATTGCTTCCTTCAGAAGCTTTCTTGTGGGACCCCGTACTAGATACATGAGAAGTAAGCCTACAGTATTAGTGACCAAATAAAGTTCCCATGAGGACCATGAGTAACATTTAGGTTACTTCAGTGATTAATTTGTAAATGAAAACATAAAAAAACGCATACTTCTTTGATATCCGCTTCGGCTCATCAAATGTATCCATTGCATATGTTTTCTCTCGAAAATAATGGTTATCCAGAGAGCATGGGGTAAGGATCTGACTCTCATAAAGAGATTGACCAGGACCGGGACCAAGATAACTGCAGCTTTCACAGGAACCTCTTTCAGATAATAACACAAAATGGTTTCTATAAAACAGAACAGGTAAGCCACTACAGGGTCGAAGTATCATTGACTATCATTCCATCTAAAATCCCCAATAACAAGTCAAATAATAAACCCCAATTAGGATGTGATTGTACCTGACAGGGGAATGTTCCATAATATGGTTCGTGTCAGACATGCTATTACTCTGTTGGAAACTTGCTGCAGGAAACAACAACATATTAGGCTCAGCAATACTCTTCAACAAGTAAAACAACAATCTAGACACCTGTCCATTACCTTTCCAAGCTTGTAAACCCTCCTCGCACAGAGCAGAACCAGCTACATTCCTTATCACTTCCTCCAGATCATCATGAGGAGCAGTCTTCAGTTCTTGAACTATGTTATAGATCGCCCTCCCATTCTCCAAATATATGTGATTATTAGGATGTCTAGTTTTCGCACCAACATGCTGCTCAAACTCATACGCACTTAAAACCTATTTAAATAACAAAGTTTGACATCGTTTATACACAGAGAATAATAACTAATCATAGAAGCAATCGCAAAGAGAAAAAAAAAAAAAAAAAAAAAAACTCACTTTCGAGAAATTGCAACTCGTACAGCCACACAAATACCCACCCGAATGGATTATCCCCTGAAGCTCTCTCTATTGCCATTAAAAATTACACAAGATTATAAGTCACCTATAAATTAGCCTATGTGGAAATGTCGAAAAGAAGAACAAAAATTCAGAAATTTACCACCGGTGGGGTCGAAATATACTTCACTCGAGCACCGTCGAGCATACCCGTCGCCAATAGCTTCTTCACATTAGATGGGTAGCTGCAAGAAACAATCTTCTTCGGCGTCTTCACATCCCACGCGGAAGCAGCATTCGTAACACCACCGTCCCAAGCCTGATCCTTTACCACGGGCAAATCGTCAAAACCCTTCTTTTGTCTACTCAACTTAAACGTGATTTTCGTGATTCCGGTCGAGCTAAGATGCTTCGGAATCTCCAAAACAAAACGAGATGGCAAATCATCACTCGAGTGCTCTGTTGGAGGGCTACCTGCTACGGACGCATCGTTCCCGCTTCGCTCTTCGTCGCTTATAGTCCCTTCGGAGCCGCCGAAATCACTCCCGGAGCTACTCACGATAACCTCACCGCACTCGACGGGATCACCACCGGAACCCGATTTATCCACCTGGCTGGAGAAATCTCGAAAACGGGACGTGCTCTCGACCGGAGACGCGACGGGATTTGAAATCTCCGATACGATATCGTCGTTGGAAGCTTCCTTCGCTTGTTTCTTATTGGGAAAATCGTCTCCTTCGGTACAGAGACGTTCCCTCTTCAATTCGCTCACTGATGAGTTCCCTTCCGCCACGACTCCTTCCATTGGCATCTCCAAGCAAAGTGTTTCTTCTCCCATCCGAGAAAGTTTCTTCGGAATGCTCAATATCGCACGATGGCATCCAATAGAAGAGCACTGACTGGAGTTAGATCTGAGCCTTGGAATTTGAATCCGGTAAGCGTTGAACAGTCACGGTTCCACTGGAATTGCGTATCCAATCCGTAAACTCGTATTCTGATTCCAATCTGATTTCCGGAGAAGAAACTCTCAAATTTCCGGAATACAACCCCCAAACTGGATTTACTAATCTAATTCAACCCGAAATTGATGAAATTGCAGAAAAAATCAATTACGATGAATCATGAGAATCAAACGAAGACGATAACACTATACAGTGGGGGATTAGAAGTCGGGTTTCGAATATTACCGATCTAAAGATCTGCGGATGATGGTGCGAGATTCGAATTGGGGGATAAAATTCGATGGAGATAAGAGGAAGACAGAGGAATTTAGGGTTAGGGTTACGGCTATGAGATAAGATGGGAGAGGGGCAGAGAGAAGAAGCAAGTAGAAGGAACGTGCAAGGCGGCAACGAACCAGAAACGAAAAGCTTTGTTCGCGGTCCAGATTACTTTTCAAAGCAGAGAGAGAGAACAAAAAAAGAAACAGAAAAACTAATGATATTTTTATATTTGTAATTTTAGGAAATAATTTTAATTAGGCGACAAAATTAAGAAAATTATAACCAGAAAATCTGAATTGAAAGAAAATTTTGATATTATTGCAAAACGATCCCTTACAATTTATTACTTTGACCAGACTATTACTTTTCCTTTATCCAATTGCAAACTCATACTAGTTAGTTGATAGTTCAAGTAAACTATGCTTTTGTTTGTGCGTTTCTTTTTACTAACTTTTTGATTTTGGTTTGTGATTGGATAAGTTGTATGACTTTGTTGTAATTCGAATTTAAAAAATTTTGTAACTAATTTTAAATAATAAATGAAATAATTGTTAAAAATAATAATTATTTATGTATATATAATATAAAAAAATCAAAGATAAGAATGAATAGTTGATTTCCTCTTTTAGTTTTATTTTTTTACTTTTTTAAAGCTACTATTGTATAAATATAAATATAAATTTTATAAACATGTATACAATCTTATCTTCAATAGTATCATTTTAAGTAATATGTATAATATTATTATCTTAACTTTTATATATACCATGTATACTATTTTATAAATATAGGAAAATAATGTACCAAAAAATGATCAATTTAGCTAATTTTTCACATATAAGAAAACTACTACTTTATACAATAAACCTATTAATTTCGTGTATATCCAATATTGTATTAATAAAAATTTAACTATAACACGTAAACTATTTTATCTTTATTACTATCATTTTAACTTTTTAATAACACACGTATAATATCTTAAAATATAAAAGAAAAATATCAAAGATGATTTATTAGCATATTTTCCTCAAATAAGAAAACTACTATTTTGTAGATCTAATTTTGTATTAGAGTTGTAGTGATCTAAAGAACAAGAACATATGGGACAATTATAAATATGGAGATTATTTGTGAATGAACTAAAAGTTCAGGGGTGAATTTATGCAAACGTAGAGAACAAAGGGCATCAAAAGGAAAGAAAATCGTGGCGGTTAATGAGAATAAACAAAATTTACCGGAACAAATTATTATTGGCCTCCGTAAAAGGCAAAATACATAAATAAAATCTTCACTTTACCAGTTTAAGTTTTTATATCCATAGAAAAAAAGTGGATGACGCAATCAAGCGATAACTAAAAACGACAATAAGTTTGGTCGTTTTCCGATTTTCCTCATCCGTCGTTGGCAAATCCAAGAGCAGGTGAGATTAGGTTATCCTCTCTTTCTACTTCTCTCCTTCATTGAAGCTACTCCCCTTTCCATGGCGGAAGTATTCGCAATCAATGGAACTATAAACCGATAGAGGGAGAGAAGACGATTATGCGACTAGAGAAGTAACATTTTCAACTTTAAAATCGATGATTCGCCATCTGTTCTCATCTCTCACTCACCGATTCGCCTGGCGGATTCCGCTTTTCGTCTACGGCGTCACGTGGACGGTGTTTCTGACGATCACCGTCGCGATTATCTCGCTCGCACCGGAGTTCGCCTTCGTGTCGGCGATTTACCCTTCGTCTTCTTCGGTTGAGTTCTCGCGGCGGTGCGGATCCGACGCAGCCGTTCTGGTGCCGCTGGATATTCCCACGGAGGTGTTTTGTTTACCGGCGAATCTGTTCCGGAGGTCGAAGATGGACCTCGTCGTTCCGCCGGTTTTTGCAGCGATTGTGGTTGCTGTTTCCGCCGTCGTTGTACGGACGATGGGCCTTTGGGAAGCCGAAGAAGCCCATTAATTTAGGCCCATTAGTTCCATTTGGATAAACAGTTATATATATATACTAGATTGATTACTTCTAAATTAGTAACTTGAAAAAAAAAATGGTCATAATTAAAGCATAAATTTGTGTTTACGAAATTTTATTCGAAGATGTTTTCTGAATTATAGCATTGGCTCGAAACACAAATATGCGGTGATAAGAGATTAAGGGATGTATAAAATTTGAAATTTAAATAGTTTTTGCTTGGATCATAAGTTAGGGAATAGAGTCGATGAGTTTGATACTGAAATCCCAAAGTTTATCGGCGAGAGATTTGTCCGTAGCAAGTTTGCTGGTGGTCATGATGTTGCAGTCGGAGAAGTACTTTCCGGTGACTCCTTTGAGGTCAGTATGGAGTGCCACGTAGCATGTAGTTGCTGCTCCCTGACAATGCCACAAAAAAAAAAAAAAAAACAAATTAAAACATTTTCATGCTACTAAAAGTCTAAAACATTGGAAAAGAGTTGGAATTTGAGAGAGAGAGATTTTAATTCACCTTAGGTATATCTTTCCACAAGAAGAAACTCAGAGCCTTGAAGATCTCTGAAAACAAAATAGAGGAATAAAAAAAAAAAAAAAAAAAATGTATAACGAAAATGTTGAAAAGAAACAAAATAGAGAGAGTGTTCGGTTTCGGTACGTACTCATTTCAAAACCGGAGTGGCGGAAGAGATTGGTGGTGACAAGTCCAGGGTGTAGCGAATTTACTGTGATGTTCACACCTTCTTCCTGCATTATCCCCAAACCATTTTAATGTTAGCCAAATAATGCATGTCATGTAAATGTATGTATAGCATATGTACATGTACGTGTGTAGGTCCATGTCATGTGTTTGTGTTACCTGTAGTCTACGAGAGAGTGCATTGGAGTGCAACAAGTTTGCAAGTTTGGACTGTCCATAAGCCTTTTTCTCCGAATATCTTAAACAATCATAGCAAAGAAAGTGTTTTTCACATTTTTCTTTTACTAAACTCAATTTCAAAAATGAAATTTAATAGAGGCCTTACCCTTCGGGATCGTTGATGCCATCGAACTTGATACCTTTGGGGTAAGTATAAGTATGAGCAATAGATGACAGATTCACAATCCTTCCTTCGGTACCACTTTCTCTTGTGGTAGTCTTCATTTTGTCGAGAAGCAAATTCGTCAACAGAAAATGACCTGGATTCGATTAAACAATACAAATGATAAATTAACTCATGTAATACAGTAAAAAGGATTTACTGTATATTTAAAAATTCTGACAAGATCATATAATTATTTTTTCGATAATCTCTACCTAAATTTAATGTTTTCGTAATATAATACTATTAGTATTAAGGGTTAACTAATGCATGTATCTATAGATTCAATATAATATTTGTTTCCTCTTGGATATATTTACTTTTGTGGAATTAATGTACAGTCTGTTAAAATATGTACAGTATAATGTATTTCAATATTTTTTCCTTGTAAGGAAACATAGAAATTGAAATCTTACCAATGTAGTTGGTTGCGAATTGTGACTCAATCCCATCTTCAGAGAGCTTGAAAGGACAAAACATAACACCTGCATTGTTTCTGTCATTTAAAAAAGACACAACAAATAAACATTAATAAAAAAACCTTAAAAAATCGTAATCACCGTCCCAAAAAAAAAAACGAAATTATGATATATATTCATACATGAGTATGTTGAGAGGAACATTGAGGGCCAGAAACTCATGGGCAAAGGATCTGACAGATTTGATGGAAGAGACGTCGAGTTGAAGAAAATCCACACGAGCGTTAGGGTTCATCTGACGAATCATCTCTTTAGCTTCATTACCAGCTTTTTCGTTTCTTGCTGCAATGATGACATGAGCTCCTCTCATTGCCAACACTCTTGCTGTTTCCAATCCAATCCCACCGGTTCCACCTTTTTATTGTTTGTTTCATCATATTTTGTACCAAGTTAGTATATTTGCAGGCAAAAAATGAATAATCGTACAAATAATATTTCATATTTTCCGTCCTTTAACAAATTAAGATCCATGAATATGTAGTACGTTTAGGGTTCTATTGCTCGCGTAAAAATTATCAAAAGCTGTTGAATAAAATTTACATGTTGACCAGAAAAATATATATTACCAACAAAAATCTAAACTTTTTTATTCTGTTAAAATCCCAACTTTAGCAATTAGCTTAATCTTAAAAGTTTGACTGATTCTTCCATCATTAAAGGGTGTGGTCATGTGAACAAGGTGAGATAATACTGTTTTGCAATAATGGATTTGTATCAAATGTAAAGAAAAAAAAAAGAGAACCTGTGATGATGGCAGTGAGATGATTGGCATCAATGGAGTGAGTGACATCTTCAGCTGTTGAAGCTGATCCAAATCCACTCTTTCCGGGTTTTCCGGTCACCATTCCATAAATTCCCATAATCTTTTCTCTCCAAACGAATTATAAAACCTTAAAAACGTTGTAAGAACAATGGGAGAAGAAGAGAGATTGAGATAGTTTTACAAGTGGATGGTAGGGAACGAAGAAGAGTTTGTTTGGCTTTAAATAGGCTCACGCGTGAGTAGATTAGATGAGTTGCTGTTGACAGGTCGTCCATGAAGTTTTTAGCTGACAGCTAATTAAAATTAATTGCTTTAGATTTTGTTGAATCATTAGGAAAGGAAAAAATTAGTGTTATATAGTAACATAATCCCAAAGATTTATTACTATACAGACAATATTTGCTAGATTCTATCTTGTAAAAATTAAGTTTTTCATTTAATCAATAGTACAAAAAGTCGGTGTAACCTTCATTATTTTAAATTTTATCATAACAAATTTTTGATGTTTTAAAGGTGTATCTTATTAGCATATCGACTTTGGTCTCATACTAAGATCGTTTTCAGTGATAGAATTAAGCTACAGCTCACACATAAATGTTTGTACTTTGCAATGCCTTTGCATGCTTGTATAGCTTCATGGTGTTGCTATTAATTTTAGATTTTGTGTCAACTCCAATATTGGCTCATCTAGTTACTAGTTGGGTCTACATTAATTGACGCTGCTGAATTATGAGACTGACTCATTTTCTTTATTACTTATAAATTTAACATAATATATTTATGTCATAGGTCCATGAAGCATGATTGTAGTGAACTTATAATATTGTCGTAGTCATAGCAAAGTAGCAAACACACCATGAAAGATTGACTAGTAAATCACTGCAAGAAAAAAGAATAACCCCAAAACAGAAAACAAAACAAAAAGATCAATTGTAAATGGAAACCATCATTTTGGGGTTGGCAATTGAGAGGAAGGAACAAATGAAGAAGGCCAAAAGCCTGGATTTCAATTTCTTTCCTTAACCAGTAAATAATAACTGTCAACCTCAAGATATGAATGTACAAAATACAAATACTAAAAAGTAAAAACATATAAGGAATTCAATTTCTTTTGATAATGTGCAAGTTTTTTTTGCTTTGACGTTGAGATGTAATTCTGTAAATAAAATAGTTGCTGTTTCGTACATTACATAGTTCATGAATCGATAATAATGATTAAGAGAACTGATATAGTGATCAGAAAATTTGTTTCACTAAACAAATGAAAATTGCGTCACACAGTAACCAAACAAAAAAAAATCTGTGAATGAGAAAGAAGACAGTAAAAAAAGGAAAATCTGTTCTTGTGGTCATTACAAATTTTCAAGAAAAAGTAAAAGTTCGCATCTCAAAAAGAAAAAAGAGCTGAAGACTAACCCCAATAGATTAGCAAAGCAGTCCCCTATAAAAAGCTTGTACAAATATAATGACGATAAAAAGAAAACTATATTGTAGAAGAACAAATAACGACGTCTCCATGAACTTGAAACGCCAAGCAATCGATAATGTGAAAAGACCCGACCTGTAATGGCTTAAACATGGTTGAGATGACCACTTTCTCTCTGCTCCCTCTCTTTGTGACAGAGCACATAAGACCACACATGCTTTGCTTTTCCTCAATTGTACAACTTCTTATCCTCAAAACACCTGTGGATTTGAGAGAACAGTGTTGTCATTGCGATTGTATAAACATCAAAAATGTTCGATTAGTTTCAACTTGATTTGATCCTTACCGCTAATTAAAACCTCCACCGGTCCAAGCAGTGTCTGACTTCCCATTGTGACCTACAGATTTCTTATCGCCGGCGCTATAATAACCATCGTCATCTTTACCATCGTTATCATCCCAACCAGCCCAACCGTCATCATCATCATCATTAGAAGTCGACGACACCTTTGGTGCTGCTTGCTTCTTGTTATCGTTCTTCTCTTCTCCCCAGTCATCCCAAGAATTCGAGTTACGATAACTGTTATTGTTGTTGTGACCACTTGATGATGACTGTGACCCTCCAAAAGATGAATTTGCTGGTTTGTTCTGGTAGTAACCGTTGCCTTCGTTTCTACTCTGCTGTTGATTCCAGGTTGCTGTTTCTTCTTTAGTGAACTCTTCAACCTTTTGTGACGCAATCGCCATTACTCCTTTCATGATCCCCCATGTCCTCTGTCCTATCTCTGTCGTCTTATTCGCAACAACGTTAACAGTCTCGCTCACCGTGTGATCTAAGCCACCTTCTTTCACCTGCAAATGCAAATGAACAAAGGCTTCTTACTTAATCTCATTTGACTTCACTCTCCAACATTCTCTTTAGAGGAGCTCACTAGAAGATTATGCAGCTAAACAAGACACTCATTTTCGTGTTACATAACAATGCCGCAAATGGTATAACCTAAAAGCATCGAGCTTAGCAGCAACTAGACACCAAATGATTCGTCACGATACTAACATTGATATGAGATAAAGAAACTATAGATTATCACCAAGAAATATGTCTTCACTATCAATCAAATTTGGCTTTCAAGCCTAAGATTCAAGCTACATGATATAACAGAGTGATAAAAGGAGTACCTTGGAAGTGAACTCCATGGTTCCTGATTGAACAACATTCGCAGCAGATGCAGCAACAAGAGACAATCTTCCGAAACCCTATTTGCATATAACGAGCAAAATGAACACAATCAAATCGATACATCTAATCCAATTCACTCTCTCAAAAGCATCAGAATTTACCTCAGACATGACGGAGAAAACATCACCACCACCACCACCACCCTGTTGATTGCTTCTCGGAGCTGGGCCAGAGCTTGATCCGAACCCCACATACTTGCCGCCTTGCGAAGGAGGAAGACCTTCAGGCTTAGACTCATTCTCAGCCATCCTCTTGGCGAAGAAACTCTCCTTGTTCACAGCGGAAGCCTCCAGCTGAGACCTCGAGTAGATATCCTCAGACGATTTCGACTTCGCCGGTGCGCCACGAGCTCCCGAGGACCTGAAATCAGTCGCCGATTGATTCCGCCTCATATCCGGTGAAGATCTGAATGAATCATCCGTGTCCCAATTATCCCATCCGCCATTGTTTCCGTTGCCCTGAGACAACGGAGGCTTCTTATTCATCCCACCGCCGATCGATTCCTTGACAACCGGCGGATCCCTCCACTGCCGTCCCTCGGCCAAAGCCTGGATCCGATCGCGATACACCGACGCGGCGTTGGAATTGTACTTTGCGACGATGTCGGTCTCCTTGCGGATTCCGTACTGCGCGAAGAATTTGTTGAGGCGCTCGTTGCCGCCGGCGTCCATTTTCTTGATCTGGATCTCGGACCACGAATCCATGGTGACGGATCGGACGAAGGAGATGTGAACGCCTAAGCCGCGGTGCTTGCCGGAGCACTCCAAGCACATGAAGATGCCGTAGGAAACCGATGCCCATTGCGGATTCTTCTGGGAGCAGTCGACACACACCTTGTTCTCCGGCTGAGATTGGAGTGTGCGTAATCGGTTCGCCGCCGCCATAATGCCGGGTTCCTCCGATCACCGACTGATTCCGATCTGATAAGACGACCCGACCCGAACAGATCTGAATTCAAGGTCCAGATTCTGATATGCGTTTTGTAGCTCGCTCGTTTTGCTAATAAACGTGGTAGTAACTTGCGTTTCTTTGTACAGTGTTTTTGGCACGTGCGAAGTTCGCGGCAGCTTCACTGAATGCTTCCAGTATTATTAATTTTTTTCTTTTCTTTCTCTGTTCTGATAAAACTTAAAAGTCATAATTACAAATAGAGTAATTAGAGGTAAATGTTTTTTTTTAAATGGTTAATTATATGTAAATGTTTTTACACTGTTGAAAAACTAAAGATAAAAATTAGATACAAAGTGAATATATCATTTCATGAAGGTACAAAAGAGATATAAAGACCGTAAAAGTTTTGTTATGTACGCATGTAGTTTAGAAAAACATAAGGGCAAAAATTTACCATTTTATGTGAAAGTATTTGAACTACAAAAATTATCACATGAATATCTACATGCATGATGCATAATGAACATTGAGAAACAAATATTAATATACATTCGGTCTGCCTACTCCAGTCTAAGAATTTACTTTATCTATAAGCCAAACCAAATTATTATTATCGTAATAAAGTTAAACTTTTTACAAATTAGCATTAATAATAAATAAAAAGAATGATGGAATGCTAAAAAAAATAAGAGAGATAATAAAACGTTAGGGCATTCCAGTCTGACCGCTCTACATTGCTAACATCAGGAAATGGAATAATCGAGAACTTCTTTTTTAGCGAATTTTAAAATACAACATTTTAAAAAAGTCTTCTAAATTCTATTATACAATACTGTATATGAATCTTAGAAAAATGATATATATACAGAAATCAACGAGATACAATACATCCTATTTTTTGGAATGGATTGCATGGGATTTTAGATATCAGCCTTGCCCAAAATTGAATCTCTTTTGTAATAAAGAAAGTTGTAAGATTTCTCGTTGCAAACTCACTCTTATAAATTGACAAGAAAATAAAAAATAGCCCAAAAAAAATAAAAAAACATGTAAGAAAGCAAAGAAAAAACAAAAATAATAACATGAGGTTTAATTGCGTTTTGGGCTTTGCACGAAGCCGTAGGGTTTTATCTTGCCGTGTCTCATTAGAATTTAGGGTTTCATCTCTCCCATTTTGTATCGAAAAAACACACATCTTTCCCTAATTCCCAGAAACCTTTGTCTCAAATAGAGATGGTGAAAAGAGCCAGAGGTATCAGCCGGAGCGTTCCTCGTCGGAAATTTACGACCCTAGTTCTAGAATTATGCGAGAGGGGATTAACGGTAGAGGAGATCGCAGAGGAGCTCAGTTCCAAGCCCAAGCACCCTGAAAGTCGTTTGACACGCCGGGACCTTGTGAGAAAAGTTAAAAAGACCGTAAACTCCAGGAGCAAGGACTGGAAAGGGGAAGAGGAAAGTAATGGAAGTAGGAGGAAGAAACAGAGGCGAGATGATGATGATGATGATGATCTCGAACATAGGAATTCGGATTTATGCATATCATCACCATCATCACCTTCTTCTTCTTCTTACTCCCCTAGCAATCTATTGACACCGGACGATGACACACACTTTGATTTCACCGGTGAAAGTCTACTCGCTTCTTACTCTAATAAATCCAAGACTTACACGCCTACTTCGAGTGTAGAGACAACAAAGAAGAAAGCTGTGTCTAGTGAAGAAGGAAACAAGGGTTATGAACATGTAGAGGCTACTACAGGAACGACCTTTAAGGACTTGGGTGGGTTAAAGAGTGTTTTGGATAAGCTAACGTTTGATGTGCAACTCCCTCTCTTGTGTTCTGACGTGGTGCAAATTATTGGTATGAAACCAATTTCTGGGATATTACTTCATGGTCCTCCTGGTTGTGGCAAGTCCACACTCGCTTGTGCCATCGCCAACGAAGCTGATGTAAACTTTTACATGGTTTCTGCTGCTGAATTGGTTACTGGTGTTTCTGGTATGACCTCTTTCTTTCTCGAACATATATACACTTGTGTTGCTATGTCTATGCAAAGTCTCTAGCTTGGATTGATATTGGATTGGCATTATTCTCTTTGTTCTAGGTGGATCAGAAGAGAAAATCAGGGAACTCTTCTCTAACGCCTATAGAAATGCACCTTCGATTATATTCATTGATGAGATCGACGCAATTGCCTCAAAGAGGGAGAATCAGCACAAGGGCATGGACACGCGTATTGTGACTCAGTTGCTGAGTTGTATGGATGAGAAGTATATGCTTCCGAAGCAAAAAGAGAGCAACCTTTCCGTTGACGTGGGTTCCAAGCCTAGACATGTGATTGTCATTGGAGCTACCAACAGGCCTGACGCTCTTGATCCTGCTATGAGGAGATCTTTGCGATTCGACTTGGAGATCTGTCTTGATGTGCCTGATGAGAAGGCTAGGGAAGAGATTTTCTCTTTGGTTACACGCAACCTTTCGGTGGAGAGCACTTTGGACCGTTCCAAGATTGCTCGTCTGACTTCCGGATTCGTTGGTGCTGATTTCGAAGTTCTTGCCAAGAATGCTGCCATGGTGTTAGCAAGGAGAGTAATATATTCAAGAAAACCGCCACTTTGTTCGGACAATATTGACATTTGTTCTTTGATGAGGCAGCCAGTGTCAGAGGAAGAGAGAAAAATGCTCTTTGTCACTACCTCAGATTTCGAGGTGAGATAAATCTCTTGCCTGTTTATGTTTTGCATTTTCTGTATCTGACTGTTGTTTTCGCTGTCCACAGGAAGCATTGAAAGATTTTCAACCTAGTTTAACTAGAGAAGGTTTCTCTACTATTCCGGATGTAACATGGGATGATATTGGCGGTCTTGATCATGTAAGGGAGGCGTTCTATCATCATGTAATCCGGCGATTTAAATTTCCTGAAGAATGCAAGGTAATCAAATACTTATATCCGTGAAAACATGTGTAGCAAACCATATAGTGTAATCAATGTTATGCCTTTAGATGTGGTTCCAAGAAACCAATAATGACTTCATATTCTTTTCAGGGATTTGAAAATTGTCTAGAAACGGGTTTTTTGCTCTATGGACCACCAGGTTGTGGTAAGACGTTAGTTGCACAGGCGGTTGCTAATGAGGCACGAGTCAACTTTATCCATGTTGAGGTTTGTTTGGAACATAGTGATTTCCTTTGTGATCTATTTTCTTGGAGAAATCTTTAAGTGGTTTGCCATGTTGTTGATCATGTGTAGGGTCCAGAGCTTCTGAGCAAATATGTTGGAGAAACCGAGAAGGCTATAAGGGAGTTATTCAGTCGTGCTAGGATGTGCTCACCATGCATAGTCTTCTTTGATGAGGTCAGTGTTTCAAGTCACCAACTCTGTACATGAAATTCTGTAAATTCTTCTTTAATATGGTATTTGCTACTATAATTATCTTCTAATAAGATAAAAAGGAGTAAAGAGATAACTAATGAAACCTAAAAAGACTTGTGAGTAACCACAGTAAAGCTTAGTTAACTTGGTAAAAAAAAGCATGCTAAAAATAAAACGAGTTATTTATTGTAGGTGGATGCTTTAACAACAAAACGTGGAGAGCAAGGTGCTTGGGTTGTTGAACGACCTTTGAATCAGGTGAATTTAGTTTTGAGTCTCTTTCCTAATCAATCATTATTGAATGCCGAAACATGTCTGAATCAATGGTAACTGATGAGTTTGCTGTTTTGACAGTTACTCATTGAATTGAGTGGTGGAAAAAAACGAGACGGTGTTATTGTGATTGCTGCTACAAACAGGTTCGGTTTTTTTTTTGCTATCTCATATGTAAAGATGGAGAGACTAAGTGTTTGTTTAATTATCGTCAACCGTTATTCATTTCTCTTTTGATGGAATAGGCCTCACATGATGGACCCGGCGGTTCAAAGGGCAGGCAGGTTTGGGAGACATATCCATGTACCGCTCCCAAACTCGGACCAGCGTCATTCAATCCTGAAAGCTCTAGCGAAGGATTTTAGAGTCGACCCGAGCATTGATTTGAATGCCATAGCGAGAATGGAGAGTTGTGAGAATCGTAGTGGAGCTGATCTAGCTTCTCTGGTAAAAGAAGCTGGTCTTGCAGCTTTTACTGATGCAAACTCAGACAGTAAACAACGTACGATCAAGATGGTTCATTTTGAGCAAGCCTTCTCTAAGCTCAAACCTTCTCTCACGAATCAGGTTAGTGTTTTGCTTGTGGAATGCAACACGTTTCTTGTTATGACTCTTTTGACAATCATAAAATTACTTCTTTTGTGCAGCAAGTAGGGGAATACGAGAACATATTCACAGACTTTGAAAGCGCCAAGTGAAGAGTTGTGGATTGATTGTGGATTTCTTTTTCTATTTATCGTCAGCAACGATATAGAGCTGTGTATTGTTTTGCTGTTTCTTCTTTAGTGAACTCTTCAACCTTTTATGAAGCAATCGCCATTACTCCTTTCATGATCCCCCATGTCCTCTGTCCTATCTCTGTCGTCTTATTCGCAACAACGTTAACAGTCTCGCTCACCGTGTGATCTAAGCCACCTTCTTTCACCTGCAAATGCAAATGAACAAAGGCTTCTTACTTAATCTCATTTGACTTCACTCTCCAATATTCTCGCTAGTTTTTGGCAAATGAAATGTATATAGGATCTCACTTGAAGATTATGTAGCTAAACAAGACACTCATTTCGTGTTACAAAAAGGGAGAGATTTAGCTGAGAGATACAAAACCTTTTTCTTATTCTCTCACCTTCTACAACCCTAACGTGACGTGGGAGTCATTGATACTCATTTGGGCCATTCATATTTTAATGGGCCTACAACCATAACAATGATCCGATCTCATCGCTCAGATGCAACTTTTAACATACAGATTTTTTCAAATAAGGTGTACATCTCCAAAGATTCGAGTCAGTTTTTGTATTTGGATTGAAACATTTCAATATTATGTACACATGTGATGTAACGATGGCTTGGCCAATATCCAAACGAGTAATTCGATGATAACCAATTAGACCACGAACACAGTTTGGGTTTGTTAAATTTTGTTTGCGTTCTTAACTAATTCAATTTTGCTTTAACGATTCTAGACTTTTGCAGAAGCAAATAATCAATTCATAAAGAAGCTTAAACAAGTAAGATGATTCAAAAGATCAAGAGTTTTCATTCAATTCAAATCATTGAAACCATTCAAACGAAGCCCTAAACAACAGCTGCTGATAGATCTAAGCTCCCGAATCAACAAACCCTAAAAAAGACCCAGCCGCGATTTACAAAATCCGATTTTCATCCCTCAGCCTCCGAACCCGTACAGAGTTCGTCCCTGCCTCTTCAGCGCGTAGACAACATCCATCGCCGTGACAGTCTTCCGGCGAGCGTGCTCAGTGTAAGTGACGGCGTCGCGGATCACATTCTCGAGAAAGATCTTAAGAACACCGCGAGTCTCCTCGTAGATCAAACCGCTGATACGCTTCACACCACCTCTTCTCGCTAAACGACGGATCGCCGGCTTCGTAATCCCCTGGATATTGTCCCTGAGAACCTTCCTGTGCCTCTTGGCTCCTCCCTTTCCCAATCCCTTTCCTCCCTTTCCTCGCCCAGACATTTTTGTTCTCTCGGGAAAATTTAAGAATCAGAGAAAAAGAGAAATGATTTTTCACACGTGTAAATGAGAGTGCGATGTACATGTAGATCTATGAGGATGATGAGAGGTTTATATAGAGCACACATCTTTGTGTTTTCTGTTTTTTTTTATGTTTTCGGGAGGATATGATCCGTTGGATTTTAGTTTTAATCGACGGATGCCAGTGTCGATCCGCGTGATCTTCATTTATTGGCTAAGTTTTGTTTGATGAGATTTCGGCCGCTGGATCGATTTTCTTCCGTATCGAATCTGAGCCGTAGGTTTTATGGTAACTGAGGTTGGAAAACGGCGACGTTCTGGTTGTGACCGGGAAGATGAAGAAAAATGCGCGGGAAAATTGAGAGACTGCATCTTCTTCATCGGAGGGCATATTTTTCTCCTTCGGGTCGGATCTTCACTGACATAATCTTCCCAACTTCAAATACTTTCCCTGAAAATCTAAAGCACACAATCGAGTCTACGATTCGCCGATTTTGCTGCTCTTATTCGGGTTTTCCCAAATCTATCGCTGCCGGGTTTTTGGGCTATTAGTGTTCCGATTCTGTGAAGGTAATTCTCCTTTTTTATTGATTTTGGTGATCCCATTCTACTCATTTTTTATAATTGTTCCAGTGAAATCAATTTCCTTGTTTTTGTTATCAATCCGTTTAGAGATTATATCGATTGTTCTGTATTTCCCATCCTTAGATTACTGCTCAAAAGATGTGATTACTTAACTAGTTTTAGGCTGTGTGATTCAATGAATTGCTTGTTTCTGTAAACTGATGTGAAATTGTGAATGTATACAACATTGTTATTTTGAATATCAGTCGATGAAATGTCAATACTTTGAAGTTGTTTAAGTTTAATATTCTGGTCGCATCTTCCTTATTAACTTACACTGTTCATTGTTAGAGGCTATTACGTTACTATTCAATCGCTAGGGATGATGCTAGTTTGAGTGCTTTCATTTAGTTTTGATCATCAGAATGTTTGGGTAAACCAGAATTTACGTGCTTCTGCTTGGCTTGTTGATTGGACGAATTAAGGCTTTAATGAATTGTTCAGCCATTGTTATGTTGTTACGTTCTCACTTCGTGTTTAGACTTTTAAGTGATATGTTCTTATGCCTGCTGTCTCAGGGGACTCTTTTTCTACTTAGGAGCTCAGTCCAACGACAATGGAGGACACTGAAAACATAGAAGAAGATGAATATGGGTTCTCAAGAAACTACTTCCTGGCGAAAGAACTGGGCGGGTCAAGCAAGCGGTCAGCACACAAGCTCTCCGATATTAATCTTGTTGATGAGCAGGTGATTTTGGATTATCTTCTCTCAGATTATGCTTTGGTCATAAATGTTTTCCTTGACAAGTTGATGGACAAAACATTCTGTGTGTTTTCAGGAGCTTAGAGAAACAGCATCTAATATTGAAACGAAGCACACAAAAGAGATTTCTGAGCTTCTGGACGGTTACAAGACTATGTACCCAAAGTGGGTCTTTGAGCTCAGGTGAGAAAGCTCTTGATTCTTAGAAAGACAAAAATTTCTTGCAAGTTAGATTCGAACCTGAATATCATTCATGGTAGAAACTGCTTAGAACAGTATAACAAGGTTTATCTTTATTTCTGGTGCTTCCATAACTGTTAAAGACATTGATTCCTCCTAGTCCTGAATCTTCTCCTGTATTTCTCTGCTAGTAGTATGTTCCATCTGAATGATCATAAATTTGTGTGTAATCATATCATTTTGCTGCTTCCAGGTGTGGCTTTGGCCTTCTAATGTATGGATTTGGATCAAAGAAAGCTTTAATAGAAGATTTTGCTTCTGCTTCTTTAACTGAGTACTCCGTGGTGGTTATCAATGGCTACCTCCCTTCCATAAATCTAAAACAGGTACTCCTTTGTTATTCTTGTCCTGTCACAGCTCCATTTTGTTCAGGTTATAATAACAAGATTTTCTTTGGTTTGCACATTCAGGTTCTTTTAGCAATAGCCGAACTTCTGTCTGAGCTGTTGAAATGTAGAAGAAAGAGTTCTGGGAGCGTATCTAAAAGCCAAGAAACATTTCCTTCGCGCTCCATCGATGATATTCTTGCCTTCCTACATGGTTCACAGTCTAATGACAGAGACTGCTTCATATGCGTTCTTGTTCATAACATTGACGGCCCTGCTCTAAGGGATCCTGAGTCACAGCAAACTCTTGCCCAGCTTGCTTCTTGTTCTCACATACGCATCATTGCCTCTATTGACCATGTCAATGCTCCACTATGTAAGCATTATTCTTTATGTGAGTTCTATTGCTTCTTTTACTGGTTACCGATGCAATGTTTCTTGAATCCATTGGCAGTGTGGGACAAGAAAATGGTGCACAAACAGTTTAACTGGCTATGGCACCACGTTCCAACGTTTGCACCATATAAAGTCGAAGGCGTATTCATCCCATTGGTTCTCGCACAGGGAAGCACAGCCCAAACCGCCAAAACAGCAGCCATTGTCTTGCAGAGTTTGACACCAAACGCTCAGAACGTGTTCAAGATTCTCGCTGATTACCAACTCTCTCACCCAGACGAAGACGGCATGCCCGTTGATGATCTGTACTCAGCCTCTCGTGAACGCTTCTTCGTGAGCAGTCAAGTGACTCTAAACTCTCATCTCACGGAGTTTAAAGACCACGAGCTCGTCAAGACCAAGAGAAACTCCGATGGACAAGAGTGTTTGAACATTCCTCTCTCCTCTGATGCACTTCGTCAGCTCCTGCTTGATCTCAATCAATAGCCCCCAATTGTACCAAAAAATCTCTGTGGTATGTTTCACTTTTATTGTATTTTGTTATAAACCCCAAATTAGGGTTGATTCAAACGCAACGTACACAAGATTGGAATGTGATGAAAGAAAAATCCGATTAAAACAGTGGAAACAACTATATATGAGTAGCCAATAATATCAATGAGACACTGATCACTGATGACATTCCTATAAAGCTTCTACATGCGAAGAAGGAAAAAAACTGTAACAAATGTGTTTTATCTCCATTTACGTCAACATAAGATCATTCCCTCCGAGATGTGGACGGAGACACACTCGCACCTCATGCTCCTCCGGTCCAGCTCTTAGCTTCGGGACAAGCATCTCAAGAACCGAACCAGGACCATCGTAGTAAGCTTCAATATTCGCATCTTCCGGGATTCTCGTCGACAACGGGATCTCTCTGACAAACTCTCCCGGCGGACAGTGCTCGGAAGCTGGATCAGTCAGCTTGAATGTTCTGTCATGTCTCTTCACGAAAGGCAACCGCGACGTGCTGACGCACGAGACTTTGATGATCCCGTGCGTGACAGTGTTCCTCCACGAGACCTTAACGCTGTTCAAATCCACAAAAGGAAGGCTGATTATGATCAAGTACCCTTCTTCGTCCTCGTATATCGTCTTCGCAGCAGTCACAGGTCCGTACACGTTCTTCATCGCCCCACTAAACTCGTTACACCAATTCGGTAGCGGCTCGTTCTGGTGTACTTCGATAACAGGAGCACACTCTTCCTCATGGACACCGTTTGAGAAGAAGTCTTTCCTCTTCTTGTTGTGTGAAAGATCAATCGCCGCTTCACCATTCGAATGGTTAGTCGCAAGATTAAGCCCTGATCCGTTAAGTAGCTTCTTGGACTGGCTTGCCTTCAAAGAAGCAGGCCTCTCGAGCTCAAACTCAGTGTTTGGAAGGTTCCTCCAAGAACCAAAGTCGCTAGCTTCAGGCGGGATAGCGAAATTCAAATCCCGTCCGGTGAGCTCCATCCATCTCTTCCTCTCTTCCTCATCGAGACAGGTTAGGTTAGGTAAAGGAACAAGCTCAATCCCATGAACACACTGAGGATTCGACAAGCCTCTGTAATGCTTCCTCTGCATCCGATGAGACCTCACAAACCCTTTCTCAACGCTAAACGGGAACAAACGATCTCCTTGTCTCGAATGACCGTTCATGTAACTCCTTAGCTGCATCTTCCCAAGAGCGTTCTCAGGTCTCTCCTTGAACACCCACATGTACATGTTCTCCATATCATGCTGGACGAGAAACACGTCGAGCTTCAGATCCGACTTGTCGAAACCGGATATCCCGTTGCTGTCCCTGACGATCTTGGCCTTGGACTTGTCGTTTAGAGCTGGTTTGAAGTAGAAGCTGAAGAAGAACCAAGCTCCCCAAGTGCTATCGACGCGCTTGGCGCATTTCCTCCCGACTTTAGGCACAACGCTCATGTAGTTCTCAGTCTCGTACGCTTGTGAGCCTAACCCGACATCAAGAATGTCGCAAGAGTCGAGGTTCCATGGCTGCGGAGGAGGGCTTCGCTCGGCGGAGAGAGGTAGGTTGATGTCAGGAGGGCCAGAGAGAAGAGACTGCCTGTTGTTGTTGTTGTTGTTCATCTCCAAATCAAGCTCCTCGTGAGAAGAAGCACTTGAATCCATTGATAAGAGTGTTGAAGGATGGTGATTCTCCATAGCCAAGACGTTTAACCAAGTATCTACCATTTCAGCTCGAAACAGAGACTAGCAGCAGCATCTCCAATAACAACACTTGCAATTCTCATCTTCCTCTCTCCCAATTGCTAATAAAAGAAGCCCAATTTCAGAAGCCAAAGCTGTAATCTTCCGCAAAACCCAAGTAAATTGACATAACCTCCGATGAGCTGAAGAAACCCTAATCCTTTATCTACACATAACTTGCTCAATTCTTTTTCCCCAGATCTTTAAGAACACCCAGAAAAATCGAAACTTTAAGCCTTTGAAGATAAGAACACACGGAGGGAAGAAAGAAAAAAGGAAGCTTTTTTTGTTTTGGCCTTTGGGATTTGTGGAGTTTACCTTTGTGGAATAATCTCTCAAGTAAATCAAGAAGGAGAAGAAGCTAAGAAGAGCACGAAGCAGATGGTGTCGTCATCATCATTACTCATTAGCTACCAAAAACCAATCGATTACACACTGTGGCTTCGCCAACACAGCAAAAACAACAACAACAAATCTTAATTTTCTTCTTCTTCTTCTTTTTCTGTAGAGAGAGATACAGACGGAGAGTAAACGCCTGCCCTGGATGCAGCCGTGGAAAGTTTCCGCCGTTACTTAACGGTGAAGATTATTGTTTATTGGCTTGGCTCCTTCTTTTATACTATTCGTCTGTCTTCTAAAAAGTCGGCCGAGTTGCCGAGTACTCTGTCCTAAAACCGCCAGAAGGAGGTTGCCGTTCCGACTTTTTAAAAACCGAGTAAAGATATGATCAACTGTTGACTGTACTTTGACATTCACATTATTATAAAAATCAGCAAGTAAATGTTAAAATCTGGTGGATTAAAGTTTGATTTTTGTTCATAATTAGCCCCAATTCACCCTAAGTGTGTAAAGACACTTTTCATTCAAAATGAAACGTTAAAAATATAATATATGACTTTTTATATTGATATATTATATATAAAAAAATGTTATTTGGTAATAATGTAGTATATGATTTTCATGTTGATGTATTATATATAAAAAACTAAAAATGTTGGAAATATATAAAAATGTATTTAAAATTAATTTCCGAGTATTCTCCGATTTATTTCCGACTTTTAAGAAAATCGTTATAAGGAGATTGAGCGCTCTAGTACCGCCTAACGAGTTTTAGAACACAGTTATTCGTTCGTAAATCGTAAGTGTGGTTAGCGAATGTATACATTATATACACACCGTCAACAATATTCTTTTTCCGTTAATAGACAAAACTAAGCGTCGTCGTAGTGACATTTTTTCCTTCGACCGTCCTAATAACATCGTAATAACATCTGTATGTCTCTATAATTAAGTATTTTTCAAAAAATTATTAAGTGAATGTGTAGTAAGTATTTTTCCATTTAAAAAAAAAGTTTGATGTGGTGTTCACAAAAGTTCAAGATAAAAGAGTTGTCCGCTAATAGGTTCATCTTTTATTTTCAAGAAGATAGTTTTCATTTCGTCTAATTATTTAAATCATTAAAAAATAAAATTACCCACAAATACAACAACGTTTCTTTTTGCTAAATCGTAGTCAATCGTAGTCAATCGTCCTTATCTCTTTACATTTTCTCCATCAAACAACCACAACCTTCGTGGATTTGATATTGTGGATTTTTTCCTTCTTTTCTAAGTTCTCCTCTGTAGAACATGTAATTCACGTGACTATTTATGTGGCTAACTTCTCTATTACTATAGTTTAGGGCGTAGCTGTACATGTTACCTTGAAAAATATAGTTCCTACATAAAAAATGACATAATCGTTTAGCCCAATTATTATAAACCAACTCTGGCAAATATATTTTTTTAAAAATATATCCAGTGATTAATGTTCATCATTTTAAGACTAGCATCTTCATTTGTGTTGTGTTCTATTTTGGCAAAGATCTTGACTCTATTCAGTTCTAAAACATTTTACAAAACTTTCCTAATAACTTGGTCCCCTATAGTTGCCATAAATTTTCGTAAAATAGTCCTACTTGGTCCCCTATAGACTATTGGCCCATTAGCTTACGACCCAAACCGAAAGTCATAGATTGATTGATAAAATAATTTACAAGGTGGAAATAAAGAATAAACAATTTTGGTGCCAAATAAAGAATAAACAATTTTGGTGCCACCGACAACCACCACCAAATTTCCAACCACTCGGTCCACTCCTCCCATGTAACACCATCATAACAAAACACCAAAGAAGATCCTCCTTCTTCTTTCATTGTATATAAACAAAAATATAAAACTTATTAGGAGTACAAAATATAAAATGTTATCTTCAGTTTGCTATCAAAATTAAATAAAACCATGTGAGTTAATGAAAAGAAACTTGGATTATTTTCACAGAGAAAAAAAAAAGAGTTATGAACTAGAGATGCTCGTCTAACGAAAGTGATTGTTGCATTCGAGATTATCCATTTTATAAAATCTGCCGTAAACCTAGTGTATGATGCTATTATAGTATTATCTGTCGCTACAAATAACATATGGAAGACCTATTGGCACTAGTCGTCGCATGTTTTATTTTGTTTATTTCACATTAAGAAATATATAAATTTTGACCTTTCGACGGGAAGAAATTGAAAAACTAATTAATTTGGAAAAACAAAACCAAACTTAGTTTGTAAAGCAAATTCCATTACTATCTATCTCTCATCCCCACCACCACCATTTTTCATAATTCATACCACAATAAATAATGTTCAATAATTCCACTACCTTCGACTCCGGCTCCGGCTCCGGCGCCGTCGTCCCAACTCCCGCCGCTACTGTTCCCATCACGGTCTTCCCCGGTACCACCATCACCACCAACTCCACCTTCATCATCATCGGACCTCCTCCACCGTTTCCGGCGCCTCCCCGGAGCATAGACCTCTCTCCTCTCAAACTAATCTTCGCCGTTATCGCCATCGTCGCCGTTCCCGCTTTAGTCTACGCTCTCTTCTTCGCCATCCCGTGTTCTCATAACCGCCGCAATTCCTCTTCCTCCCGCCGCAGCAGCAGCTCCTCCTCCGACGACACGCCTCATGTCTCCGTGGATATCTCCCCGCCGACCACGAGAGAAACAGACAGCGCCGCCGCCACCGCGACTGACTCCGGCCTCAAATTCCAGAAGGATACACATTCCAAAGAGATCGGAAACGAGTGCACCGTGTGTCTGTTAGTGTTCGCCGACGGCGAAGAGATCCGACTACTGAGCCCGTGTAAACACGCATTCCACGTGTCTTGTATTGAGCCGTGGCTCGAGAATCATCCCAATTGCCCCATTTGCCGAGCAGACGTCTCCGTCAAACAGACGGAAGCCAACGTTACCGTTAACGCTAGTGCTAACGCGAATCGCGGTGGAGGAAACCGCCGAGTTTCGGCGACCAATAGAGATGACGATTGGCGTCAAGGTCTACCTGACGCTTCTAGTTTAGTTTGATTTTTTTTTTCTATTTATCTTTTTCCTTTTTTGTAATTTATTTCTTCATTTTGTGATTTTTGATATATTTTTTTGTGACTGTAAACAAATTACGTCAATTTCGGGAAAAAAAAAATGTGTGTATGTTAAATAATTTAGAAACTTTATAAATTAATAATGTCACGACTTTGATATTTTATTAATTTATAGAGTTATTAATATTAATATATAGGTTTTGATTAAAAATAAATTTTCAAAAAATATTATTTAATATTTATAATCTTTTAAATTTTCATTCAAATTAAATAAAAACTTTTATTTATAGTATATTTTCTTTTTAAGGGTATAATATAACTTTTAATCTATTTTATTAATCTGCGTGAAATCTACTAATGACAAATAAAAGGAAAGAGAGGGAGTATATTTTTTGTGACTATAAACAAATTACTGTACGTCAATTTCAAAAAATGTGTATGTTAATTTATTTATTTATTTTGGGTAGTTTTCTTTGGTTGCTTTGCTTCGTAGCTCCGTAAGCAGTAGTGAGTGTGTGTGATGGGAAATCTGACGTGGACTCCCGACAACTCAAAGAAAACGCACTACAGCTAGCTCATCCTACGGTGTACGATGATCCAAGACAACAATCCGACGGCTCATATTCATTAACGTTTGCTCACTAAAACGACAACGTTTTGGCGTTCACCAACCGATTTTTTTTCAAATTAAAAAACTTAAACTTTCGTCTCCTTCCCGGCTTCCTCCTCTATCTCTCCACCGTCGGCTCAGATCTGGCTTCTCTCATGTCCCGGAGAATCGTAGATTTGTCGATTAGTGTGTAATCGAGTCATGAAAAGATCTCACATTTCTACTCCTCGCGCTTTTTCTCGACCGTTGATTTCACTGTTCGGCGTTTTCCTCCTGTTCCTTCTGGGTTTAACACTAACCTCTCGAAAACCATCCGATTCCTCCTCCGGTTTATCCCCAAATCGAAGCCTAAGCGAAAACCCAAAGATTCCGAGGCTCGCGTATATGGTAACGGGGACGAAAGGAGATGTGAAACGAGTGAAGCGGCTTCTCAGGGCAATACACCATCCGAGAAATTACTATCTTCTGCATCTGGATCTTCAAGCTTCCGATGAAGAAAGGATGGAGCTTGCGAAGTTTGTGAGATCGGAGAAGAAGAAGAAGTTGAAGAACGTTATGGTGATGGGTTTGGCTGATTCGGTGACGGAGAAAGGTCCGACAATGTTGGCTAACACGCTTCATGGAGCTGCGATTCTGTTGAAGAAAGCTGAGGATTGGGATTGGTTTATCAATCTCAGCTCCTCTGATTATCCTCTCATGCCTCAAGATGGTAAAAAAACTTCACTCAATCTTAAAAAACCATTTCCCTAAATCTTTGCTTCATGTTTCTTTAAATTCAATGCTGTCCGAAAAATCTGTTTGTGTTAGTTTGGTAATGATGTTAGTTCAATTGAGATTTCCAAGTGAAGTGAAATCAGAAAGTAGAAGTTTTTGTTTTTCATTTCATTAGGGAGAATTAATGTTCTGCAATCCAAAATCAAATTAATATGAACTTAGGATTCTGTTATGTGTATTGGCTTAGGCTTCTCTTGTAGACAATATTGAATTGAATAGGGAGAATTAATGCTCGTATAACTGAAATCTCAATGCTTTTGAACATCCCTTAACCTAAGTTAACCTCAACATTCATTTCTCTTGTTTAAGCCCTAACTAATCAAATCTCTCTGTTTGACATTTCCTTCAACGGAATTCTATGAAATATAGAGTCATTAATAGAAATGGTACTTAATTCAACTAAGCATTGTTGTGCTTCACTTGTATATGGTTTATGCAGTTTTATAAACATGAAGCCGTTATGACTTATGATGGCCTTATGGGGAAAGATTTATTTTTGAGAGAATTTTAGATATGGTATGACACGTTCTAGTCTTCTAGACATACAAGTACAACTGATGTAGTATGTGTATGTCATGTGTCATACCATACCTAATATTCTCTCAAAAAACAAAAATTTCCCCATAAGTCATAAACGGCTTCATGTATATATTATCTATAAAATGCATAAAAACATAAAAGTTAAGTACAACATTGCTTCGTTTAACTACTTACCACTACAATGAATGACTCTAGACCTCATATATATAGACTTTAACTAGCCTCTGGAACACTGGACTTGAGTTTGAAGCATAAGAATGTGTTTAAGTTTTGGTTTTGGCTTCCACAGTTCCACTTTTTGATTCTTATTGTACTTTTGGCCCCTTTTTTGGAGTTTCAGATGTTTTGCATATCTTCTCATACTTGCCACGTTACCTGAACTTCATCGAGCACACAAGCAACATCGGTTGGAAAGAGTGAGGGAGCTAATATTATGTATACCTACCTGGAAATGTTCTCCGTTTCTATATTCACAAAACAGATCTTTGCTTGCTTTTTGCCTAACAGCTCCAAAAATGTTCATTTCCTTGCAGGAACCAAAGAGCAAGACCAATCATAATCGATCCTGGCTTTTACCATTTGAAGAAATCTGGTGTCTTTTGGGCTAAAGAACGGAGATCTTTGCCTGCTTCATTCAAACTCTTCATGGGTAAACAAAAAACACTCAAATCTCATTTCTTGTTTCATTCACCCTCTCCTTCATTTCTGTGTGTGTAATGAATCTTTTCTAATAGGATCACCAAGCGTAGCTCTAACAAGATCTTTCCTCGAGTTCTGCATTTGGGGATGGGACAATCTTCCAAGAACGCTGTTGATGTACTACACCAACTTCCTTTTGTCGTCAGAAGGCTATTTCCAGACGGTTGTGTGCAACAATAAAGATTATCAGAACACTACTGTTAACCATGACTTGCATTACACGCATTGGGATCCTCTTCTCCAGCAGCGCGCCTTGAATCTAACGGTTGAGAATTTCCGCGATATGGTCCAGAGCGGGGCTCCGTTTGCGAGGGAGTTTAGGGAGGATGATCTTATACTTGATAAGATCGACGCCGAGCTGCTGATTGGTCAAACCGACGGTGGATTTGGGTTGAAGACTCCGGAGGTTGTTAAGCCAACGGTGAGTTGGAAGAGGCTTGAGAAGCTTATGGTTAGGCTTCTTGATCATGAGAGTTTTAGAGATAAGCAATGTAAATAGTTTCTTTGTTGCCTAACGCTTGAGTATTGATTTTATTCTTCTAATCATTAATTTTTCTTGGAATATATCTGTACTCGTTAGTCTAAAGAATTTTGTTTATCCTAATGTGAGTTTTATTTTATCCAACAAATGATGTAAGAAAATATTACGGATAAAGGAGTTGGAATTGATGCTTATTGAAAGAGTATCCCACGAGATACTTAAAAATATACTGTACAGAGATTTTAAATATAGTTTTCAAAGAATAATTGTATTGCTTATTATTTTGTTACCAATACTTTTATTTTTTTAAACTGCACTCTTGTAGTTCATGTTGTGAACATGTTACGTAGATAATCCAATGATGAAAATGTTTTTAAATTATGGAAAACAAAAATATATGCAGAATTAAACTTTATGGAATTTTTCTAAGTTAATGGGTATGGAAAAAAACACTCAAATCTCATTGCTTATTTCATTCTCCCTCTCCTTCATTCATTCTTATGTGTGTAATGAACTTTTTCTAATAGGATCACCAAGCGTAGCTCTAACTCCTCGAGTTCTGCATTTGGGGATGGGACAATCTCCCAAGAACGCTGTTGATGTACTACACCAACTTCCTTTTGTCGTCTGAAGGCTATTTTCAGACGGTTGTGTGCAACAACAAAGATTATCAGAACACGACGGTGAACCATGAGTTGCATTACACGCATTGGGATCCTCTTCTCCAGCAGCGCGCTTTGAATCTAACGGTTGAGAATTTCAGCGATATGGTTCAAAGTGGGGCTCCATTTGCGAGGGAGTTTCGAGAGAATAATCGATCACACACTAATACTAATCTTATTACCACTAATCTTATTAACTGGGTCACACTTGTAAAATAGATCAATTATAAAAACAAATAATATATTAACAAAATATGATAATATTTCATATTTATTATATTTTACTTATGTTTCACATATATTTTTCTTATGTTTCGCATATATTTTTCTTATAATTTGTTTATATACTTCTTTTTGTAAAACAAATTTTTGATAACTCTCTTATTTTTACCTATAAATTAATTGTTTATTTTTAAATAATACTTTCTCTGTCCCATAATATAAGTTGTTTTAGCTTATAAATTGTATCCCACAATATAAGCAATTTTGACTTTATTGATAATTGTGTGACCACTTATATTATTATATTACATTCACATATTTTTGTTATCTACGAATTCGTCATTTTGCAGCTTTAATAGCCAGTATTTGTGAACATGATGGTGAATTAGTAGAAAACAAAAATATGTGGACAAGAATAGAAGAATAATAGCAAAAGAAAAGATTTAAACTTGATAAACTGTGGATCCCATATATAGATTACAAAATCATAGCCATTATTTGCCAAACTATTCCACATAAACTAAAAATCAGAACTCCATACATTACATTTAATCCACTGAAAAGTATATAAATCCTGATCAAATCTATCGAAGTCTGTGGCCAGGGAATGTTTTTTGCGTGGTAGGTAAAACTTAGAAAAGAAACCTCGGAAAATGGAAAGAATTAACGTATTGGGAGATGTGGAGAGAGTAAGAGTCACGCGGTTCGAGGGAGCGTGAGGATCAATCACATCTACGAGAGAGATATTGCCATGCAGAGAAAAAAAAAAAAAAGCAAAGCAGAGAGAGGGAACATGATGGACCGGTCGCGATGCTTCGGCTGTCGTCCAACGACCAAAGCACCCATTTTACCCACTTTTCCTATTTTCAATCTTACCTCTGCTTTATTTTCAAATTATCATAAATCATTATATGATCAACGATCCTATTATAATCATTATGCAACACCTCGAAATTCGGTCTACATAACACCTTTGTCTCCTAAATTCACTCCATATATTCTACTCGGATCAATCTACACAGATATCCAACTATATAGTCACTGTTAACGATATATTCTCAGTTTTTTTAGTTGAATCAGTATACACAAAGACATAGTGTGGCCATTTTTTTAAGAGACAAGGTTTAACTTTACACTAGGATTTCATCCAATTCAGTTACATCGCTGTCTTTGAATTGTTTTCTAACTAATAACTAAACAATAATATTTTTTGTCATCATGAAATTTATAACAACAATTGTAATGAGGATCCAAAGTAGGTTTGTTGAATTGTTAAAGCAGCTAATTTTCTAATCTATAGAAATCATTACTCAACTAGGGTACTACGTTTTTTTATAAATAATATAACAATTATACGTTGTTAACTTTGGTCTACAAATCTCGATCGGTCTTTTATTTTATTTTTTTTTGACGAATCTCGATCGGTCTAATGTGTGGATCTTCGAAGCGAGATGAGATGACCATCACAAGGCACAAGATAAAATATACTTACACTTACACATTAATACATATGAAACTAGTGATAAAAAAATTAAACCCTAAGTAAAGCAAGAAAACAAAAAGAATCATGTCAGTCCCACCCCATATGGAACACAAACCCTAATAATTACATATATGACAATTATTTTCTTATAACCCCAAAATAAATATATTGTATACACACATATATAAGCGTATATACATGGACATAATATATATAAAGGTCCGGCCACTTTTAATTTTAGCCATCTTCATTCTCACACTCAACCTTCTCCTCTCTCCCTTCATTCTCTTTGTTTTCTTTGATCTGATTCCTCTAGTTCTACTATCACCCACCAAGAAAAAAAGAGAGACAAAGAATATAACTTTACTTTAAGAATTTTGAAGAATAAAATCAAAAGAGAAAAACAAAGAGAGTATAACCATGGTTTTCTCCTCCATCCAAGCTTATCTTGATTCATCCAACTGGCAACAAGTAAGTCCTTTACTGTTCCATATATACACACTTCTTATTCTTGCTTATCAATTACATGTTCTAATTTTTTTTAATCATATATAAGAGAGAAAACTTAATTCAAAGCAAGAAAAAAAAGAAACAAATAGATTTCTTCTTGTTTAATCAGCATGATCTAATTTTAGAATTAAACTCAAAAAGAGTAAATCTTAGTTCGAAGGAAGAAAAAGAAAAGATACAAAAAATCTTCTTCCTTAGCATGTTCTTGAATATACTTGTTCGCTTTCAAGAACTCATTCTTTTTTGTTTAATTGTCAAATTATTTTAGGGTCCTCCGAGCAATTATAATCAGGGCGGGGCAGGAACCTCAGGAAACGGGGGTCATGGTCTTCGTCCTCAGCTCCAGCCACAACCGCAGACACAGTCTAATGGGAGCGGAGGAGGAGGCGGCGGCTCAATCCGAGCAGGATCTATGGTTGACAGAGCAAGGCAAGCAAACGTAGCCCTGCCCGAAGCGGCACTGAAATGTCCAAGATGCGAATCCACCAACACCAAGTTCTGCTACTTCAACAACTACAGCCTCACTCAGCCACGGCACTTCTGCAAAACATGCCGGAGATACTGGACACGTGGCGGTGCTCTCCGCAACGTCCCCGTCGGCGGCGGCTGCCGGAGAAATAGGCGTACGAAAAGCAGCAGCAACAATAACAGCACCGCCACTAGCAACAACACAAGCTTCTCCTCCGCTGCCTCAGGGAATGCATCCACCATCAGCGCGATTCTCTCCTCAAACTATGGAGGAAATCAAGAGAGTATCTTAAGCCAGATTTTATCTCCGGTGAGGCTAATGAATCCAAACTACAATCATCATCTCGGAGATCTCACTGATAATACAAAAACAGACAATAGCATGAGCTTGTTGAACTATGGAGGATTGAATCAAGACTTGAGGTCAATCCACATGGGAAACTCCGGTGGTTCGCTTATGAGCTGTATTGATGAGTGGAGATCGGCGTCTCATCATCAGCAGCCGACTTTGGGAGGTGGAAACTTGGAGGATACGGCTAATCCAAATGCATCCACAAATGGGTTTTACCCTTTTGAGTCGCAGAGGATAACGTCAGCGTCGATCTCTTCTGCTTTGGCGTCGCAGTTTTCTTCGGTTAAAGTTGAAGATAATCCTTACAAATGGGTTAATGTCAATGGTAATTGCTCTTCCTGGACTGATCTTTCTACTTTCGGCTCTTCTCGTTGAGTCCAACCCAAAAAGACAAGGAAAACACTTAAGGGTACTTATTGATGAAAACCCTAGTTACTAGTTTTAGGTTAATTTTGTCTTCTTTTGCGTTTTTGTTAGTTAATGTTGTTTACGACTTTCCTTGTTCCTCGATCTATTGGATGTGTCTGAGAGTACTGTTCTTTAGTTCTTTTTGTCATGAACACTGTTTCCTTTGTGTTGTTATATTTTGAGTTTGAATACTACTATTATCGAATGTCCTAATTAATATCTTAGATGGATCTATAAGTCGATACCTATCGATCTTATCTAAAATTGCATGAGTTGATGATTTAATTTATTTGTTAGTTTCATTTGGTCAGAGGACTTATCATCTGTTGTTAATTAGTATTAAATTTTATAATCATTACTTTATAAGAAGCGTAGAAGCCAATCAATTATGTATATTGCATTTGTAGAATACACTGTTTTAACCGAAGGGACCAAACACTATGAATAAAAATATACACTTTTCCTACCTAGTTTGCTCTCGACTTTGAATAAAATTTATAATTGAAAGAAACCAAACCAAAATGTAATTAGATTATGAATCTTTAACGAGTTGATCAGCCTCCTCCTGTCATTATGATATATATATATATATAAAGCTTAATTAATTAATCTCGCCAGAAACCGTATCTCAAAAGTATCAAGATAGAGTTGATTGGACAGTTCTCACCATGGGTAATTGTACATCTACCCTCTGATCTGAACAAGAATAGGAGAAAAGATAACATAGTTTTTTGAAAAAAAATGTCAGAGTTTTTTAAAACGGTGGAACGTAGAAAGAAAAAAAAGCAACACATTACATGAAACTCTGTGAAAAGAGAAGCATTTGAACCAAACAGAAATGAAAGAAGTCATTAATTCATTATAACGAAAGAGAATGTCTTAATAGGAAACCAAATCTGAAGAAGTCACGGATCGATAGGTCCTGTAAAGTTTGGCGGAAAATATCTGTAGAAAGGAACCGTAGACGTGTCTATGTGTGCTTTAATCAAATCCTATAACATTTTCCCTTCAAATCTCTACTGTCAGGAATTAATCCATAAAATCAAGGAATCTGAAATTATTTTCTGATTTCATGGATCGAACATGGTGTATATCTTGATCAGTTGTGTTTTTTTCTTATAAAGAAAAACAGTAATACAAACATTACAAAGATAACACGTTTAAGCATTAATTTTAACTTCTCACACAAAGCTTATAATTTATAGTTTTAAACGTTTTGTCTAGTTAACGCATAGTTTGACACACAAGAAACACATGATTTATCAGAAATCCTAAATAGTTTTTGAGATTAGATATTAGAATATAATGGAGGAACAAAAGAGATGTGGATAGAGATGATAAAAAAAATAAAGAAAACTGATTGTTGTGGGTTGGGTTGAATGGACGAAACCAACTTTTTGATTTTCAACAATTGACGAAACCAAATTAAGAGTAAGGATCTTAGGTTTAATGATTCCATCCTTCATTCTATGATAATTTGCATGCAAAAACAAAAATTTGTAGGAAATTGATTTAATCTTTAAAGATGACGGCCGTATTTTCATACATCAGTACATGTGACTACGAAACATTTAAGAAGGACAGAAGCAGAGAATCAATGTCGGGACGAGAATTTTAATCTTAAGTTGTCAGTTTGACGTGCTTTGGAACGCGTGTACACAACTCACTAGGAGACAAGATTACTTTTTTGTCAGTTTGTGTGGGCACGTCATCCATTTTCACTGTTAGTGTTACTGTGTTAGAAGAACTCATTCAGTCTCTACTGATTTGGTCATTATTACTGGTGACTTCTTTTCCTTTCATTAATTTCTATATTTTAAACGATATTTATTTTTCCCCCATTTTAAACGGTAATTCAAAACTTACAATGAAAAAAGTTTAGAATTGAAAAAAGAAGTTAAAAAATGGGAAAAAAGAAGTGAATCCTATGTACATAATTATTTATTGTCCTTTGCCAAACGTACTCCATCATCCCTCTCGAAAGGATAATTCAAGAACGAATATACAGAAATATAGTCCGATTTATTATATATTGTAAACGCATAATTTTTCTCGGTCCTAAAAAAGGAGGTATTGGTTCATAGTGAAAGAAAGGAATCTAAATTAGATGATTGTTCTGCTTTTACAAGTACCAAGGCTGCTCACTGATATGGAATAAAGCAAATTCAAACCTATAAAGCTAAGCCACATAATTAAAACCTGCCCATTCTCCCATAATTTAGCTATTTTGATTACACTATCTACTAAACAACCATCGACATAGCAACTACATGTAGTTTATTTCAGCAGTTATCATATTATTATGAAAATTTAAAATAACTGAAGCTATCAGAATTATTGAAAATCAACCAGATCATTCGAAGTTGGATTCAAACTCAAATTCCACTTAGATAAGAAGTGACTAAAAGATGTTCATAAGAAAACAATTCTTGGGTACGTAAATCAGTGTAAACGAGTAATTCAAATTTGCACTTGAAAGGCAGAGTACGTAGTACTATATATGAGGAATCCCCAACAGAAGAACAGTTGAATGTGGCTCAGAAATCCAAGCTAAATCTTGTCACCTGATAATGTATGTATTTCTGTGCATATACATATATGTAGGCACATCCATGTATTGATTTCTGTGAAGGTCTAGGCCTATATAGACGAGGACCAGCGTATTTGTGTACGATATATACCAGCTTTCACTTTTACAGCATGTAAATAATATCGTACTTCCCTGTGATTATAAATAAAGAAACACGTCACAACTTTTTTTTCATGTACAAATTTCAAAGAATATCCGTTCAAAATCAAACATACAAAATTTATAAGCTTATGTGTTGAAAACTCTTGGTGGTAAAGCTACAAATTTTCTAAGACATATATCTACAAAATGGAGAAAAATGAATCATTCTATCCCTCAGTGTAGCGTTCATGTAGCTGAGTCTAATGAATCATTCTATCGCTCAACTGTTGGTTTGGCATTAGTCATTACACTTGTGTAGGTCCCCAAAGGCCTTCCCAAGTTCGATACTAGCTACGCATTATTCTCTACACTCAGCTACATGAACTTAACAATTATTTGTTGATATTTTTATACTGTTTTTTACATACAATTAAACAAAGATCTAATAAAGAAATAAATAAAAATAGATATAGGCGAAAGAAAGTTTTTAGAAGCAAAATAGATAAGGATATTGTGGCGGCTTAGACAATAACATCTATAATATGTAGAAGCCACAAATTTCCAATGGATATTCTAAAGACTAAAACTAAACATGGATTTTTTTTTTTGAAACCAAAAACATTATAGACCTTAGAAAACCCCTTATAAAAAAAATACTATAGACCTCTTAGTTCATAATCTCTTCGTGTAGGAAACAAAACGTTTTAAATTGAACTGTATTTCATTCTCTACCACCGGACTTTGACATGACTTGGTACTTACATATTCACAGTTAGCCAAATTGTATTCATATTAATCGGTTATCTAGAAGTTTCGCATTTCATCTCACATATGATCATATACATAATAGTCGAAATATACTTAATATGTAAACACGTAAAAAACTAAAAGTATATAAAAAATCTAGAGTCTCTATCATCTTTTGGGGGCGTTTGAAACTGATCGATGTAGATATAAGGATCATACATGTGGATAAAGTGGTGAAGGGACTATAATCTCTTAGTAGTATTACCTTGTCACGTTTCTTCCTTTCATGTTGTCATCAAGACATCAACCACCACTGGCGGATTCAAAACAATATTTAATTTGGGGTACATTTTGAATAAAAATTGTCAACTAATAAAATAATTTATAAAAAATAGTAAGATGTTAAAAATAAAAGTTTACTACTAAATAAAAAATAAGAAAAAATTTAGCATTAGTTTAGCAAAAAATAAACAATATTTCTTATTTTTTAAATATTTTCCTAATACATATCTCTTTTAATATAATTTTCTATTGAAAACAATAATCATATTTTGTTAGTGAGATTAAAGCTTTTTACATTGTCCTGAAAGCTTTAGTATATGGATTATACATCTGAAATGAGTAATAGGATTAGTCACCATAGTACTCTTGAGTCATATAGCCTTTGGAAAGATCATATTTATAGTTTTTTAGTCGTTATTGTATTAATAAGCATAGTTTTTCTCTGTTATTGTCTTTACCAACAATTTCTTTGTGTATAGATACGAGCAGAGAGATTCCACTTCCAACATGGGGAAGTGGAATGCACAATATATTTTAAAAGTTTTGAGTCAAACCAATTGTTGGCTCAAACACCTTGTGGCCACGTATTCCATTCGGAATGCTTGGTTCAGTGGCACACCAACTGTCCTATATACGAATGGAATGCTTGGCTCAGTGGCACACCAACTGTCCTATATACAGAATGAACTTTTAGGTTAAAATTTGTTTAACACTTGTTACGTTTATATTTGACTACTATTTTGAATTTTGATGTTAAGTTGGGTTATTAGATGTTTAAGGTTGCTAAGGAGAAGTTGGAAACTCATTAAAAATATTTAATTTGGGATACATTTTGAATTAAAATTCTCAACTAAAAAAATAATTTATAAAAAATAGTAAAATCTTTAAAGTGAAAATTTACGACTAAATAAAAAATAAGAAAAAGTTTAGCATTAGTTTAGCAAAATATAAGCAAATATTTTTTATGTTTTAAATATTTTCGTAAAACATGTCTCTTTTAATATGTTTTTCTATTGATAATATATATTTTACTAGTAAAAGATGTATCAAAAGAAAACAACATCAGTAGACTAAGCAATTTCGAACTTAATATATTATTTAGATTTCAAAAATACTACTAAAATAAATAACCAAAAACTTGATTTCTCATAACAAGATAAGTAAAATTAGAAGTAATTGAACAATATTACCGTTTTGGTAATTATTTAGAGTTTTTATAAGAGTTCTGACACTTTCTTTTGTTCTGCTGAAAGGTTATAAAAATGAAGAAGCAAAGCTATTACTAGACTACGCACATTGCATTTTAAAAACATAACTCAACTTTCTCTTTAAATTTTTAATTTTCAATTTTTGGATTTCGTAAAAAACATTAATTTTCAGGAGAATAAACCTAAAGAAATGAATTGTTAACAAATAGTATTTTGATACAATTTTTGGACCCGAATTTATACACCATGAAGATACTTGGAAAAAACATCAGACTCGACAATATATGTTTTTGAATTCGATTTTATAGGGACAAGGATGCATGGAACTAGGCCCAAACTACAAATCACATGGAAAAGTTGTGGAATAAGGCCATAACTAACACTGGTTTCGTAGATCAATACCACAGTTAAAGTCTTGCTGCGATCCTTAGGTCGTCTTTGATAACGGGTATTTTTCTATACGAACAATAGAGAACAAGATATGGACAAAAGAAAGTAGTAGTTTTTATAAGATCAATAATAAAAAAAACAGAACAGAGTGAATACATAAATCCACATTCCTAAGAAAACACAAGATAATGTTTTTGGGCATAGAGCTGATTTGCAAGAGCAATTCCAAACAAAAAAAATAGCAAAATCTCCCAACATAACGCAGAAGAAGATCAAGATGTTTACTTCTTCTTCTCAGAGACTCCACCACCAGACCTGCAAGTTGTCAAACAACAAACAAGATTCAGCAAACCTTACTTCAATTCAACAAACAGAACTTGTTCATATCTCAGCTGAAATTTGGTTTTCAAGTGTTAAAAGAGAAGCACATATAACACTGTCTTGTTCCTAAAGGAACTCAAAACACTATGCCAATAGATAAAACTACATGAAACATGACAATGAAACTCCAGTGAAGAAACAAATGAAACCAAATAGCTGAGATTTAATACCTCATTTTGCGGAGAACACCAGACATCTCCTCTCTCTTTCGCTTGGCTCTCTTGTGAGTACCCAACTTCCTCTTAGCAACCTTAAGAGCCCTCTTGTCTTTGCCAACCTTGAGAAGCTCAGTGATTCTCTTCTCATAAGGAGCAAATCCAGCTACTTCCCTTATCAAGCCTCTGATCAAAAGTGTCCTCTTGCTCGTTTTCTACAGTATACATCATCAATCCAATCAATAATCTCAACCACATTCCTCAACAAAACACCATTTCTCAAACATTTCAAGCTCTACTAAACTATGAAAGTGACATTCCCATTTCTAAGCTCATTAGCACAGATTCAGCTCAAAAATGCAATCTTTCAGACTACAAATCAGAGGGGAGCGAGAGTTATGCATACCCCTTTGCGGGAATTGGGACGAGGAGCCAATTCACGTCTGGTGACGACGTGTCCTTTGTTCAATCCAACGAACAAACCGGTCTTCACTTGTGGTGTAGTCATTTTTTCTGCAAAAAAACTCAAAACGATTCAAAGATTTTAGTATACTGAATAATTACATAGCTTCTTAAAGAAATCGAATTTGGAACCTAAACAGTGATACCAACGAGAAAGGGAGAGGCTTTGATCAGAATTCAATACCTTACTACTCGGATCAACCTCCTGCAATGGAGATGCAGCCGCAGCGAAAAAAACAACAATCACTTGGGAAAAAAAAAGAGCATTTTGGTTATATACAGCGACAAAAAGAAAAACCCTAAGATTTTTCTATTAATTGGGCCTGTTAGGTAAATATTTAGTGGGCTTTTATATTGATCCAGTTAAAACTCAATTAGTTTATAACTGATTTCTAGTTTATGGGATAAGCCCAAAGGCCCGAAGCATTCTCGTATTTAATCGAGCTGTTTTGCCGATGGTTTTGGTTCAAATAATTTAGAATCGAAAAAAAAAAATGATATGCTCGTAAAATTATATAGTTACTGGGTGGGTTTATTTTTTTATTTAGTTATTTATGTAACTCTTTGTAAACTTATATATAAAGAGGATAACTAGATCAATTTTAGAAAGAAATCATATAATCGCCTTTGATTCTTGAATAATCCATATCACTTCTCCTCCAGATTCCACCAAATACATTTGTATACAACCTAATCATATTAGCAAAAGATGATAAAGTTGTCATATTTATTACTCTTTCTGTTTCCAAAAACTTAATGCTATAGAGTTTTCACTGATATTAAAAAAATAATTAATACATAGCTTTAGATGCATTTTTATTCTCTCACTAACCACTGTACCATTAATATGAAATAATAGCAACTCAACAATGTTTTTAAATTTCACAATAAAACTACATTTATTAATAAACAATAAAAAATATATAAAAAATCAAGTTTTGTGGATGGAAGAAAAAATCTAAAACATCAAGTTTTTATAAACAAAGGGAGTATGTTTTACTTATATTTTTCTTATAATTTGCTTATGTTATGCTTATTTTGTAAGAATTTTGTTTTTTTACAACTATTTTTTTATCAACAGAATAGAAGACTAATCATTTAATGTGAGTGTCATATATTGTATTTCGAAGCTCACGTATCCAAACATCAACAAATAAGGAATCAAACAAACAATACACGTAACAAGTTACAAGTTAAATCAACATTTTAATAAGAGTTCAAACTTCAAAGAGTAATTTTAACCTGCATAGACTAAAAACTAATTCTACAAATCGAACAATTGTTTCTCCACTAAGCCAAGCATTCTAAATGGAATGTGTGACCGCAATGAATTGAGAAATACATACATATATAAAATACAATATTGTACGAGTATACAAATGTATACATATACAGTAGTTAAATAGCTAAATGATTAACCCCAACCCACCTAATAGCCTAATAGATGTTAAAATTTTCATTTTGTCTTTCAATTTATCTGTTTAGAACGATGGCAATTAAAAATTCTTTGTTCTTTTTGGACTTTTCACCTCTTGCGGTCAGCTTCTTGCGGTCACGCATTCTACTCGTAATGCTTGGCTCAATGGAGAAACAGTTGTCTGATTTACAGAATCAGTTTTTAGTCCAAACATGTTAGAATTTGTTCTCTTATTGAAAAGTTGATTTAACTTGTAACTTGTTACATTTATTTGTTTGAATGCTTATTTGTTAATACATAATACAATATCTGTGCAAAATCTCATATTGGTACAAAATACAGTATTTGTTCATAATAAATAATAGACACCTTACACTCGTCCAAAAGAAAAAATGTATGAAGAAGGTAAATAGATCAATCTGATTAATATCTATGCAAAATTCATCGAGAAAGAAAAAATATAAATGAAGAAGAAAACATATTAATTTTAAAAAGGAATTATATAATAGCAAAATATGATAAAATTGTCAGATTTATCAAGTTTTACTTATGTGTTGCTTATATTTTTCTTAGAATTTGCTTATTGTATGTTTATTTGTAAATAATTTGTTTTTGACAAATCTCTTCTTTTTACAACGTATAAATTTACTAAACTACGATAATTTGTTTATTCAAATTATGAAGTCAATTTTTCCAGTTATAATTACTAAGTATTTTAATTCTATCGGTACTTACATTGATTCTACAAATGGCTAAGCTGTTTTTTCGATGGTTTTGGGTCAAATAATTTGGAATCGAAAAAAAATGATATGCTCGTTAAAAGTTTAGCTGAAGTGACTTGTTGGTGTTCTGGTAAAAAATTTGCATGACACCCATACGCAAAGAAACATGTTTACTTTGTTAGCACTGATATGTAAACGTCCGTATTTCTTTTTGAAGACATATACATTTGATACATGTAAAGTATCTGGTTAAAAAGATGCAATATACATAATGCATGATAAGTTAAATAGCAGACATAAACTATAACTTTTGTTATGTGCAGTCAAAAGCAATAACTTGAGGGTAAAGATTTTGATGTAATTTCATTGCAGAATAATATTTCCGTTTTGGTCAAAAAAAAAGAATAATATTTCCGTAGTTAGTAGTGTAGTAGTAGACGGATTATAATTTTGCAGAAAGAAAAACAGCTTTCTAATGATTTTGCGATATTAGATGGTTTTTCAGCTGTAATTCCTTATGATACAAATCCCAAAACAAATATACGTGTATTAGATGAATTTGTGAAAATTTACATATTTAATGGAATTCTATCGTAATTTATAGATTGGCTTAAGAGCAATATGTAGCCATTGATTTGTGACGAAATAATGTTACAAATATGTCACACGCCTTTCATGATAAAACAAGTTGTGGTATAATTTTTCTTTAATGAATTTTCAAAACACTTTGTTCTATCCAGTATTCTCAAACTTAAGTGTTATAACTTATAAGATATCTTTATTTAATACACTCGGCCTATATTTATGATTACAAAGAAAATAGCACATGCATGTGTAAACTAAAAACATTAAGAAAGAGCGTTCGGTGGCTAGATCTTTAAATTGGGTCGTTTCATGGTTCCATTTCTGTTCAGTTCTACTGTTTGAATTAATCAGCAAGACACGATTTAACTAGTACGAGTATTTCATAATTGATCTAGAATTTGTAATTGTAACTGTTTTCAAAAAAGAACAAACAATAGTTCAACGCTACAATCTTGTATGTTAACTTTAGACTCTCTTATGATCTTTTCTTTTTGTTAACCATAACGTTTCATTCAAGCTGCGATCAAATTAATTAATAAATGGTCAATTAATTAACAAATTAGGAGACAGGTCAACAAAACCGAAAGCTACATAAAAGAAAGAGAGTAACATAGACGAAACGAACATAACGGCAAGAAAATAAAGAAATGGAAAAAAGAAAGAAAAATATATTAAACAGAAAAGATTTTGAAGATCCATAAGAAAAAGGAAGAAGCTTGAGGCACGATACGATTGAGAGAGTTCTCGTCGTAGGCTTTTTCAATAAAATTAGCGTTGGATGTTCCAACTTTAGAAGCCGAACGAACTTAAATAAGGCCTCGACTCCTAAAGCGTTTATAAAATTCTATATCCATTCTCTTTTCTTGTCCTGTCTTCTTCTTCATGTTTCTATCCCTTTTCCACTTTGATTGTTGCTTCTCTCTCAGTCTCTCTCTTTCTTTTACATACTTTAACTTTACAATATCATCTTCGTTCATTGTGAGTGGATATTGGTAAATTAAAAACAAGTATATATTTATATAACTAAAAAGACAATTGTCAACAAATCTGTAACGTAGCTTACAGCTCAAGACTATTGCCTATTGGTTTGGTTACATCGTTACATAGCTTAATGTACACTTCACAAACGTAAAACTCTCATGTCATACGAATAATTCGAGTTTTACAAAATCATGAGACTGGTAAAAGGATATTTAAGTTCCTTAGACTTTGTGTAAACTAAGAGCAACATAAGCAAATAGCTGTGTGTAAACTATTACAAAAAAAAATAAAAATAAAAATACATACAAAAAAAGAAAATCATCGATCAAGATCATCATAATTCATAATTATTAAAAAAAAACTAACAATGGGCAAATAATCATCATCTAGAAACAGAAATCTATATTTGTGAGGATCAAGAACTCTTCAATACAAAATACCAATTTAGTCGAGTATTCTCTCTTTTGTCTGTTTTGCAAAAAAATAAATGAAAAAAACGTTCAGATATTTTCCAAACGTGACCTAAAACTGGTCATAACAAAATCTTTAAAAAAAACTAAAGCTAATTAATATTTCTTGCATCTTAATTATTTCTTGATCGTCATGGTCGTCGTTCTCCACTGCAAATCCGTTATAAACGAGCTGGCGGAATCTTCCGGCGAGAAATTCAACCGTCTCCGGCACCACATTGCTTTACCTCTGTGCATCACCGGATATTCCTTTCCGCCTTTCCTCGGTGCCGGCGGGCATTCTCTGACATGAGGGATCCTATTCTCCGGACGAGTCGGTGTTTTGAATCCGTCATTGTCTTCCTCCACAATAACTTCTTCTTCTTCTTCTTCATATCGCTTCCTTTTACGACAAATCTCCGGCACGTGTATATTGTCCGAAAACTGGTCTTCTGATCTCGTCTCTGATGAAACCTTACCTAACGTTACATCTCCCTCCTGGTTAAGGCTCGTGATCTCCGACATATCTATAAATCGACGAAACTCGCCAAACGGAGAGAAAATAACACAAAACTCTTGTTCTTGAGAGAGAGAGAGAAGAGAATGAGAAATGATAAGAGAAGAAGAATAAGAAGAATGATAATAAAATGATTGATCGTTGTAGATAGATCCAACGTGGTAAAGAATATTAATCAGGAAAATTGTCAGCTTTTATTTTTTGTTATTTTTTTCCTATTTTTTTCTTTTAGCATTTTTTCAGGTTTGTTTAGAGAGCGAGTTTATTGTGTTTGTTGGTTGTGGTAAGGGAGAGTCTAAAGGCATACATAACGTAATTGAAACCTTCTATTTGATTCGGAAGGAGACCTGATGTGACATCATGCGGCATAATACCGTTACGTTATCTAATTTATCGTTATTAATCTCGACGATAAAGTAAATAAATTTATCGACGATGCCTTTCTGCTTCTCGCAAGTTAAGCACCAAATTGACGTCTGCCTTTACGTTTCCAAACTCCATGTGCGCTTTTTGCATTTTAACCTTTTTTTCTCCTGAAAAAAAAAAAAAATATTGTTGCCGTTGTTAAGACTTTAATTTCGTATCTAAGTCATATTTACGACCACCTTATTTTGTTGTTGAATAAGCCTTTGTGTCATTACAAAATAGTTGAAACAATATATGTTAGAATCAATAAGTAACTAAAATGATTTTGACCCGATGTGCTAATCTTGAAGGGATCCATTTCTCTTATGTTAAGCTAATGTACTCGGGACTTGGTTAGTAGTTTGATATTAGTCACTTACTAAGTATTTTAATGGTAACTAAATGAAACATTGGAATACAAGACAAACAAGGAATAAATGTATAGTGAAATTTGAGAAAAAAAAGGAACATCTAGTTGAATGAAATAATATTTTCTTCCCTATTTGTTTTTTTTTCTGATTTAAATATACATTGGTGAATTTCATGGTATTTCTTTTCACATAGGAACAGAAAATCTCGTGTGAATGGTAGCAAATTAAGAAAACCCAGAATAACAAATTTTCCCATTTTATAATTATGCTAAAACAAACATTGTGATCCTACTTTCTGTTTCATTACAATGTAAACTCAGATATACAATTCATAGTTTCATATACCCTCCGTTTATTTTTAGTTGTCGTTCTAGTTTTTTTTTGCAGATAAAGAAAATAATTAAAGTTATTGTTTTACTTCTAATTAAGAATATGTTTTGTTTAATATGAATTATTTATGAGCTAGAAACTAGGGATAAAACTCAAAATTTTTTAATAACTCTGCAATGAAAATACAAAACGACAAATAATATAAAACAAAATTTTAACTTCAGAACGACAACTAAATTGAAACGAAGGGAGTATATATTAATTTAAAGAAAATACCTTTTCTTCTATTTGCTAATTCTCCGAGTACTTTTTTAATTGATTAGTTGATAGTAATGTATATGAATTTATTCATATTAAGTAACTCAGTGCATTTTGGCGGGTAGTTTAAACCTACTTGTCTTGATCATTAAAATTATATATTTTCCCACTTGATTGAAGGAAATATTGGTTTGAGAGATTGATTAGTACGTAAAGTCAGATTTTTGTTTTTCCGGATATAGATCTTTCGTTGTTGTTGTGTATATATTTCTTAACTGTATTTTGTACATGTAGAAACAAAAATATATTCTTTAACAAAAAAATAGAAACAAAAATATACAGTATATCAGATTCGACACCTCTAATATTAGTAATGAAACGAGTCACAAATAATAGTTCAACAAATTTTGTTCCCACGAAGGATCGTATATTTAAATTCTTGATCCCATGAAAAGATCGGAGCATGTTGGGTTCGTTTGTTAGTTTGAAACGTAGTATTTGATAACTAAGTACAAATGAGTGAATTGATTATACAAAACCATACCGGAAGTTTCCAACATCGTTACAATTTGTTGTCACTCACAAGTCACAACCGTAGCTGCAAAGGGATTGAACGTGCTCGGCCCATGTAAAAGTACTGCCTATTTGGACAATGTAGGCCCATACCAATTTTTACTTCCCAAGAAACTGGAGTTACATCCTTATTAGGTGACCTTGTGACAACATTTATTTGTTGGTTAAAGACTTAATATGACCTCAAATTATGAAAGTATACCGGTTACAAATACAGCAAAAAACACGGTTAGCAAACATCTGCTGTATGTTTTCAGAACACTGAATCCTACACTTTACTAATTTTGTAATGGAAAATCCTTAACCAAAGAAAAAAAAAAAGCAAAAAAGGGGGTAAACCACTAAACCGTTATTTCAAATGTTTTTTGTTTGTTTGATTTCAAATAGAATTAGAACCAGAAAACGAGGTGAGCCGAATTCGAAGCCTTTGGACCCGTTTTTTTTTTATTTACTCGCCTTTCATTTTTTTTCTGCCTCATTTCCTCTTCTCCTTCAATTGTTCCTCTCTTCTCTTCTTCTTCTTCCTCTTCCCTTCAGCCCAATAATTTTCCAGCCGCTAGAAAGTTTTTCTTCTCTCGAATTCAGGTAATTTAGCGACCATTTGCTCTGCTTTTCATACACCCAATTTACGTTGTTTGTTTGCATCGATTTAATACAATTATTTATTTCATGCGAGTTTTTTTTTGGATCTGGGTCTCGGGTGGCAATATTTGTGTCACTCAAATCTACCTTCAAATTCCAATTATCTAATCTTCCGATCTGTGTTTATCGATTTAATAATCGTATCGTCCTCTCACCAATTGTCATTTGTTTAATCGACCAATCTTCAACCGCGACTGATGTTTTTAATAATAAAAATCAATTCTTCTTCTTTTATGGTTAAAATGTGGTTGAATTTTATAATCCTGAGAAATTGGTTGATAGATTCTGGATCTATAATATTCCTTCTGTATATATTTTGATTCGATTCGGTCTTTCCTGATTCGTTGAAAAAGGACTGTTCTTTGTATTATACAACTCTATCGGCGTTGAAATAGAATTTGAAATTTCTTCTTTTTGAATGTTGAAGGTAAAAAATGGCTGACGGTGAAGACATTCAACCTCTTGTTTGCGACAATGGAACCGGAATGGTTAAGGTAAATACATTTTCTCTCATTAGATTCTTCTCTTGATCCAATGAAACAATGGATCATTTGGTTTCTGTATTGAAATAGGCTGGTTTTGCCGGTGACGATGCACCACGAGCTGTGTTCCCTAGCATCGTCGGCCGTCCACGTCACACCGGAGTGATGGTTGGGATGGGCCAAAAAGACGCTTACGTCGGCGACGAAGCTCAATCAAAGCGTGGTATCCTAACTCTCAAGTACCCGATTGAGCATGGCATTGTCAACAACTGGGACGACATGGAGAAAATCTGGCATCACACTTTCTACAACGAGCTCCGTGTTGCCCCCGAGGAGCATCCCATTCTCCTCACCGAAGCTCCTCTCAACCCGAAAGCCAATCGTGAGAAGATGACTCAGATCATGTTCGAGACTTTCAACGCTCCCGCCATGTACGTCGCTATTCAAGCCGTTCTCTCTCTCTACGCCAGTGGCCGTACAACCGGTGAGTGAACAAAAAGCTTCAACCTTTACACATTTTCAGAACGAAAGGTAAAGACTTTATGGATGTGTGTGTAGGTATTGTGCTTGACTCTGGAGATGGTGTGAGCCACACTGTTCCAATCTACGAGGGTTACGCGCTCCCACACGCAATCCTACGTCTTGACCTCGCCGGTCGTGACCTGACTGACGCTCTGATGAAGATTCTGACCGAGCGTGGTTACTCATTCACCACCACAGCAGAGCGTGAGATTGTGAGAGACATAAAGGAGAAGCTTTGCTACATTGCTCTTGACTACGAGCAGGAGCTAGAGACGGCCAAGACCAGCTCAGCCGTTGAGAAGAACTACGAGCTCCCTGATGGGCAAGTGATCACCATCGGATCCGAGCGGTTCCGTTGCCCTGAGGTGCTTTACCAGCCGTCTATGATCGGTATGGAGAACGCAGGTATCCATGAAACCACGTACAACTCGATAATGAAGTGTGATGTCGACATCAGGAAGGACTTGTATGGTAACATTGTGCTCAGTGGTGGAACCACAATGTTCCCTGGGATCGCTGATAGGATGAGCAAAGAGATCACTGCTTTGGCTCCGAGCAGCATGAAGATCAAAGTTGTTGCTCCTCCTGAGAGGAAATACTCTGTTTGGATTGGAGGCTCCATCTTGGCTTCCCTCAGTACCTTCCAGCAGGTAAAACACACACACACAGTCCCATCATTTCCTTCTCCTAAACCGGATAAATTGTTTGACTAACTAAACCGGTTTATTTTTGGAACTATGTTTAAACTTGTGCAGATGTGGATTGCTAAGGCAGAGTATGACGAGTCAGGCCCATCGATCGTTCACAGGAAATGCTTCTGAGCTCGAAAGTTTGTTCCTTTTTTCAGAGAAGAAGCTGCCGCCGCCGGGGGTTTTTCCGATCATTCCTCAAAGCCGGGTTATAATCTTCTGTTATGCTGCTACTCTTTGCTTTTCTTCTTTTATGTTTTGGACTTTTTCAAGAATTTATGGCAATTCTCTGTTTGTAGTATGGTTAAATTATGGTTTTTTTTTTCCTTCATTTCTTTCGTTCAAGAATGCAACTGTGTTTTGAGTGAATAATGGCACCTCTTTCTCTTTAATTATTATATAGCCATGTCTTTCAAGTTCTATCTGTTTTATGTTATTTCTACATAACTTCAAATTTATCCTAACTTTGATCCATCAAAGAGATATCAACAAAAGTTTTGCAGCTGTGAACCAAATGGTGTAAAGAAGAGAAACCAACACATACAATAAGAAGCTGAGTTAAGGAAACCCAAAAGTCAGATTAACATTGAAGACACCAAATGATAAAGGAAATAAAGAAGAAAACACAAAACAAGAAGCTTACATTACATTACAACAAAGAGGAGAAGAGGATCTTTTAGTGACTCTGTTTAACGGTTTTGGGGCCGGTCTAATAGCCTCTGCCTGCAACCCATGTTTTGTTCAAGAAACTTATTGAGTCTAATATGCTTAGAGGTCCATTGATCAGCCAGTTTCTGCTCCTTTGCCTCAGCATCTCTCCTCAGACCAACGAGCTGCTCTCTATACTCTCCTTCGATCTTCTCCATTGCCATCTTCTGCTCTTCCCTCAAAGCTTTCATCTTTGCTTCAATCTCCTCCATCTTCTCCCTTTGTCTACACGTCTTCTCTGACTCCAGCTGCAGCTCCAGCCTCCTTAGCCTCCACGCCGCCTCTTTCTTATGCTCTGACCAAGCTCTGTGCCCTTCCTCCAACTCTCTACAACACTCCACAAGCTCTGACAAGAACATACTCTCACTACTACTACTACTGCTACAAGACGGTATCATACTCCCTAACACAAGACCTCCCGGACTCTCTGCGCCTCCTCCTCCTCCGCCTCTCTCCGGCTGTTGCTGCAGCCACGGGATAGGCGGTTGAGGCGAAGAGGCAGCCACGGTGGAAGGCGATAAGGTGAGAGTCACCGAGGGAGGTCTCACAACAACATTGTTCCCATTGTTAGAAGTAGCTAACCAAGGAGGAATCACCGGATTAGGAGGAGGAGCTTGATCAGAATGTAGAAACCCTCCGTTTGAGCTAGCCATCACCGCCGCAGCAGATGCAGGAACCGAAACAGAGCCAACGTTGGACCGTTCTTTGACAAGCTTCTCAGCGAAACTCTCAAGAATCCGATCGTACTTGCTCTCGTCGATAGGCTCGACTCTCTTGTTACTCTCTTTCTCTTCTCTCTGTTGCTTCTCTTTGAACACTTCCCACCACTTCCCTAACCGCTTCGCCGTCCTCCCGGGAACCTCAGCGGCGATCTTCTTCCACTTGTTGCCGTGTTTCTCCTGGAGACGGATCACGAGCCTCTGCTCTTCCTCAGTCAAAGAACCTTTCTTGATCCCTGGCTTAAGATAGTTCTTCCATCGCTCTAGACAAGACTTGGCGTCACGGTTCAAAGGTTTGCTCATGCGCTCAGAGACAAGATGCCATTCTCTCGGACCGAACTGTCTGACGTAAGCGCGTAACAATGCATCTTCTTCACCACTCCAACGTTGCCTCTCCTTCATCTCCTGCTCCTCCACACATCACTGCTTCCCATCTCACCACCATACCTTCTTCATCTGCGTTTCAATTTCCAAAAGAACCAGTTTAAGATCAAAACGCAGAACCAATTTATCACTCCTGAGAGATCTGACACTCGAAAATACCAAAGTTTCAGACTTTCAATTTTTGGGATTAGGTGTGAAGAAAAGACTAAACTTTGCAATGAGAATTGTTCAAGAAATGAGAATGATGAAACTTTGAGAAGGTTTTAAGCAAAACTTTGCAATGATTTCTTATCATAACTTTACAAACCAAAACAGGGGAATTAATGCTGACCTCAAACACTAACTATTAGCATTACACTATTAAGATAAGAGACTGTGGAGGAAGAAAATTATTAAAATAATGGCTTACAAAGTTGTCTTGAAAAGGAAAATCACAAACTCAAGAGCAACTTCCATGACAACAGGTTCTTTCTCTTACTTTATCTTGTTGGCGAAATGGAAGAGAAGACGAAAAGATCAAAGAGAGAGAGAGGGGCTTTAAGAACCAGAAGAGAAGAAGAAGTACACGATTAGACCAGAGAGACGGCAAATAAAAAGAGAAAAACAAAAAAGAAAAAAGGTTTACCGACTGAGACACAGACGTTTTTTCCTTTTTACGCACAAGTGGGGAAAAAACTCTCTGACATTGGCGCGTGGAGGTAAAAGTTGAAATTCCATAAGTTCGTTGCCAATTTCAGTTTTTTCTTTAAATTTTATTTTCATACATTGGGATCTCAAATTTATTTTGAACAACATTATAAAAAAATACATACAAATCAAATCAAATGTTGATGCTTTTGTTATTTTACATTGGGATCTCAATTTTATGCTCAGTAACACTGTTAAAAAAAAATCAAATCAAATGTTGATGCATTTTTTTTGTTTGAACAGCTCAAATGTTGATGCTTAAGATTTAAAAGTTGTTGGCAAAAAAAGGTAAAATAGCCAAAAGTGCATTGTACTTGTATATTTTTTTAGTTTATTACTTGGTTTGATATTTCAGAAAAATCATTTACCTGTTAATCGTAACTGCAAACAATGATAGAAGATAACTAACCAACTATTCAAAAAACTATTAGCTCCTTCTTTGGCTCAATTTTTTTACAAAATTATGTTCAATATGAGTAATATTAACTATACTTGGAACTGAAGTACATTATTAACGATTGCTTTTGAATATTAAAAATATTATGGATAGAAGGTCAGAAGCTTCCACATAGTATTTATAAGAGAAAAAGAAAATTGAATAACATTTGATTTTTAGATGATTTCCAAAATCATAAATGTAAACGAAAACAAAAATGAATTAATGAAATCATTATAATAGCACAAATTGATCAATTATACAAATGATATGGCTCAAATGCTTTCAAATAAATACAAAAAATTTCATAATCTACTGTTTCTATAATTTGATACAAAATCATGTTCAATATTTTCACTTTTCAGTGACAAAAACCAGACTATTATCTCCACATATTTGTTACGAACTTGTTCCCTTTATCTTTCAAGCCCTGACTTTTCTTATAAATTAAAAAATCTTTTAGTTATGTTTATTCTTCAATGTAAAGAAAGAAATGAACAACAAAAGGGTATTAGAAACCCTTTAACTAAAAAAAAAACAAAAACAAAAGGGTATTAGAAAAAAATGATGGTGTTGGTTAAAAAATTAAAACAGGATTTGACGTATGAGTAATTAGGTTGAGACGAACACGTGTCAGAAAATGGGAACGGTATCTTTTGGGAAAGCATGTAAAGTAGTAATTGGTCCCCTCTCTCTCTCACTCTCTCACCCCATAACCCCACCAACATATCCTTTCCTCCTGTTCCATCACATCCGACTACCACTACTCACTTTTCTATTTTCCCTACCATGCACCGAATTTACCAGCGTACATTAGCATCTCCTCCCTTCCTTCACGCTCTATAATCAGGCAGACAAAACTTTCACTCTTTTATGATTGACTCTAGTCACTCTCTACCACCATTTAATATCTTAGCATATACAAATTAGGCAACCACATGTACATATATACATCTTTCACATGACGTCACTGACCTAACACCTTATATTATAACAATATTTTAACATTACCAAACATTATTGTTGTAATAGTGACACTAATAATGGCATCGGACAAATTCAGACTTGTAAATGTAATAGTTGAAAGGAGGAATTTCGTAACAGACACTTCATTATTTATAATTACTATAGTCAATACAATTTTAAAAAAAAAAAATATATATATATATATATATATATATATATATATTATAACACAATTTTGCAATGGTAGTGAGTTTTCTTGCATTAGAAATATAGAGGTCGGGCCAAAGAATCAAACAAATCTACATTGGCTGTTTTCTTTTCTGACGCGGCTAAATTGCTGCGTGGTGTTTTTTAACCAAAAAAGTTCTGATACCACTTACCAGTTACCAGCAATATTTTAGAAAACAAATTACTCTCAAAAGATATATTCAAGAAAAATTGCGGTAGTGTGAGTTTTACACACAGAAGAGAACAGCCAACATGGTAGGTTTGTTGATATACCAAAACAAGAAAAGAAACAGGTTGATGGAAGACTAGTGGTGGGCCTTAGATGGGCCTCCTATGTGATTTAGCTCGATAGACCATGTGAAATCGGATTTTGTACATCGGTTTTGAACTTGGAAAGATCGATATGTATTATTGTTGTTACATCTGTACTATAGTGTTGTTACTCGACCGTTTGTTTGCTAGTCATATATTCACATATATAGTTCCAATTTAAAGTTAGGCAATGTTTCCAGTTACGATGCAAGATTACGAATATATAAGATGGAGTCTTCTTTGATCAGAATCGGTTTCCCTTTTATTAAATTAGAGGTTGGATTGCCAAATTATTGTACAACACTATAATGTAATTTCTGCCGGTTCAAAGTATTTTCTTTTTGTTGTAACATAATTTTGAAACTATAAGTCTATAATGCATCTTAATTCCCATCACAAACACAAATCATACACTTAGATACATCAAGATATATCAGTATTCGATCCAAATGGTAATTTTGAGACAACCTTATATTATGGTGTGACCAATTGGCTACACAAAAACTTACTAAAAAAAAAAAATTCCCGCGATCTCCGGCTCGACCCTAGGTGACTCCATATCCAAATTTTTCTTTTCCTTTAACAAATTTATTTTCTATACCACTTCGTAATTCGTCATTTCGTAATAGTGCATGTCCCTAAACAAAAATTTCTACCATAGAATTTTATATTTCTGATAAAAACAAAATATTAATAATGACAAAAGTATAATTATTAAATATGGTATAATATAATGGAATGTGAAACAGAGCAAAGACAGTAAAAAGTAAATGCCGATGGAATCAGAGAAAGGTATTAAGAAAATAGGAAAATAATGGTGGAGGGGAAATGACATGACATATGAGTTGTCAAATTGAGGCAGATCCTTTCTCTGATCTTCCCTCTGCCATCTCTTGCCTTTTACCTCATGTGCTCCCTCCATCTCCTCCGGCTTTTCTTTATTTCTTTTTAATTTCTCTTTTTACTATTAATGATACTTTTCCACTACAACTTCTTTCAACTTATGACAAAAATATTATTTTCCCATTTGGATACATCCTTACATTTAAGGGAAATCGGCTGAAAAACAAAATTTGTCTTTAGTGTTTGTAAAACTAGTTTTTTTTAGGGTAGTTAAGCTAGTGTTTTTTTTTTTTTTTTTTTTGTTGACAGTGTTGGTAGTCTAGGCTATATAGTTCCTGACAACAGTTAAATTAGTTAGTTAGCTTAATTTAATTTCTTAAACAGTTTAATATGAATTAATATGTTCTGTTTCGGAGTCTTTTTATTTTTATTTTTGTTCAGAAGTCTTCTTAATTTTTTTTTTGTTCATAAGTCTTTCGGAGTAGTAGATATGTTTTGAACCTTGATAACTTGTTATATTATTTGAAAACCTATAAAAATTAAAAATTACTATAACATGTGATACTTGTGGGTAGAAAGTCATTTTCGTAGCTGAAAGTTGCTAGCAGATGTCATGCAGTGATGCATGGTAAGCGAGGAAATCCAAAATATGATGATAGAGACGAATACATGGTGGAAATCATTTTACCTTGTTATGTTATGGAGCAAGTGGAGTAGAGAAAGACTCAAAGAATTACGGTGTCGCTTGACTCTTGTTATGCATTATTGGAAGATAAAAGTAACTGGAACTAAGACAAATGGTATTGTCTTATTGACATGATCGACACATTATCCTAAGACACATTGTAAGACTAATTATCAGCTTCTTAGTTAAGCGAAAACAACTTTTTATACTTTCTCAATGTAAATCCTCTAACATCCAAAATGTTCTACATGAATTTATTGGCTCCATAAACTCCACCATTTAGTAACGTGGATAAACGATGAAGCTGTCATGACACTTCTATTAGTACACAGTTCTAGTAAACCCATATATAATTGAGATTCAACATAAAACAATAGTATATATGTGAGAAAAAAGAATTCATTAGCAGAATTTTTTTCATTTTATATATCTGTAAGACAACAAAAAACCATTAGCAGAATATTTTCATACTCCCTCGGACGTCTAGCTTAAGCTTCACAACTTGCGACCACAAAGAATCAAGAACATTCATACTTTGTTTTACATCTATCGTTATTTTGTCTGCTGCTTAGCATTGCTATGTTTTTTATTGAGTATCAAGATGATTCATATTCGTTGAACAACACAACATCTCCCACATCAACACATGCGCTAGAAAAGTCACTAGCACGATGAGTCGATCACACAAAAATATGAATCGTATGCAATGACTACATAACCTCACAGGCTCGCCAAGTCCGTTTTGTTAATTCCATTTCTGTTTCACTAATCATCTCCACCAATTCATTTATAATATTATTGACCTATGACCTATCCTATCCACTCCATAACTACTCGCTTGGGCCAATACCCTTTAGAATCACAACCTTAATGAATATTACAGTAAATTTTCTTTTACTCTTAAGGACTTTGTGTGTTGTGTGCACAATAGTCCCCAAACTGATTTTGTAAAATTCGAAAGTATATAATTCATAGCCGGCCCCAATGGCCCATTACATAAAGGTTGGGCAGATCACGGCCCTATCTGGCTTATTAGCAGAAGAAGATGCCTCAAGAAACGAAATAATAAAAGGAAAAGCCAAAAAAACATCTCACTCGCAATCGCAAACATTTAAAGGAATCTTGCTGACGATAATATTTTCCCAAAGCCACCAGAAAATTTCCCGAGAAAATTAGTGGGAAAACACAGGGCGGGAAAAATGATTCTCTTCTTTTGTCTCTCATATAAAAAAAAAACGAAAGAGGAAATAACAAATCACATCTGAGTAATAGTATCTTGCTGTCTTCTTCATTAAATGACAGTTGATCTTTAGACGCGGAAGTTTTTGCCGGAGAAAGTCTGGCCAAACTGCCACGAGGCAGGAGCGACGTTATAGGAGGTGGAGGAACGGCGATCGGAGGCGGTGACTCGGAAAGAAAGAGATTGGCCGATGAGGACGGCGTTGGACTGCCAGTTCTGTCCCCAATTCCGACTCATTCTCACCCAATCTGTCTTCGATCCCTTTACACTCACTCCGTTGATATCTCCGGCGCCGGCGACGTTGGTTACTAAAACGAGATTGAAGTATCTGAAACCGTTAACTGTGAACCTTATCCCTCCTATCTTCCGACAAGGTACCCTGGAGAGGAACAGAGAAGAAGACAACAGATTCAGACTAATAATTAGCAACATGACAAGAGAACAGAGAGAGAGAAATGGATCTTTGGGTAACTGTGTGACTGTGTGACTGTGTCTATGTTCTTCTTGTTTTCCCAAGAAGATAATGACATACTATAAAACAAATTCTCATTTATAAATTGTTTATAGATATGTTTAATGTTAAAAATAAAATAAAGTTTATAGAGAAAAAAAACAAAACACTGATAGTGATGTTTTCAGTATCTGAGAGTCTGAAATCTGAAAACATAGGCCGATTTCCCAAAAGTGATAGAAGCCTAGAAGAAAACAACACAGAGATAATAATAGTAACATGTTCGGTATCTTTTTATTTTATTTAAAATTTACGAGTATTTTTAAGCATATCAAAATACCGTAATCTCTCATTTCCTTATTAATAAAACATAATTTCCCCTGATATTTTTGACATAATAAAAGTTTTTACAATATCCATGTGCATTTTTTGTCATTTTGAAATTTCTTAACCATTTTTATCTGACTTAATTACAACTAAATCATGGAAACCGACAAAATTTAACGGTGTTTAGTGTTTACCTAAAAAAGAATAAAGTTTAAGAAAAAAAGAGAAAAGGAAAAAGCAGAGTGACCTGCGATAGGAGACGGGGACAATGCCGGCGCGGTAGAAACCAATCTTGAGGAACATCGGCATGGCGAGGTCGAAGTGCTCTCGTGGCGGATTGCACCAACCTCCGTCGTCGCTGCGCTGCGCGAAATTCGGCGGACAAAAGTTCGTCGCCGTCACAAGAATCGACGGATTTCCCGGGACACACCACCTCGGGTCGTCCGTACACTTAATCTCGAAGCAAGCGCCGCAGCTGAAACCGTTGTTAAACAGAGCAGTGCTCAACGCCGCCGTGTTCACACCGTATCCTTGGCTGTATAGATTCCCGTACCCACACGCACCGCCTATTCAGAAAACAGAGAAGATAAAATCATAAAATAAAAGTTAAAAATCATATTTTGAGGTTCATATAAATGAAATGAAATCGGTAACGGTGGATTTGTGAATACCCATAGTTCCTGAAGCGTCACTGCCGCCGTAGAAAGTTGCGTGTGCGTTCTGCCATGGCCCGCCGGTGTAAACGCCGGGGATTTTGGCGTTTGCAGTGGCCAACAGAAAGGAAGCCGTAACGGCCAACCACAAGCGGATCCCAAACGCAGTCGCCGTCATTGAAGTGAGAGAGAGAGAGTGTGAGAGAGGCAGATGTGTATTGGATAGGGCTGAGAGAAAGCGGGAAGGTCGAATGATATTTATGGGCACGAGGCTTGTTGGATTTTTTTTTGTTACCTCGCCGTAAAATTTTGGTCCATTAACAGTAATTTACAGGGTCTGAAATTAATTGCTGCCCATCATTACTGGTCAGACTAAAACCGAATCAAACTTTTCGTCCAAGACGGTGACATTAGATTCGTCCCAAAAAATGAAATTTAATGCAGCTGAATAGAGTAAAAAATTTAAACCGAATGCCAAACTCAATCACGTATGTTTTTTTTTTTTTTACCTTTTTTGTACAAAGCATATATGATATATCATATGTTATTATTGGCCATTATCTACGCATGCACGCATGTATTTGTTCTAGTCGCAGAGCAGGCTTAACATACATGAATGGATTTTTCCTGTATATTTTGGTGAACATATATTATAAATGAGCCAAGCATCACATTAAGAGCATGTGGGTAGGAAGAGGTCGACATACAAATAAATATATTAATTAGTTTTGCAGCAGATATATATTGGGAAAATAGCATAAAAAACCGTGAAAGTGGCAAAAGTTAGCACTTTAAACCTCCAAAGTATGACACTAACACTTTAAACACTCAACCTAATTATGTTAACACCTTAAACCGTGAAACTACCGGAATTGGTCGCGCGCCATTTGACTCACCGGAACAGTTGACCCGGCTAACGGAACAGTTAACCTCCGTTCATTTAAAAAAAACACATGCTTAGATGTTAACTTGGGTTAATTTTGGTCGGGTTAAAAACATAAACCTTGAGTTAAACACAAAACGGTGCGTTTTAACCCGTTTTAAAAAACAGAAATCGTGAAACAAAGAAACAAAATCGATTTGGGGATTTAGGGTTCCTGAGAGAATTTGTTCGCACAGACTCAATCGACGAGAGGAAGGAGGAAAACTGAGGCGAGATGAGGTATTCGTCCTATCTATTCTTTAATTCCTGTATCAATGATAGTTATTGATTGCAAATCGAATTCGTTGTCTTTTCCGCCTAATAGAAAGAATTCTGGGTATTGGATTTGAATCTAGATATCACAAAACTGGGATTTCTTGTCGATTTTGGTTTGATTCTGGGTATTTGGTTTGTTTTCGGTTCGATTTGGTGTTCAATTTTCTGTTTCACTGTTAACTTTTTCTTTCTCCATTTTTACAGTGAGAGTTCATCAATGTTTCAGAGTACGAATTCTCAGAGTGTGACTTCATCTGACAATGAGAATGGTGTACTTTGCTATTGTCACCGGCCAGCAAAGATTGTGAGAGCTTGGACCCGTAGAAACCCTGGTCGTAGGTTCTATAGTTGCATAGGCCGTCGAGGAGCCAATGGGTGGGTGTCTTGCAAATTCTTTGATTGGTTCGACAAAGAGGAACCACACGGATGGCAACATGTTGCACTATTGGAGGCAGAGCAGACAATTAAAGAGCAAAAAGCAGAGATTGAGGGTTTGAAGAACAAGGTAAGAACACAAACTCATCATTCTGCAAATGCTGGGAATTCAAATGCATTGGTGGATATACTGAAGGAAAGGAACGAAGTGCTTGAAAGGGAAGTGTTGATCCTAAGGGAGAGAAGTATTGTTCTTCGTAATGTTCTTGTGGCATCTTCAGTCGGACTTGTTGTGCTTGTTGGAGGAGTAATGGCGAAGTGGAAGTGCATGTAAGAGTTTATGTGCAGCTTTATGAGATAATGTAAGGGTCTATGGTTAAACTGTTGTTGTCTTTCTTAAGGATTTTGTAAGACTTTAAGCTCTCGTTTCTTAATCTAAAACATTTGGATTCGTCTATTTCTTGTTTGACTTGCTTATACAAACTTTTTTATTAATCTTTACAATGAACTTGAAAGGAACAAACCATATTATCTTAAACCATATTGTCATAAACCAAAAGCCAAAAGCTTGCTAATGTCATAAACACAAAGCCGATATTGTCACAAAGAAAAAGCCGATATTGTCATAAAAAAACAGGCTTTCAAGCAAGTGCAAAACGAATACAAGTGCAAATAAACACCCAAATACAAGTGCAAGTTCTTAAACATGGTCAAGTGTTTCCATCTTCTGTTGGCTGCAAGCTTGGGTCTTGTGGAGACTGCATATTTGGAGCTTGTTGAGGCTGCAAGGTTGGTTCTTGTGGAGGCTGCTGATCAAAGCCACTCCTATCATGGACACGGTCTCCAAACACCTCGAAAGGGCGATTAGTGTATGGACTCCAGAATGTTCCAACTCCATACGGCACTGGTATGGTTTTCTTTACCTTGAGCTGTTTACCCCTCGCAGCCTTCTTGACATGTGGTTTGACTTGCTTCGTGGACACCGAAGGCTGAGGAGCACTAGAACTTACTTCAGCTTCACCACTCGCTGCTACAGGTAAAGGCTGAGAGGAACTTGCATTGTTGGGAGCTTTTCGCTTTCTAGGCTTTGACGGTGGTTTAGGAGTGTCCTGAAACATACGAACAGAAAAAAAAAAAATCGACATCATTATTAAGCACCAAAAGTCGACATCATTATCAAACAACAAAAGTCGCCATCATTATCAAACAAAACCACAAGATATCATATCAAAACCAAAAGATATCAAACTATTAAGACCATAAAATATAAACGAAATACTTACATCACTTGGAAATTTACGTGGTCGACCACGTCTGTTTTTTGGTCCATAGAAGACAACTTCTTCGTTCTTGCAGCCACTCTTGATATGTCCAGCTTCCTTGCATCGGCTACAATGTGGGATTCGTCCATGTCTTGTTGACTTGCCTGCATTTTGTAGATCCTCAAATGGCTCCTTTCTTCTGTCCCGATTCTTTGGACGACCTCTCTGTTTCCGCATCTCAGGAATGCCTACTGGAGGCTTATGCGTCCTCTTCCACATCTTCTCACCATTCACAGGTTTGATGTTATCGTCATATGTCTTCTTCATAACAGATGCGTAGTAATAATTCGGGACATATCTCACTGGATCGTCTTGGTTATCATCCAAAACGCAGATCGCATGTTTGCATGGTATACCTGACACAAGAAGAGACAATGCATCAGCGAAATAATGGGAGAGTAGAGTAAAAATAAAACATAACAGAGAAAAACACTACACCTGTGAGATCCCATTTGCGGCAGGCACACTGGTGAGTGGATATATTCACAGCATAGCTGTCGTTATACTCTCGCACCTCATACAAACTTTTGCTGCTTCTTGTTGTCGAGCAGTAAGCAGCAGCAAGCCTTGATTTCTCCAATAATCTCATTGTGATCGGTGTCACAATTGTGTCACACCTTTCTGCTTTAAGAAACCTTCTAGATACTCTTCTCATTGCTTGTCTTCTTACCTCCTCCAGCATATTGATTACAGGCATTGATCTAGCAATCTTAATGGTTCTATTGAAACTTTCAGACAGATTATTGTGAACATCAGCACAATGAGACTCTTCACTGAAGAATGCACTACACCACCTATGAGGTTCCGTGACTAGCAGAGCATCATACGCAGAAGGATCATAGGCCTTAACCTTCTCCATGTTCTCATCATACTCTCCTTCTGTGTAGCTGTAGGCAACTCCCCAGAATAAGTTCTTGTACTCTGATCTCGAAAAACCTTGTTTCTTCCAATTAGCATAGATATGTCTTGCACACATACGATGCTCTGCTTTTGGAAGTTCAGCATCCATGGCAATCACCAAACCCTATAAAGAATCACTAGCTAATGAGTACATGAACACTAAACATAATGAAAACGTAGTAAAGATTATATTGTTACCTTCTGCTTATCAGATATTATTGTGAAGTTTTCTCCATTCCTAAGTCAAGGTCGACTTTAAGCTTCTTAATAAACCAGCCCCAAGTGTCTTTAGTCTCACCTCTAACAACTGCCCATGCAATCGGATACATTCTGTTGTCTGCATTTCTTCCAACAGCTGAAAGCAAATCACCATTCAACTCCCATTTCAGAAAGCATCCATCCAAACCAATCACTGGCCTGCAACAATTCTTCCATGTTGTTCGAAACTCATCAAAGCAAATGTAGAAACAATCAAACATGTCCACTCCCTCATCATCTTTACGGATTGTGCAGAGATCAGTTCTGATGTTGGGATGTGTTCGTTTGAGCTCAGCTTCGTAATCCCATAGCTTAGCAAATTGAGTGACTTGAGCTTCCATGATAGTATTCAAAGCAATACGCCTCCCTCTATAACACTTTGATATTGGAACAACAATGTTATACCTCTCCTTGATTGTGTCTTTGATCACTGCAGCTTGTAAGTTTACATTCCTCCTCAACTCTTCTCTAAATAAACCCGCAATTACTCCTTGCTTCAACATCGAAACCCTGCTGGATTTTCCATGATTGTGACGCATATTGCAAACTTTCACCATCCACTTGTTAATAGGAGGCTCAAACGAACAGTACACTCTGAACTTGCAATTCTCACCACAACAAACAACAGCTATTCTGTTTGCTTCAGACCTTGCCATCTTCACATCATATTGGGTCTTCAAAGAGTATCGCAGAAGCTGGTCTTTAAACTCTAAGCCGCTGTTAAATTTCTGAAACAACCAAATGTATGGCTCCTTCTCTAAGTCACCATGGAACTGCGATCTTCCCCTCCTTTTCCCTTTCGGGTTATCCCACTGATCCCACTCCTCATCTGACTCTAATGGTGTATCTGGATACTCAGCATCCTCCTCTATCACGCATTCTTCCTCACTTTCCTCTGCTTCTCTTTCTGCAGCCTCTTTTTCTTCCAAATTTTCATATGCTTCCTTCACTGGTTTTGCACATGATCCTTCCTCAAAAAGAGACCTAAACCTGTCATCATTACGACCATCACCAGCATCTTCAACAACATCTTCTCCATCATCAACATTTGCACCTCCTTCAGCCATTGTCTCATCTTCATTACCAGGCTGTTCCTCATGCATTTCATCTCCATTACCAACCTCTTCTTCATGCATTTCATCCTCAGACTGTTCTGGTTCTTCATCTTCCTTTGGCCTGTCTATTCCTTCATCACTCTCAGAATTATCATCTTCATCTTCTCTCTCTGAAAAATCATTAACGGTCTCATCTTCATCACGCATTTCATTACTCACTCTAAGAGGCTCATTATGCTCTGTGCAGTCATACTCCAAGAAGATTTCAATCTCACCAGATTCTTTTGCTGAACAGATAAGTAGGAATATGTCTTCAGAGATTTCGTCATACACATAGTTCACTGTCTTCATCTCATTATCTCTTTGTTTGTACCAAATGAACCTAATGGGTGCATTGACCAGTTCTTCATACCTGCTGAAGTTTGCAAACTTAGCCCATGATATATCATACAACACCCAACTCACGGTCTTCATACCAATTTCTCTTTCATATCTGAAATCTTCACCTTCTCTGTTCATAGTTCCACCGAAGTGAACTATTAAGTTTACCATCGTATTTCCTCTGTACAATCAAGAGAAAATGTCGAAATCAGATTTAGAACAATGTCACTAGAAAATCAAGAGTATTTCGCAAACCCTACTCACAAATCGATCTCTTAAACCAGGATTTTCAAAAACCCAAATCAATTTCAAGCTAAACCTATTCACAAATCGATACCGTAAACCCAGATTTTCGAAAACCCAAATCAATTCGGAGCAAACCCTATACATAAATCGAGCAACGAAAGCGTATTTCAAGTTTAAGAAACATAATCAGTGACAAACAACTAAATTCGAAACAAAACCTATTCAATAATCGAGCAGAACTTGAACCCAAAATTTCAGATAGACAAAAAGCCAAGAGCAAACAAATCGTACAATCATATTTCAATTTTAAGAAACAAAATCAGTGACAAACAACTCAATTCGAAACAAAAAACCCTTTCAATAATCGACCAGAAAGTGAACCAAGAATTTCGAATTCTCGAATCCATCGTCTCTTAACCTAAAAGTTTTACAGTCGCAAATAAGTCAAACAATCACGACCTGTATTTGAAAGATTAAAACTCTTACCTCATTCTGTCGTCTTCAGCATTCGACTCTTTCTCTCTTCTCGATTTGGTCTCTGTTCTTTCTCTCTGCGAAATTTTGTCTCTCTGCGATTTTGTTTCACTCATGAACCCTAGTTTCCCAAATTGATTTGGTTCTCTCTTTCTCGTTTATTTGGTTAAAACACACTGTTTTGGTGTTAACTCAAGGTTTATGTTTTTAACCCGACCAAACTAACACGAGTTAAAAGCTAAGCACATGTTTTTTTAAAATGAATGGAGGTTAACTGTTCCGTTAGTCGGGTCAACTGTTCCGGTGAGTCAAATGGCGGCGCGACCAATTCCAGTAGTTTCACGGTTTAAGGTGTTAATATAATTAGGTTGAGTGTTTAAAGTGTTAGTGTCATATTTTGGAGGTTTAAAGTGCTAACTTTTGCCACTTGGAGGATTTTTTATGCTATTTTCTCGATATATATTTGTTTATTTTATGTTTCTTTCTCTGAGCAATAATAAAGCTGAATTAAATGGATGAGAGTGAGATAGGGCCGCAAAAGTTGAATGACAAGCTTCTTGAGTTATCATATTTTGCATAAACATGTGGAGTGTCGATTATATAACTGTTACTCAGCTTCTATTTTCCATGTGAGTTAGTATAAGTTTAAGGCTCTGGATAGATAATTCTAGAGCAAGCTCTGTGTTACAACTGTTTACAATAATTGAGGTCACTATTCCGAGTACGCTCCCAAAAAACTACAAGTTGTTTTTCTATGTCTAATGTCTACAACGTGGTTTGGTGAAATTAAAAACTGAAAATATAAGTTTAAAAGGCTATACTTATATATATATATATATATATATATATATATATATATATATATATATATCAAAAACAAGCTCTAAATAGTTTGGTTCGTCGACAAAAAAATGGTTTGATTCAATAAATTTGTTCCCATTATTTTACAGTTGAGAGAAAGGTACTTGGAAAATATATAACTATTCACACTATGAAAGAACATTGGAAAAAGATTGGATAGGAAAAACATGTTGAATAGAGAAGCAAATATAGAGAATGGTTGGACTAGAACTATGTAAATTCTTGAATCTTTCTCTAGTTTTGATTCCAGTTGTAGAAAGCTCTAAAACAATTATAGATAGACCATTTCCTCAACAAACATTAATATAGTATATTAACTGTATGTATGTTGACAAAAAAAATTGTGTATAAATTGTCTAATAAGATTATTCGAGATCATGCTCTATATGTCTGAAAATTGGAAGTTTAAATTCTTCAAACCCGTTACACTGGATTGCTTTCCATAGCGCATGGATGGATGTCGGTGCTGTATTGTTTGGGTCGACGGTGACCACAAGCTCTCTAGAATTTGGAGAGTGGCTTTTTTATGTTGTGTGTGTGTATCAAAGTTTAGTCGGTGGTAGCAAGCGATCTCTCCGATTGTTTTTTTCCTACAAATCGATGATTTATTTTCTACGTAAACTTATAAGGTTTCAGTGAGAGTCTATGTGTTTCAAAACAAGATATCTTCTGATTTGATTAAGCCATAGATCTAATTATTTTTGTTGGCAAGCATGACACATTCAAATATTAAATATGATATAAAAAAACAAAAACCAATAATTGGGCTACGAATAACGATTTTATAACTTGTAAAAGTTTGTCTTGTGATTTTTTTTTTCTGGCACTAAACCGAGTTTCCTTGGTTTTGGCAATAAACTGAGTGATTGATCCACACCATTGAGAACTGTTGGAAAAAAAATCATTTGGAACTCACAAGAGTAGGATCTTGCTAGCACAAATTGTAGTAGTTTGGCCAAATGTTGCGATACAACGGCCATTCACTTGGTGCCTTGATTTCTCTTGCTTTAATGTTAGACAATCTTAGACTATATTTACTCTAGAGGTGCCATTGGTGTGAATATCATTTAAACCTTCAAAAAGTTTTAAAATGCATTGGAGTTTCGTTTCCAAGTTCCAACTGATTACTAACTGGGTTAACGCATACTGAGCACGAAAGCAAATCTTAGACTTTGGAATTATCTATTTAGATACTAAAGAAAAATTTAGCACAAAACTATGATTGATTATACATGCAAGGAATCTACAATCATATGCAAACAAGGTGCGGGACTTTGTTTGCTGTCATTACCTCATTGCTAAGGTACCTGGTGTCTTACATGCTTGATCGGAATTCGGAAGGCTCTCTCATAAGTGTGTGGAAGTATCTTAAATTCTTAATTAAGAAAATCATTTAACTTTAGAGAATTTTTTGTCGGACGTTTAAGGTTTAAAGTTCTGGAAAACTTGTTTCAAAAATTTAGTACATCGAAGTTGGGGATATGTGTACTGCATTTGAAAATTCAAACTGAAATTATATTCAATGTATACCTATAAACCCACATTCAGTTTAAATTCAAACTTTGAATTCACATGTAGTTTTGTGTTCATTTGATTTTGGAGATTCACCAAGTTCTCAACTTCATACAACTTGGTCACCAATATGTTTACAATGCCTCACACAACTTGGTTACCAAGTTGTTTACATTGCCTTGCCTATATATATAAACGTGAGTGTTCATATATACAACCAATTTCTCTCTCAAACTAGAACTTTGTTTTTCACTTATCTTCTACAAAATGTACCAACTACTTCCACCTCCATCTCTGCTTTCATTTATGCTAGCCGTTCGGTCAGACGATCATTGTTTTGGTGCTAGACGTTCAGTCATACGATCATTTTATGACGACAGACATAAGTGACAATTTTGTCGTCTCTTGTCATAATATTTTCTAAGCAGTGTGCATATGATCAAATGTCTCACCTCGATCTTGCATTTTCTGGATCCGATGATTCCTTCAAATCCAAGCCAAAACTAAAGTTTTACATGCTTGATCGAAAGATCCTCTCATTAATTAAAAGAATATCTTAATTAACAAATTTGGACATTATTTTTTTTGGATCGTTTAAGGTTTAAAAATATATATTTTTATAAACTAAGGTTAGGTTTTAAATATAGTACATCGAAGTTAGGGATAAGTGTACTAATTGCATTTTAAAATTCGACAATTTAATGTGTACTGCCACTAACCCAAAAAGAAAAGTGTATTAATTGCAGATTATACAAAGCTTTTACTTACTGTAACGACGACACGTGTCCAACAATAAATTGGTGAGAAAAGCACATTTTAGCTATTGTCAAATGATGCACGACGACAGGTCCCCACAACAAAAACTCTTGGCATAAGATCAACGGCTACGATTGCTTTTCCCTACCTCGGAGAAAAGTCCTTTTAAAATTTAAATCATTTAAAAACGCATTTTATTCCGATTCCTTCTCTCTGGTCCCCTCCACGGCTCCACCCACTACCTCGTCTTCTTCTACTCTTTTTCTCTTCTTCTTCCTCTTTTATTATCTTCTTAATCTCTCAAATTCGGATATTTGTTTTCGTGATCACATATGATTACTGAACCAGGTGTAAACGGGCTTTCGGGTCCCATCAATCGGACCCGTTTACCCGATCAATCCTCGTCGTTACTCCCGAATCACACCTTCACTCCGGTGACACTATTCGACGGTTTCAACTACAATCATCTCTCCGATCACAGGAACACCGGGTTGATCACAGCGCCGGAGAATTCTGTTTTTCCTCAGGAAGAAGAAGAAGACCCGGCGGATGATTTCGACTTCTCCGACGCCGTTTTGGGGTACATTAGCCAGATGCTTATGGAGGAAGACATGGAGGATAAAGCCTGTATGCTCCAAGAGTCTCTCGATCTCGAAGCCGCAGAGAGATCGCTCTACGAAGCCATCGGCAAAAAATATCCTCCTTCCCCAGAACGGAACTTAGCTTTCGCTGAACGAATCAGCGAAAACCTCGACCATGTAGTCCCGGGAAACTACACAGGAGATCGTATCGGCTCAGGCGGGTTTTTCGTCGGAAACGACGGAATCAAGCCTCTGAGTGGTTTCACTCTGGATTTCCGAAATCCTCAGAGTCGTTCCTCGGTTCTAAGCGTTCCGCAATCTTCGTATTCCCCTTCCGATGGTTTAGACGAATCGTCGAACACTTTATATCCCGGAGCGAATCGAGAGAATCAATCTGTGTGGCTGTTTAGGCGTGAGATTGAAGAAGCTAATCGGTTTCTTCCCGAGCAAAAGGAGACGATTGTGGATTTCAGAGAGGAAAACTGTAGAAGCAAAGTACGGAAAAACCCTAACCGAGACGAGATTTGTGTGGAAGAAGAGAGATTTAGCAAATTACCAGCAGTGTTTCCGGAAACCATTTTGAGATCAGATGTGGTGGATAAGATCTTGGTTCACGTCCCAGGAGAAGAGAGCATGAAGGAGTTCGACGCGTTGCGTGAAGTCCTGAAGAAAGGAGTCGAGAAGAAGAAGAAAGCTTCACTGCCTCAGGAAGGGAAGAGACGAGCGAGAGGAAGAGGAAGAGGACGAGGAGGAGGAGGAGGAGGGCAAAATGGGAAAACAGAAGTTGTGGATTTGAGAAGTCTATTGATACATTGTGCTCAAGCTGTTGCAGCTGATGATCGTCGTTGTGCTGGTCAGTTGTTAAAACAGATTCGGGAGCATTCGACGCCGTTCGGTGACGGAAACCAGAGACTTGCTCATTGTTTCGCTAACGGTCTCGAGGCCCGGTTAGCCGGAACCGGGAGCCAGATTTACAAAGGAATGGTGAGTAAACCGAGATCCGCTGCGGCTGTGCTTAAGGCTCACCAGCTTTACCTCGCGTGTTGCCCTTTTAGGAAGCTCTCTTACTTCATATCCAACAAGACGATACGTGATCTCGTTGGGAACTCGCAGCGTGTCCACGTCATTGATTTCGGTATTCTTTACGGTTTCCAATGGCCGACTCTGATTCACCGGTTTTCGAGGTATGGCTCGCCGAGGCTTAGGATAACCGGGATCGAGTTTCCGCAGCCCGGTTTTCGTCCGGCGCAGAGGGTTGAGGAGACCGGTCAGAGGTTAGCAGCGTATGCTAAGCAGTTTGGTGTGCCGTTTGAGTATAAGGCCATTGCTAAGAAGTGGGATGCTATTAAACTTGAGGATCTTGATATCGACAGGGACGAGGTTATCGTTGTGAATTGCTTGTACCGGGCTGAGAATTTGCATGACGAGTCGGTTAAAGTGGAGAGTTGCAGAGACGCGGTTCTTGATTTGATCGGGAAGATTAAACCGGATCTTTTCGTGTTCGGCATTGTGAACGGTGCTTACAACGCGCCGTTCTTTGTGACAAGGTTCAGAGAGGCTCTGTTTCATTTCTCGTCGATTTTCGACATGCTTGAGACGATTGTACCGAGGGAAGACGAGGAGAGGATGTTTCTTGAGACGGAGGTGTTTGGGAGAGAGGCGTTGAATGTGATTGCCTGCGAAGGTTGGGAGAGAGTGGAGAGGCCTGAGACGTATAAGCAGTGGCATGTCAGAGCTATGAGGTCAGGGTTGGTGCAAGTTCCGTTTGATCCAAGCATTATGAAGACGTCTTTGTATAAGGTCCATACGTTTTACCACAAGGATTTTGTGATCGATCAAGATAACCGGTGGCTCTTGCAAGGCTGGAAAGGACGGACCGTTATGGCTCTATCGGTTTGGAAACCAGAGTCCAAGGCTTGATTGTGCTAATGGTGACAGAGTTTACAAGGTAGAGGTCGGATTCATATTCACATTTGCCTTAGGAATGCTATGTGATTCTTGCTAGACATTGTACTGAGACTGTGTCATCTCTTTTGCAGATTGAAAGAAGAGAGTGAAAGAATTTGTTTAAAAGATAATATTGATGTAAGTCATGAGTTTATGACTTTCTCAGATAGGTTCTTGTAGCTAGGGATGATTGTATATTGCTAGCAGAGTTGACTTGTCTTCGATTGTAACGCGTGTAAGAGGAAGCTTAGAGGAACTATGGTTTTGATATTGAAAGGGAGGTTTTTGATTCTCCAATGTATACACGTTGACCAATGCTACATTGAGATAAGATGTTTTTGACTCCTTGATATTTGCTATTTGCTATACTATTTCTGGAAAATTCTTGTGCTCGGAATCTGAGCTCCTAGTTATTAGTTGTGGTCCTTGAGTGCTATTTTGCGAGTTTTGATGATCTCTAAATATGTTTCAAAAGCTTTTGATGTTACTTAAAGTCTAGGGCAAGACCCCTTAAATGCCGGTTTAGACACACAAACCCCTCTCAGTGTCTAATGTTATGACTCTGCTACAAGAGAGAAAAACACTAAAAAAAGAGAAGGATCAGAACTTAGTTGTGACTTGAGCGAAAAGTGCCTTGAAATCCTTTGTTGGAGTGCCTGTACCCTCTGGCTTTGAGGCCAGGTCAAGTGCTTTTGATTTTGCCTCCTCGTGCTGCAACGCCTGCTCGAATAAGAGTCATAAGACACACCAAGGTTCAGAGAAGAGAAAATAGTTTTACAAAAAATATGGTCTCAGTTTATGAAGCCTTTGCCATAGGAACACACCTGAACGCAGACTTCTGCAACATCAGCTCTTGCGATTGTTCTTGTTTCTGTCTCGAGAAGCTCATCGTCTTTGCCCACTAGTAATTCTCGGATGCCACCTTCTTTGTCTTGCAGACCACCCGCCCTGATTCCACAGAGGAAAAAAATGTAAGAAATGAGATTCCACCATTGTACTCTGCATTAAGGTCCAAGTCTCAACAAACAAAAAGATACCTGATGATAGTGTATGGAATACCGGAATCAGCCAAGTACTGCTCAGCTTTCCTCTTCCAAACCTACAAATTGCATAATAATGATTAAAGATTGTGAAAACTCATCTCTCTGTTTCAAGAAAACAAAGAAAGAAGAAGAATCACCAGAATGTTAGCATTGCCAATACTATTCAAGGGGTGATTAATGTTTGTTCCTCCCATTGATCCCACCAAAACAATCTGTTTAACTCCAGCAGCTTTGGCTGTTTCAACAAAGACAAAGATCATCACCACTTTGGCTATAATTATAAACACACATACAAAAGAAACTCAAAGAAATGAACACAAACCAGCATCTATCTGATTCTTCTGACCAATCCAATCAACCTGCAAAAAGAAAGAAGAAAAGGATCAAAACCAAACAAGAGTTGAGAATCCTACAAGAACACAGTAGACACTAGACAGTACTAGTAGTTGTTGTTATGTTCTGACCTGTTCTGGATAAGCTCCTTCTTCAAAGTAGAACTCAGGTCTGCCTCCTTTGCTAGGATCAAAACCAGGTTTCATTTGCGGCACGGCGCTCGTAAGAATGACCAAAGCATCGATTCCTTCAACAGCAGAAGCAATGGCTTCAGGGTCTCTGATATCTCCGATGAACACTTCATCCTCTCCACCGATCTTCTCTTTGCTCTCTTTTGTCCTCACTAAACCCTTCGCCACAAACTGATCTGACCTCTCTTTCAATTTCTTGTACACAATTTGCCCTGACATTGTTTCAGAGGATAACACAAACTCATCAACATTAATAAGTCGTTTTGTGGAATTGCAAGATACCACATTGTAGAGAGAAATCAAATCGAAACGAACCTGTTCTTCCACCGGCGCCGGTAACGAGGACGGTGAGCGGCTCGGTTGCTCCGGCGGCGGAAACGGTAACCGATAATCTTCTGAGATTTTCGTTAAACTTCCTCCGACCGTAAACCGACGTCGAATCGGAAACAAGCGAGCGGAATTGGAGAGACGACGGAGAAGACGGAATTGAGGAACGAGGAAGTGAGACGAAGGAATAAGCCGCAGCTTTGGGTTTGTAACTGTTAATAGGAATTAGTGAGTGGAAGAGTGTCGTCGTCGTCGTCGTCGTCATCGCCATTGACTGAAGTTTGGTTAGCTCAGACGAGCACGAGAGAGTGAGAGAGACCACACCTTATCGCGTTTCTCCGATTTTCGCCACGTCACCTTATCGTTTGAATTATTTGATTTATTATTACTAAGGCTAAGCCCACGCGATGCGCGGGTTATATCTATTACAAAGTTTTGTTACTTATACAGTTATACTTTAATTGTCATTTGAATTTTGTAGATATTTTTTTTCAGATATATTAACGTGTAGTTGAAATATAAATGTACATTATTCCTTATTTCCTCTAAAATCAAATTACTTACAATATTTTTCATGTGCTAAAAATTAATTATGACTAATTGTAGCACATTGAAAAATCTTATACCCTAATCCTAAATCCTAAATTAAAAAAAAAAAAAACCCCAAAATTCTAAACTTAAACCAGAAACCATAAATTTTTATTCCAAATTAAAAACATTAAATCAGAATTAGCAAAAAAAATTAAAAGTCATTCCAAACCCTTATATCTAAACCCTTAAATATAACTCTTACATGAAAAAGAAATATAACACTTATCTAAAAACATATATTTTTCGTAGGATTACATATATTTCTAGAATGAATATATTTTGTTAATACTTATCACAAATGTCAAATAAAATTATATGATAAATCTTAAATTCTAAACCCTAAAAAGGATCAACCCAAACCCATTTTTTTTTTAAAATGACCCATTTTGACACCCCTATTATAAAGTACACATAAGTACACATTATAATCCAAACCAAATTGTAAATAAAAAGCTACTCCTACACAACAAGAGTAACAAGCTTCTTCCTCACTTTACTTGCACTTCTAAGCATATATTTACTTAAGATCTTCCCACCTACCACCAGTTTCTGCAGTGATTTTTCAATCTGCAAAAGCATAGAGATTAAAACATCGGATGTTTACCTATGCTTAAGAGATCATTCAACTAAAAAAACCATAACAAAGAAACTCTAAGGAAATGATAATAAAAAAAAAAAAGCCCAATGAGAAAAAAGAAGGGGATCAAGTTATGCCATGATTTTCGTGATTGCTCCGATTCCCGAAATGAGAAATGCAAACTAAGTTTCTTTACTTTAAGAATTCTTAAACAAACATAAAACAGAGAAGATTCATCGCATAACATTTCCAAATTGACTTCAATCTTATATCTGCATGCATCAACACAGGTTCGTAAAATAACCCTCACTGACTTCTCCCAAAGGTGACAATGTTGGATAATTAATCTAGAACAACACTTAAACACACATACTTTAATAAGGATCATACTTTCATCATCAGCCTAATGGTCCATAGAAGGGGAGAAGGAATCTCTAAAACTACAACTTCATCCTCAGTTACGAAATAACTAAGGAAAACTTAATATAAACAAAGGGAAAAGGAATCTGCAGATCTAAAAAAGCTAAAAATGCTCTTCAGAAGAAGAAATTAACTCACTTTCATTGTAGTGGTGAACACTAACTCAGTCTCTGATCTTATAAACGGTGGGCAATTCGAAGCGATGAGAATCAGTTCCCCTGCCAATATAAACAAACCAGAATCAACTAAAATAATCAGCTGAAACCTATTAGTATGCACACCAACTGTTCGACTAAATTACCTTGGAGCCTTAGAGGGATTTGAGGACAGACTTGTAACCAAAAGTGTATTAACCAATCTTCATAAATCATAACAAGAGCCAACCTATTGTTATTAACCTTATGAGACCTCTTATGCAATTAAGCAATTAACCTAGAAACAGTAAAGTCTGAAACCCTCGATTGTTCTCTGCAAGAAAAAGGGACTCAATTGTTCAAAATGACTCTTCACAAACTCAGATTCCAAACTTAAGCATCAGAAAACATAGAAAGAGCAATGTACCTTGCGGTGGAGCAGAATAACTCGATTAGCTACCAAATCGTGGTGGAGCTAGACAAGAAAGAGCCGGCGACAACAGAGAAGTATCTACCCAAAATTGACTCGGAAAGGAAGGAGAGGAGGAGATACTCAGAATTTTAGACAATGAAGGGCCTGTTCTTTTCATAATCGCCGAAAACTTCTAAAATAGCATTCACGAAAACTGACCTATCTTAATGTGCTATTAATACACCACTTTCTTGTAGTGATTGACCGTTTCAGAAAACTAAGAGACAAATAAAGACTTAACCAAACCAAATAAACCAAAAGATTGAGAAAACAGAACCGAGAAAACCAATTCCTGTAACACGGAACTCTCAGCAGTAACCCTAAATTCGATTCTAGCCCATTTCGTGACATGTTCGTCACTCACGTTTCTCACCGTAGCGGCGGAGACCACACTGGCGGCGTCAGTCACGTTTCTCAACATAGCTTAAATCAGACCAGCACACCTTCTGGCTTTCACCACGCCTCTGGTGAGAACCGTCTGACGAGCAGAGACGGTAAAGTCATTCTCGCTCCATCCGATCCATATGATCAAGCCCATGTATTATCATCTCTCACCTTCATCCACCAAATTCCTCTTATTTTTTTCCTCCCTTCTTTAAATTTGCAATCGTAACAGTTGCAATTCTGCTGATTTGTTGACTGATAATAAGAAAAAAAACCAATTTTGATTCATAGCATCTCAATTTGTTTCTCATTATAGAATATATGATTAATTTAAAAAATTTAGAATGAAGAAACATTAATCAGTTCCTTTTCCCTTTTCGCCTCTTCTTCCAGAGATTTCGCCGAGGAGCAACAACAACAACCGAGTAAACCACTTTGGATCCATTTGCTAATTTTCACAAGAGGAGTAGTTAACTCTGCTAAGTGCTAACGATGCTTTTCTTGGATGCTTTTCTCGAATCAGATGAGCAAGGCTTTGGTGGAGCCGGTTATCGATGTCTAGTTGATGATTTTGGTTTAGTTGATGTGTTGCGTTTAGTCTTCCATCGTTTGATTTCGTTTTGAGTTTGTGTGTTAATTTTTTTTTTAATGATAAATGCTGAAAAAAAAAAAAAAAAATAAATGCTGCCATGTGGCAGGGATAAAGCTGAAGTGGCAGAAATCTGGAGAGAGTTATTCTCTCATTATATATAAGATTTACTTTTTTTCATTGCCTTGAAGCTTGAAACTGGCCAGATCTCAACTTGGGCCAGAGCTTAGTAACGTTTTATGTCCGCTAATCAGGTTTAGATTTTTAATATAGGATTTCATTATGAGATGATTTATTAATTAACTCATAAATAGAAGGAAAATGTTATACTCTCCATCCGTTTCGTTTTATGCTTAACTTTTTGTTTGTTTTTAGTTATTGTTTTGTATTTTCAAGGTAGATCAACGATATACTATAAAACCTCTATAAAATAATAATTTTGTGATTTTGAAAAATTATTATCTTACAAAGATTTTATTTTATGAATAAATTAAATATTTATTGATTTATAATTTTTTTTCTTCATAAACTTCAAAAATTATTCTTTATATAATCATGTATCAAGAATTTAAAACAATTTATTTGTTAATATGATATACATAAACTTGAAATTATGATAAAGTATTTAGGATATTGTAAAAAGACATATATTATTAGCTTATATAAATATTTATAAAAAAAAAATATACATGATAAAAATTAAATGTTCAGAAAAATTATAGCTACTAATGAAGTTGAAAATAATATGTTTAGAAACATATTTAACAAATTTTACATGCATAGAAAATTTGCATTATGCATTTTTTATATAATAAAAAGCTAGAGATAAACTTAAATTCATAGTTTAATAATTTTCTTAGGCATATACAAAGTGAAGTTTCATCTAATTTTTACTTTAGCTTATAACTGAGACCATATTTTTACATATGAGTTTCAGAAATATTATTATCTTATCATTTTATCGCATTATGGTTATTTTTACATTGATCCTAATTAGAATCGAAAAGATTAAGATAATGATTATTAATTTATCGAATATTATTTTACATGTCATATTGTATATTCCAATTTTATCCTAATTGTTTTTACAGAAAATTGAAGAGATTCTTTGTGCGTCGAGTCAAGCTCCCTTCAGTACCGGTGTCAAGTTTTCACTTCCTACATGGGAAGTGAACTGCGTAATCTGTTAAGATAGGTATGAGCTAAACCAATTGTTGGCTCAAACTCCTTGCGGCCATGCATTCCAATCGGAATGCTTGGCTCAGTGACACAATAATTGCCCTATATGCAAAATGAATTTTTAGTCCAAATATGTGATAATGTAATTATAACTGAAACAAGCTAAGTGGTTTACTAATTTGAATAAATAAATTATTATTATTTTTTAATAAACAATTAATTTATATGTAAAAAGAAGAGAATTATCAAAAAGTTGTTTTACAAAAAAAGTATAACATAAGCAAATTATAAGAAAAACATATGCAAAACAAAAGAAAAATATATGTGAAACATAAGTAAAATATAAGTAAAACACTAATAAATATGAAATATTACTCCCTTCGTTTCACAATAAGTGTCACTTAAGAAAAATGAGAATTAAATGTATCTAGATGTATTAAACTTAAAATAACAATTACTATGTCCAGATACATCCAATTATTGTCCAGATACATTTTCTCCAAATGACACTTATTGTGAAACGGAGAGAATATCATACAAGTGGTAATAAGATTAGTGGTAATAAGATTAATATTAGTGCGTGATCGATTATTTTGGATTTGAATTAATAAGGAGGTGGTTGATTGTTAAAAAAAACTACCTTTAATTAATTAGTTTCGTAAAAAGAAGAATAAGCAAATTATTAAAAAAAATATATGCTACATATAAGAAACGTATATGTGAAACATAAGTAAAGCATAATAAATGTTTTAAACAATTAAAAATAGAAAGATGTTAGGTATATGCATGTATGTTGAATTATTAAGAAGATAATTTAAAAGGAGGCATGCCAATTTATCAGAAAGTTTAAATAGAGGTAACATTAACTTAGAGAAATTCCATAAAGTTAAAAAGAAAAGGAAGGAGAACAAAACTACAAAGCAGAGATTATTCAAACAAAACAAAAACAATAAAAGTCTTTGTAGGAAACGTAGGAATCTTCCAAATAACCAAGAAAAACGTGTTAATCACGCTACCACCGGAGTTTCCACTGGAAGCTCCCCGGAGTACCTAACTTTTCCAGGCTTAGCCTCCGATTCCCAGAGCTCCGGCAATGCCTCCTTCAGGTTATGAATGTTCTCTATCGCAAAATCTGCACACTTCACCTTCTGTGCAGTCCCCACCTGTCATCAAACAAACACAATCATCACTCCATTAATCTCAACGGACATTTCACTCTCCTTCATCGAATTATATAGAGAGAAACAAACGTTTTTAGCTCACCAGAACAGTATTCAGACCCACGCGTTTACCGGCTTGAATGTTTCGAACACTGTCATCGAAGAACAACTACAAGAAAAAAAAAAACAGAGATTAAAGTAAAGCAAATTGGTTAATCAAGATTGCCAAAAAGTGATGACACTCACGGTTTTGTGAGGGTCAACGTTAGCGATTGCAAGAGCCTTTACTATGGCGGTTTCAGACGGTTTGAAGACGACAGGTGTTTTAGGCAAACCGGACAGTGACTTCTCATGATCGGATAAGTATCCAATGATGTCGAAGATCTCATCATTAACGTTAATGTTGTCGCTAATATATAGTAGAGTTTAATGATTCGAAGCAAACTATTCCTTCGAAACAGTCCTCTAACCCTAGCCTCTCTAGTCTCTACAGCTTTAGCTGCATGTAACTTATCAAAGTTCGTGAAGATCTGCAAAATTGTGATCAAGAGAGAAATTCATTAAAATATAAATTTTTAATGTAATTTTTTCAGAAGGAATGATTTAGGTTTAGAAGAAAACATTACGATCTTACGAAGAGGGAGGCTAAGTAAAAGACTTCTCAAAATGGGATCTGGCTTGATGTTTTCATAAGGTAGTCTCCCATGTATAAAACTGTTTAAATAAAAAAAAACACAAATTTCAGAATTTCAACACATGACTTGTTGTATTATTGGAAGAGATTTGATATTAATACCTGTGATAATCGTCGTAGTCCAACTCATAACATTTGGCCTGAAAATAAATATGGATAATTCAAGAATGAACATAATATTTTTACACAAAAAGAGGACGAACATTATTCTGGTGGTTTATTTTAAGTAACAGAGAGAAGCAAATTTACTCGGAGACCAGACATGGTAGTCCCGTAATTCTTTGTAAAGTGAATTAGAAAACTACACGATTTTACTCTTGTCGATTCCAAGCTTCTCCACCATGTAATCTGCCAAAAAAAACCCATAATTTCGAAGTCTCAGTAGTCTGACGCATGATTTTACTGAAAGATTAGTGACTTGCAGAACAAGGAACTGATTCTGGTGGGGGATAAATGTCACCTTTGATGTTTTGTCCACATTCTTCAGCAATCCCAGAGCTCAGTGGATAAAGAGTATCATCCAGATCTGCAAAAATAACTGGTTCTACGCACTCCTCTTAGAACCTTTATGGACAGAGAGAAAATGAATGGCTTAATTAAAGAAGTGGATGAAACATAGATTTAAGCAAAAGTGGTAGGAACATTGTAAGTACAGTTGTCATTGGTTTTAGACACAAAGATAAAGATGTTGATAGATGTCAAGATGCTATGAAGAAGCTATTCGAGAATTGACACACAAGAGCTGTCTTAGACACAAGTGTTCGGTGGAACATAAAGTTGTAACAGAAGTTGACCAAAGAGGAGAAGAGCTTTACTCCAAAGTTAACACAAGTGTTCTTCCACCGGCGCCGGTAACGAGGACGGTGAACGGTGAGAGGCTCTGTTTCTCTGGCGGCGGAAACGGTAACCGATACTCTTCTGAGATTTTCGTTAAACTTCCTCCGACCATAGACCGACGTCGAATCCGAGACAAGCGAGCGGGATCGGAGAGACGACGGCGAAGACGGAATTGAGGAACGAGGAAGTGAGACGAAGGAAGAAGCTGAAACTGTTAGCAGGAATAAGTGAGTGGAATAGTGTCGTCGTCATCGCCATTGTCTGAAGTTTGGTTAGCTCAGACGATCACGAGAGAGTGAGAAAAGACGGGTGTTTCTCCCATTTTCGCCACGTCACCTTATCGTTTGAATTATTTGATTTATTATTATTTAATTTTTGTTTAATGCCATGCAGCTTGAAACGGGCCTGATTTCAATTTGGGCCATAGCTTAGTAACGCTCCATGTCCGTTAATCCGGTTTAGTTTTTTTAATTTAGGATTTGATTATGAGATGATTTATTAATTAACTCACAAATAGAAGGAACATGTTATACTCCATCCGTTTCATTTTATGCTTAAATTTTTGTTTGTTTTTAGTTATTTTTTTAGTATTTTCAAGGTAGATTTCGAAATATATTACAGTTTTATCCTAACTATTCAAACTTATATCAAACAAAACAATATATTAAAATATTGTTGATTTTTTAATTTACTAACATTTTTTTTCCTTATTAATATCTTATTTTATATTTCAATTGTATAGCATTGAAAATTGACAATGTAATGGTGAAAATTTAATTATTTTTTAATGTGGTTTAGCTGATGATAATTATGATAATAGAATGTGTTAAGCCAAAAAAATTTATATTGTAATAATAGAATAAAGCATTTGGTTTTTCTTATATGAAAAATACCGACCAAAAACATTGAACAATCGGGGAAAATAAATTATATGAATCAATGTAACTATTACAATGACCAATTGAACTGAAACAAGTGGCTTGCTAATTTGAATAAGTACATTCTAATTATTTAGCGTTGTCAAAAATTTGTTATACAAAAAGAATATAACATAAGCAAATAATAAGAAAAATATATGCAAAATATAAGAAAAATATATGTAAAACATAAGTAAAACATAATAAATATGAAAATATTATCATATTTTGTTAATGTATAATTTATTTTTAAAACTGATTTATTTTACAAGTGTGACCAGTTAATAAGATTAGTGGTAATAAGATTAATATTAGTGTGTAATCAGTTTTTAAACTAATAAGGAAGTGGTTGATTGTTAAAAAAACATTCGAACTACCTTCAATAAAGTTTGAAAGCTTCCATTCCAATATGGGGAAGTGGATTGCGTACTTTACATTTGTTAAGATAGGTTTGAGCCAAATGAACTTGTTAGCTCAATTCCTTGTGGTTATGCGTTCCACTTGGAATGTTTGACTCAGTGGCACAGGAGTTGTCCAAACTGCCGGATGGTTTTTGGAATGCTTGGCTCAGTGGCACAGGAGTTGTCCAAACTGCTGAATGATCTTTTAGTTCAAACAGGTAAGAATGTAATTATAACTGAAACAATTAGCTTACTAATTTGAATAAATAAATAACTATGATTTATAAATAAACAGTTAATTTATACGTAAAAAGAAGAAGAAGGATTCACGAAATGGCTAAGTGGAAAGAAAGAAGCCGAGAAGGAAGACTCGTGATCATAATAAAGTCTAGTTAGGATTAGTTAGATAGGTTATTTTGTTTTGTTATTATGAGCTACAAAATAAGTATAATATAAGCAAAATATAAGTAAAATATATGCAAAACATTTGTAAAACAAAATAAATATGATTATATTATAATGTTTTGCAAACATATAATATATATAGATATATATTTCTTTCTTTTTATGTACAAACTATATGCTTAAGATTGAGATCCCTAATACTTTCAACAATTAACTTTAAAATATTAACATAATTTCAACATTTTTATGAAAAAAGATGTTAGGTATATGCAAATATATTATGTATGTTGAATTAAGAAGATGGCACAATTATAAATTTAAAAGAAGGCATGCAAAGTTTGAATAGAGGTACCATTAACTTAGAAAAATCCCATAAAGTAAAAAGAAAAGAAAGGAGAACAAAACTACAAAGAAGAGATTATTCAAACAAAACAAAAACAATAAAAGTCTTTGTAGGAAACGTAGGATTCTTCCAAATAACCAAGGCCCGGTTAATCACGCTACCACCGGAGTTTCCACTGGAAGCTCCCCGGAGTACCTAACTTTTCCAGGCTTAGCCTCCGATTCCCAGAGCTCCGGCAATGCCTCCTTCAGGTTATGAATGTTCTCGATCGCAAAATCTGCACACTTCACCTTCTGCGAAGTCCCCACCTGTCATCATCACTCCATTAATCTCAACGGGCATTTCACTCTCCTTCATCGAATTATATAAAGAGAAACAAACGTTTTTATCTCACCAGAACAGTGTTCAAACCAACGCGTTTACCGGCTTGAATGTTTCGAACACTGTCATCGAAGAACAACTACAAGAAAAAAAAGAGCAGAGATTAGAGTAAAACAAAATTGGTTAATCAAGATTAGGAAAAAATGATGACACTCACGGTTTTTTTAGGGTCAACGTTAGCGATTTGAATTGCCTTTACTATGGCGGTTTCAGACGGTTTGCAGACGACAGGTGTTTTAGGCAAATCGGAGAGTGGCTTCTCATGATCGGATAAGTATCCAATGATGTCGAAGATCTCGTCATTAACGTTAATGTTGTCGCTAATAGTAGAGTTTAATGATTCGAAGCAAACTATTCCTTCGAAACAGTCCTCTAACCCTAGCCTCTCTAGAGCTCTAGCTGCATGTAACTTATCTGCGTTCGTGAAGATCTGCAAAATTGTTATCAAGAGAGAAATTCAGTAAAATATAATTTTTAATGTAATATTTTCTGAATTTAGGTTTAGAAGAAAAAATTACGATCTTGCGAAGAGGCAGGCTAAGTAAAAGACTTCTCAAAATGGGATCTGGCTTGATGTTTTCATAAGGTAGTCTCCCATGTATAAAACTGTTTAACTAAATAAGACAATATGAGAATCAGAAATCAACATATGATTTGTTGTATTATTGGAAGAGATTTGATATTAATACCTGTGATACTCGTCGTAGTCGAACTCATAACCTATGGCCTGAAAACAAATACGATCAAGATAGATCAAGAATGAAGATATTGATAATTATAGTAGTTTAGTTGAGGAAACATAGAGAAGAAAACTTACTCGGAGACCGGACATGGTAGTTCCGTAATTCTTGTAACATGAATTAGACAACTCCACGATCTTACTCTTGTCGATTCCAAGCTTCTCCACCATGAAATCTGTCAAAAAAACACCATAATTCCAGAGTCTCAGTAGTCAGTTGCATGATTTTACTGAAAGTCTAGTAACTTGTATAACAAGTAAATGATTTTGGGGGATAAATGTCACCTTTGATGTTTTTCCCACATTCTTCAGCAATCCCAGAGCTCAGTGGATAAAGAGTATCATCAAGATCTGCAAAATTCCCACAAAGTTAATTGATTTTTCAAGAACAAAAAAAATGCGAAAGAAAAACAAAAACAGAGGAATTTGAGACTCTTACCAAACAAAAGGGTATCATATTTTGGGTACTCAATCTCCATTTTTAGATGATAACTGGTTCTACGCAGAGAGAAATGAATGGTTTAATTAAAGAAGGGGAGGAAACATAGATTTAAACAAAAGTGGTAGGAGCATTGTAAGTACAGTTGTCATTGGCTTTCGACTCAAAGATTAAGATGTTAATACATGTCAAGATTTTATGAAGAAGCTATCCAAGAATTGACACAAGAGCTGTCTTAGACACAAGTGTTCGGTGAAACAGAAAGTTGTCACAGAAGTTGACCAAAGAGGAGAAGAGCTTTACCCAAAAGTCAAAGAGACTCTAGATTTTGGGATCAAAGACACGATGTAGTTTTATCATATGAACTATAAAGGTAATAAAGAACCAATAATTTCTTCAAGATTGAATAAATTCTTATAACCTATAGTTTGAAGAAAAAAAACCTATAGTTTCCAAAAATTAGAAATAAGATTTCTATAACTCATAAGAAAAGCAAGAGAAGAGAGAAAAAAAAAAAAAAAAAGGGGAAGCAAGCATCGTAATTATCGAACCTGGTCCAAGATACAGTAATGCAAAATGCAGATGACAATTGACAAGTGGTGGGAGGCCAAATGAGGCAGAAGGAAGGGAGGAGAAAGATCGGAAGCGAAAAGCGTTTATATAGAGGAGAAAGCCAACGCAGACGCGGTTTCCCATGTTAACGTGTGCTTCCCATTTATCTTTTTCTTTTTATCTCATGTATTTTGTGTAATTTGTTAATGCTTCTCTTTAACAAAAAAAAATTGTTAATGCTTCTCATTGGTTTTTGTTTTTTTTAAATGTATTCACTGCGTCTCTTTTTAGTTTGAAAACTGTTTATGTATTTTTTTATTTTCTTATAAATTTGAAATTTCTTAAAAAAGATTTTTAAACAGAATAATACAGTTACGTTACGTGTTCAATTTGAACCAAAGTTCCTTTGCTTCAACCGGAACTAAACGATGCACTTTTTCTGACTTTAAAAATTTAGGTTTATCATCAATTTGTCAAACCCAATATACAATACCCGAACTTTATTCCAAAAAGTTACTATAATATGAAAAAAAATCATGGTTCTAAAATATCTACTTTTTGGGTGTGCCGAAAATACATATCTACCTTTGAATCCATCGGTTCGTTGCTGCCATAGTATGTTATTTATGAAAAATGTATATCGGAAATTTTATTATAAAAAATATATATATATATTATAAATTTTTTAAACGGTTAATCTGTTTTCTACTTTTAAAACTAGATTGTTGCAAAAAAATAACCACATAAATTACAACATTTGAAAAATATGGAGGATTGATTATTTGGATAAAGAAAGAAGGCTGATAATATTGTTTGGATAATCGTTAAAGCTTTCTGATTTACAACTACAAGTCTACAGCCTATGAAACTGTGTCAATAACTAATTCGAACATGTATTGGTCAATATATAAATGAAGTCTGACCGGACGAAAACCAATTCAAACATGCATATGCATGCATTGGTCACGTAATAAAGTCCGACCAGAAGAAAACCAATTCAAGCATGCATTGGTCATGTATATCGTGCAAACGTAAAAAACAATTAGTCAAGGAAATCTAGGTAAGTGTAGCGTTTACTTACTCGATCTGTGTGGGTAAAAGTAGTAAAGAGTAAAGACAACTAGTTATTGTTCTCTACGACCAACTTTGAACAAAAGAAACATGCGATGATTGATGAGAGACCAAAACAAAAAGTTTAAGACGATGAGCTGTCACCTTCTCATTTTCTACATTATTCTTGATTAGTATCTTTGTGTTTTGTTTTTGAACAAACCCTTCAATAATTGATCAAACAATGCTATCAAAAGATAATTGATCAACAAGACGACTTGTACCACACGTTTTTGTTTCCTGTGATAAATTTATTTTCTAGAACCTGGTTGATTAAATAAATACATCACATTCATCACTCAGTTGTCTTCAAATCAGCTTTTAGTTTAGGCATGCACCGTTAATATTTATCGGAAATTCTGATTATAAATTTTGGAGTAGTTATTTTTCAAAAGTATAGTATAGGATTTCATACGTTAAAGCAGATAGTAGTAATTAACTTAAACTTTTCATGGTAAAGTTATATTTATTTTTCAAAAAATACTTATCTAAACATTAACAAGCTCGTTCTTCTTGCCTCGGAAGTAATGCAGGGTTATCATAGAGACGGAAATGAAGGAAAGATCACTCTTAAGGTTGACATCTCAAAAGCGTTTGACTCGGTAAGATGGGATTTTCTTTTGGCTATCCTTCAGGCTTATAATTTCCCTTCTCGTTTCATCAAATGGATCAAATGCTGTGTGTGCTCACCTTCATTCTCAGTCAGTATTAATGGAGTTTCTTCAGGGTATTTCAAAGGGAAGACAGGTTTAAGACAGGGTGATCCTTTATCACCTATTCTCTTTGTCTTGATTATGAATGTTTTATCATTCATGCTAAATAAAGCGGCTTTGGAGGGCTCTTTTGGTTATCATCCGGGATGTGTGGATTCTCAGCTTACTCATTTGTGTTTTGCGGATGATCTTTTAATTTTTCTGGAGGGTTCTGAAAGATCCTTGGCAGGAGTCCTCTCAGTTCTATCTTGAAAGGATGTCAGGCCTTGGAGTTAATATTCAAAAGACCTCCATGTTTTGTCAAGGTCTAGACAGTGATACTCTTGGCAGGATTCAAGCTCGTTTCAACTTGAGGGCTTCTTCTCTCCCCATTCGTTATTTGGGTCTGCCTCTCTCTTCCAAAAAGCTAAATGTAGCTGATTGTGATCCGTTGCTTGCCCTTATCAAAAAGAAGATGGACGCATGGACAAACAGATTTTTAAGTCTGGCAGGAAGATTATCCCTTCTTTCCTCGGTTATCTCGGGAATTGTCGGATTTTGGACCAGTGCTTTCATTTTACCTCTGAAGGTGATTAAGAAGATCAATAGTCTCTCTAGCTCCTTCTTATGGCATGGTAAAACAGGTTTGTCTTCTGCAGCAAAGGTTGCTTGGAAGACTATCTCATCTCCTAAGGCTGAAGGCGGCTTAGGACTTAGGGATATCGCAAGTTGGAATAATGCTTCTGCTTTGAAACTGATTTGGATGCTATTTTTTCGAGCTGGATCAATCTGGGTAGCTTGGATTAGAAGAAGATATCTTTCAAACGCATCCTTCTGGGCACTCAACGACAAGAACTATTCTTATTCGTGGATGTTTAGAAAGATACTAAAGCTGCGCCAAAAAGCCATTCAGTTTCTGAGAATTAAAATTGGGAATGGAGATTCTACTTTCTTTTGGTGGGATCCTTGGACCCCTTTTGGATCTTTATCTGCTTATTTGGGTGAAGATGGGCCTTCTCGTCTTGGTATCCCACTAAATGCTACCGTGTCAGATGTATGGAGTGGTAATGGATGGACTCTGCCTCCGGCACGTACTGATCGTCAGGTTAATCTTCACTCGTACCTACTTACTGTTGGATGTTCCTCTTCAGTTGATACTCCGATCTGGTCTATCAATGGTGTAATCAGGAAGTCCTTTTCCTTAAAAGAGGTGTGGAACGAGATTCGTAGCACGAATCCAGAGGTCTTCTGGGCTCCTTTACTTTGGCATAAGGCAGGTTTGGCTCGTCATCAAACCACGTCATGGCTTTTTCTTCTCAATAGGAACCCAACTATGGATCGAATGACTTCTTGGGGTTATGAAACAGAGGGGATTTGTTTACTTTGTGGTTTGGATTCAGAATCACGAGATCATCTGTTTTTTTAGTGCTCCTTCTCTGCTTCTGTTTGGCGAAGGTTAATGTCCCAGTTATCTCTACGAGATATTCCGTTGATCTGGTTGCAACTTTTGCAGTATCTCCACCTCACTCAACTTGATACACCAACGCGTTTAGCTCTCCTTCAGGCTTGGCAAGGTGCAGTTTATTAGATTTGGAAGGAACGCAATCGTCGATTGCATGATGGAGTTACCTTATCTCAGTCGAAAGTTTTCACAATTATACTCATTACTCTCAAGGACAAATGTCGTGCCATGACTCTTCTTGGTTCTTCAAATGGTGAACTGATTCTCCATAAGTGGTCTTCTTTTTTCCTTTTTTCTAATGGATTGTTTGATCTTTGTTTGATCTTTGATTTCTTTCTTTCTTCTTCTTTTTTGGCTGTAAGATCTTTAACTACTTCTTTGTAGTTTTCTTTTATAAATGCAAGAAAAACCCTTTAACAAAAAAAAACATTAACAAGCTCACAACTCACAAGTGATTCCGTTTCTCGAAAATGATTTTATTTCATAATTTTCTTTCCTTCCTGTGAACGGTGGCGACTTAATTATGTAACTTCTGCGTAATTGGTCAAAGGAAAGGAACGCAAATATTCATTTATATTCTTTTGCTAAGGAATAAACATTGATAGTTGCATAAAAAGAAAGAATATACATCCCTTGATTCTCCCAACTATTTTTATGTTCAAAACAAAATACTATAAATAGTATCGAGTGTATATATATGTCGGTTGATTAGTGACAAAGACAATGTTGATGTTACTATCTCTTATTGTTTTATCATTTGATTTCCTTTGGTTTTGTAATGAACAAATATCTGTTAAAGTTGATCATCACTTATTATTTTAAATTGAAAAACTGGTACATAAAACTTAGAGTTGAGAAGATCTTTTTAGAAGTATCAACCGATCTGGGGAATGTTGAAAACATTGCCGTTGCCATCTAAAAAGAGAGAGACTCTGTTGCAGCAAAAGTCTGGAAATGCAATTCTTCCCGGTGGAAACATCACTACCGTAACATTTGGATTCTCTTTTTCGATAATCTTTTCCACCATTTCCCCATTTTTGCCTTTCAATTCTTTCCACAAAAATTTTGCTCCTGAACAAGTAGTCATTTTAAACATTATAATGATTTTAAGAGAGGATTTTATCTTGAGAAAAGTGAAATTTTGAAGTATATACCCTGAGCGCAACATATTGGATTGCTGCAAGCGCCTTTCACACATGGAGGATAATGAGGCCAATGAATCATCTCTTCCATTTTAGTTTTACCTAAATTACTTGATTGCTTCTTCTTTTTTGTTTTTCTAATGAAATCTGACCATGACTGTTCTCTTTAAATATGCTATAGTTATGTGCTTTTCTAAGGAAACAAATAAAATGTAACTTAACTATGGAAAGCTATTATCTCTAACGCACGTTGACCACATTGTTATATAATCACACATATATAGAAAACTACAAACTTGACTAATGCACTAAATTATTGTATTTTTACTTTTGAGCAAACTGCAAACTTAAGAAAATTAAAAGTTTGATTAGTACTCCCACTGTTTTACAACATACGTTATGTTCTCTCTAAATAAGCTTATAGTTATTTGATTTTCTAAGGAAACCAAGTAAAATGTAACTTAACTATATGGAAAACTATTATCTCTAACGCACGTTGACCACATTATTAATCACACATATATAGAAAACTAAAAGCTTGACTAGTGTATTAAATTATTGTATATCTACTTTTGAACAATTTAAGAAAATTAAAAAGTTTGACTAGTACTCCCACTGCTTTACAACATACATTATGTTCTCTCTAAATATGCTATAGTTATGGGAAGGCAGGAAGCTGTGTTTCTTCTGTGTTTTCTTATCCTATACATTAAAAAGACATTACTATAAATGGGTTTCTAAAACATATTTTTTTATGGAGATTTCACACAAATTAAAATATTAAAATAAATGTATTATTTTTTATTAATAAATTCCCATAATTTGTTTGTAACCAAAGATAGTTTAATATTTTTTTGTTTAAAGTTTACAATTCATCATTATTAACTCATTAAAAATGCATTGATCAACAACATACAAAAATCGTCTATTTGATTGAAACGATTTTTTTTAGAAAGTTCATCTTTTAAGAACGGAACATATATTATTTCGAAAAATAAGTTTTTAAAATAGTTAATGTTTAATCACATAAGTGTATATATATTACTAAATTAAATAACTTCCTATAAATTTAAACCAATAGCAATCCAAAAACACTGTTATAATCAGTACATATATCTTGAAATCTGAATTTTTTTTATTATTAAAACTTGCATGAAAACCATTTTTTTTTGGGAAATAAAAATAAAAAGTAAAGAAAATAAATTATTCGGAAACGGACACCAAGTATAAAATACTAGCTCCTTTTGCACGCTAAGTAGACACCAATAATAAATTATCAGTTTGGTATACGTATCACAAACACAGAATGCGAACCAACGTAACCAAACTGAACTGTGAAACAAGAGGCGATATATGAACATAGCAATTTCTACTTCCGTCAACCGGAAACTATCTTTAAATATTTGACTAATAAGACCTACAATAAGACTTCAAATACTTAAAAGGGTCGATAGACAAAACTTGGCGCAAGTTCCTCTTCCCTCTAGAATTTGGTTTCATAATGCCATTAGACTTTGAATACAGGAGAAGCTGACCTCAAAATCACCGAATAGTTTTGTATATATATATTTCTCTAGATCGCGTAACAAAGCATCCAACTTTCTTCTCTAAACAATCTGCTCTTTCTATAATCTCTTAGACGCAGCAGACATTAACAAATTATGTGGGATGTTGAATTAATTGTTGTGTTGTCTCTTACAGCCTTGGGTATTGTGGCTTCGGTGGCGTGTGTTGTTTGCACTCAAACAAAGGAGGCTCAAAATCTGACCGGTTCCGTTGACTTGGAAAAGGGTCAAACGGGCACACCCAATGTTACAGGTTTAGTGGTTTCGGCAGCCTCTGCCACTACTGGTGGTTCTGAAACTGGCCACCATCATAAAGCCTCTCATCATCATCATCATCATCATCACAGCATGGGTGATTATCATCATCATCATCATCAAAGCTTCACAACATTCCATCATGATCACAGCGCTGGTGGCGGTCATCATCATCATTAAATCTCCATATCATTAACAATTTTCATAAGCCTTTGGTCAGAGATTTCTGTGGATTTATTAAAGATTAGTTAGAGATTTCTGTTTGTCTTTTATCTTCCCATATATTTAATTTTCAGTTTGTTCCACAAATCTCTTTTTTGTTTTGTCGTCGACACAACTCAATATTTTAAACGTCGAGAGAGATTCTCAACACTAAAGACTCGTTTACAGGTTGTTTCTGTAAGTAGATTTCTTTACGTACTCTACAAGCAACACACAAAAATGTCAGAGAAAATAACTAAACAACAATTCGTTCCTTTATAAGTCAAAACAAAGTGGTTTGGCGACCGATTCTTCTCGGTAACCCAAAATTTTGATAAGATCGGATTTCACCAGTGATTGACGCCGTCACAATCACCATCCCCCAAGCCGTCGGCTGTATGGTTTGTGAACCGTGGCCTCCGCTGTCGAACCACGACCACGAAGATAACCTCGACGACGTGTTTATCGACGGAGACTCCCCAAACCTAGACGAATTCTGCTCCGAACCGTTCATGCTCGACCCAAACGACTCGCTGCTTCCCACCACATCCGGTCCAGCCTCTTCCTCAAACTGTTGCTGCGTACCGGTTTTCTTAGGGATAGGAGGTAATCCCGGTTTCTTACTCCGGTTAGAGGTGGTTGGTGCGGTCGCCGAGGTTTCTTCTTTTGTCGGCGAGCCCGTCGCGGAGGAAGGCTGGCTCGATGACGTGGATATGCGCTTCGAGTTGCGTTTTGAGTGCATCTGAACCGGTGGTGGCTCGCCTCTGACGTGACCGTGCCATGGCACAGCGGCTGAGACGTCTTTGCATTGGAAGTGTTCGTGTGATTGTGTCATGACTGTTGATCTTTTGCCTGTGCTGTCGCATTTCCAGAGGTAAACATGAGAGTCCTCGCTCGCACAGATTATGTATTTCCCGTCTTGGCTATACGATGCCGAGATTTGACTGCTCGTGTTTCTAAACCCTGTGAACAAAAAGGGTCAGTTTTTGTTGTATTGCTTTGATTCGTCTGAAAAATTGTTTTACCTTTGAATTTGTGAATAACTTCGGAACCGTCTAGAATTCTAATCCGTGAATCAGCGGATGTGACAAGAACTTCTGATGGATTCACCGGAGAAAACTACAATGTATATGAATCAAGTTACTTGCAAGAAATGGTCTTTTACGCAAAGTCTTAGTAATTTTGGTTTACCTGAAAACTGGTGATCTTCCTTTTTGCTTGAGATTTCTTATGGGCCTGAACATCAATCTGATTAGTTTGATTCAGCTTACAGTCTGTTCTACACAAAGAAAATTAACACGTAGCAGTGAAAAACAGAGTATTGAATTAGGGAATGATGTTTTGAATCAGAAAGAGCTCAGGGATAAGTAACCTTCTGTATCGTAAGCACGGCAAATTCCTTTATTTGAGCCGATAAATGCACCCTTTCAAATCAAGAAAACACAAAACTTTCAATCATTGAAGAAAGAAACGTTAATGGAACTGGAATTTTGCAAGACTAGTGCAAGAAACAGAGGCGATACCTGACCGTCTGGAGTGTAGCAAGCAGCAGTGACCATTTCGTGAAGATCACTCCATTCCACAACCTGACGATTCTGTATGCTCCATATCCTTATCTTAGCATCAAGCGACCCACTTATGAAATAGTTTTCATCCACTGGGTTAAACTGAATGCATGTCACTGTTGAATCAAAAACGACTGTAGTCAAAAAGTGGAAGCAACAAAATAACAAAACGGATAAAGAGAAAGTCTCTCTCTCTCTCTCTCTCTCACCGTAGTCATTATGAGCAAACAGTTTGAGACAAGTTCTGGTTTCCAAATCCCATAACCTGACTGTTTTATCCATGGAAGACGAAAGAAGAAGCTGAGATTTAGACCATGAGAGATCCAAGATATCAGCCAAATGACCTTTCAAAGAGCAAACAGGTTTCTCCGAGAAGGAGAAGACGGTTTCAGGGACATGGACGTATTCAGGAATGTGATTGCTTTTTCTTGAATGTGAGCCTTTTCCTTTCTTCTTCTTCTCCACCACACCAATCTCATTCCCACCAGCAAACGATCTCTCCACAGAGTCACAAAGCGACGGATGAATCGGAGTGAGACTCCCTTCATTCATAGACATCAGCTCACACTCCTGCACCTCCCACACATGAATCACCTGATCTTGCCCTCCGCTCGCAAGGTAATGCGCATCCGGACTAAACTTGATAGTCCAAACCGCACCTTCGTGAGCTTGAATCTCTTGACACATATGCAACGCGCTCAGTTCCTTGTACGACTTCCCCGTTGGCCTCACTTTCACCCACTGGTTAGCTTTCCCATGTTTGGAATCTTTCGACTTCTTTGGACTATCGTTGCTTCCATCGCTCACATCTTTATCTCCAACTCTCAAACTCATTGAATGAGCTACGCCTTTAATGTTCTTTAACAACGCAGCTCCACTTCTCTTGCTTAGCCTCACGCTCTTCGACAGATACGAGTTGAATTTCCGGAGATCCATGAAAGGTTCGTAGTTGATGTTGTTCACATTCTCTCTACGCATAAGCTCTTTCACCACAGGTGAATAACCAACGCATTTCTCAAACTCCTCTAAAGTTAATTGCTTTCCCGTTTGCAGATCGCTAAGCCTATTCCACATTCCGTCTTCGTCATACTCATTCACTATAAACTCTTTTCCAGTGTCAAGATTCTTAATCAGGAAAAACGCACCGAGTCTGGCTTTCGACGATAGCACCGACGTCAATGCGTCTGAGCCGCCGCGCGAGGCCTTTCGGTTTCTGCAAACCGCCGGTGATTGCCTGATTGGGGTTTGGTACTGGCAGATTCTCGTCCGGGTTACTCCGATTGTGGAGTAGGTTCTGGTGAGACGCTGCTTGGAGATTTTCCCGAGAATCTCCTCTTTCCGCCGCTTCTCTATGAGAAACCTCTCGATTTCTGATTCCGATCTCGACCGAGCGAACATCACCGGGACTAGAGGAGCGTTGTCGTGATCGTGAGGCTCCGATTCACCGTGAGCATCGTCTTTAGCGTCAATCTCGCCGTTCTTCTTCTTCTTATTGTTGTTTTTATCCTCGCCGTTGCTAACAATGGCCGCGTTGGAGACCACGCGGCGAATCGAGACGGCACCGACCATGTCTTTGTTGCTGACGAGCCCCATCCCGTGGAGGAGACGGCGACGGCGCTCGGAGATCGATCCCGGAGCTGCCATCCAGATATCGTAGTCAGGCGACATCGCCGGCGAGAGGAATTTTCTGGAGGCGTTGGACACGGTGGTTAAGGAAGAAACGGCGGAGGAAAACGAGATTCGGCAGTCGTCGAAATCCTCGTCCTCTTCGTCGGAAGAAGACGCCGCCATGTCGAATGCGAGAGCTGAAGAGAGCCGATCATGAGTTTCGAAGAATCTATCGTCGTCGTCTTCGAAATCACCCAATCCCGCCCAGTTCATCGTCATCGTCCGCTTCCGATCGAACCTGTTTCCTCCATTTCCTACCTCCATTGTCTCCTCCGATTTTGAAATCTCGAGGAAGCTAATCGAAATTGCATACGAGAATTGAACAGGATTTTAAAAATTTGGCCGATGGTTTTTGTCAGGGAGAGAGAGACGAGGAAGATGATGAAGATGATCGATCATTATTCAGCAGCACCGTTATGGAAGAATGGGCAAATCGGGAATTATGGGGGAAAGTGTCAAAACGTGTTTCTCTTTGTAAGACATCTCTTCACGTTCATTTTTTAATCTTAAAATTTGATTTTAATGAAAACACAATTCAACCAAAGATCGTGGAAGCATGTTTTGCACTTCGTCATATACTAACGTTTGGTTCGACTTTAATATGACCAAATACATATATTCGACTTTACGTGTTAACGACAGAGAAAAAATGACATTCTTGAAAGTTATTAGCAACTCTTTGAATCCTAAAGACGATTATAGAAAAAATTCACATTCTTGAAAGTTCTTAAAATATAAGGAAGAACATCTTTTATACAATTTTGGGGTTAATAAAAATGGAGAAAATTAATGAAAGAATAAGAGGACTTTTGACCATAGCAAGAAGAATATTTTCATTAAATACTTCAACCATAGTTAGAAGAGATTCTAAATTATTTTCTTTTTTAAAAATGTCTTTCTATTGTGGAGAATTTTGTGATCATGTCTTTTCCAGGCTGAGTGCAAGCATTGTGAATAAAAGTGCTTAATTCTAACAGCAAAGAGAGTTTTAGGATCCCACAAGAAAATAACTTTATAGATCATCATAATTTGTGATTCGAGCTTGGTTTCACATTCAGCCACAAAAAGATATATAAGAAAGGAAGACTTATTTTTACAGCTAATCAAAAATCTTGTAAGTTGGAGACTAGAGTTGAAAAGGGTTATTTCTATCTCATCAACACAATCAAAATTTATGGTTTTAGGCTTTTATCATAATCAGGATCGTACTATATGACGCACAGAGTCCAATTGGTCTACTCAAAAGAATAATGTGGCATCAAGAAAACAAGTCTGAGCAAGCGGGTTTCTTGAGCTACTAGTGACAGTATAGTGTTTAATTTGTTCTTATAAGAGACATGAATCTGCAACTACTATAATCTGTGTCCTGTTTACAAACATTTCAAAGAACCTCTCAGCTGATCACTTTGAGACGAAGGTTTTATTGTTCCCAAGAATCAAAATGATATAAGGGAATACAAAATCAATACAGCTCTATATACAGCTTCATGTATTTTTGAGTCTAACATCATTTCGTCACAGCATAAGCGTTGAGAAGTATTGCTCGAATTCTTGATCAATCGTAGGCTTCTTTATGCCATGCTCATGAGTAGAGTCTGCACACATGAAACTAAATTAGCGACCTTCTCGATTTATAATATCGGTATGATAAAACCAAATACCGTCTCTTTTTTTACCTTCTTGGTTAACACTCCATCTCCCAGAGGACAGAACAAAGTTAGCAGCATTACTACTTCCTTGAGCTGCTTCTTCTTCTTCTTTTTCATCGAGATAGAGAATGTTTTCAATGTCTTTCTCTGAAAAATCCTCTAGATTCTGTGTGCCATAGATGAAATCGAGATGGCTTTCGAAAGTGATCAACTTGTCTTCACTGCAAGATCCAGATGATTCCTCTTTCATCTCAATCTCATTTTCGCATTCCATAGAAGTTGAGTTCACATAAGACATTGAACACTCTGAATCAAGCTCTGATCTGCCATCAGTAGTATTGTTTGAACAACCGACATTGTCAAAACAAGCATGTTTCGGCAGAGGTAATAGTGACAACTCCGATTGATCTGTCTGAAATTTCCTCTTCTTGGACAACTCAACTGCTTCCATTTTCATCAAAACATTTTTATTACTGATCATGTGATGGAAACTGCAAGAAACAGTGACAACAGCAGCATATATTAGATTTCCACTATTATAAAGATAAAACATATAGTGGATCTTGATCATCAAATAGATGAATCGAGTTTATTGATCTTGAACTTGATAAAATGTTAAGGAAAAAAAAACTTCTAAATCTCAAATATTTATTAAGCTAAAATCAAGACAATTAGTAAGGTCAACCTTTGATAAGGTTACAAATCAATCATCTTCTGTATCTATGCTTCTTCTTTAAGAAACCGAGAAGAAGAAGAAACTTTGATTATTAAGTTAGGCACTAATTTTCCATTAAGAGATGATAAATACATACATGAAGATCATCTTACTATTTGAAAAAGGTTGGCATAATCAAGAAACAAAACAAGAAGAGGAAAAGATTCAGAAACTGAAACCTGTTAATCTCAGATTGCTTCTCGTTATCCACTTCCCTTTCAGGCATAGATCGCTGAGAGAGAAGTTGAAAGATATTGTTTTTTTTCTCCTTTCCCTTTGGTTAATTTTTTTAAAAATGAAGGAAAAAAATGGTCTTTCCCCTTTCGGAGAGTCGCAATATCTGGAACTGGAAACTTTAAAATATACTACAAATTTATCATTAAATGTATGACGCTCGAGGTAGGAGCGTGGTGTTTACGGACCACTTTAATCCGTTGATATCGTTATTGAAGTGTTCGATTGAGCGCGTGCACAACATGGAGAGAAGAATCTAGGTTGTTGGAGAGGTGACCCATCTCCTTTCACGGGGGACCTTTTTAAAAAGATTTTCGCTCCATACGATTTTAATTTTTTTTTACAGTTATCCCATAACGATTTTATGGGCTCTGGATGAGGTATAAATATTTATCTTTGTTTTCACATACAGTGGGAATTAAATAAATATTTTCTAATTTTTTAAGAAAAATATTATTAAGCCATTAGATTTAGAAAAATTCGGTTATTTTTGAACAATTTTTTAATTTATTATAAAAATTGCGGAATGTCTTAGAAACGTTAGCTCGTACGATGAGGACAAAATAGCATTTTAGATTTTACTTGCCAGTCTAGTCTACTACCTAGACAAAAATATCATACTATTACTACATAATAATTTTATATAATTGACACGTCATATTGTACTGCTGGATCACGTGCCTCTCGCATGTGCGAACGAGGAGTATCATATGGCGCTGTCTCTGATGATTTTTGGCATTTCATCATCATTGCAACTCGTAAGAAGAGAAGCTGAAACCAGATCTTTCTTCGTTCACTGTTTTCAGCTCCAGCTTCTGAAACGGACTGTCCAGAAAAACACAAATCGTAGCAACAACAAGAGTTTATCAACTTTTATTTTACGAATTAAGAGTTTGTAAACACGAGGAAGAAGATCTTGGGACTAACCTGCTGTTTGGATCATAGTAGAAACCGCTGATGGATCCGTCGCTGCAGGAGAAGCACACGTAGTAAAATCCAGCTATTGTTAGTCCACAATCTGTGCCAACATTTACAAAGTATTGCTCTTTCCATCTCTGTATCACCAAAAAAATAAACCGGAGTTTCAAGAATGATATGATACTTGAACGAAACTGAGAGTTTTTTTTTTTAATTACCATGAATATATAAGGGTAATTGCTAAGATCCAATTGCCTGCCACCATCAGACTCAACTTGTGTCTGCAAGAAGATTAAGTCCTCAACGTTGCTCAAAACAATTGTTACTGACTGATTCTATAAGTAAAGTTACCTGAAGAGGCGAAAAAGATGGAAACTTTGACCAATGTCTCATATCATCTTCTCTCCTGTGACAAAAGTTTTAAACTTTATTCACAATAAGAAACCTTCAAGAAAAAAAAGAGGGGTTTGGGACTTACGTGGCTTCCCATTTTGCAGTGTAAAAAGTATAATTCTTTCCATCCACAATCTCGCCTTCCCAGAATGTTATGACCTGACACTCATAAAAGACAGTCGAAAATCATTCCTTCCTGTAATTAGTATTCCAAGGGGAAGTAACATGAAGACTAGAGCAAACGAGTGAAGAGTGTAAGGGCTTACAGGAGTGTCTGCCATGGGAACGTTAAGAGCTTCCATGGTGCCACAGAGATAGCCATGTTCAAGGTCAATCCCCTGTATCTGGACGTTTACTCTCCAAGCTTCCTCTTTCTGTTGATTAGAGACATTTTGCGTACCAGAAAATGCCTGCACCATAAAAAAACATGTGCGTATGATCACAACGAATAAACAATCTATTGGAGCCGATGAATGCTGTACGATTCCTACTAGATTATAAGTGAACTTGGCCAACATGAAAACGATATTCAAGCTATTCTACTTGGTATAAAAATGCAGCATTTACTTTAGAATTCTATGCAACGGTATAGAACATCGGTATAAGTTGCAGATCTAGTGGGAAGAAAATATATGGGCCCATGATGTTTGGTGCCTGCCTATGAATCATGTTTTTACTTTTGTGTCTAAGCACGAGGCACAAAGATCTTTATGATTTTTGCTTTCCTAAGTAGCTAAACATCAGGGAAGATTATTACTTTTCGTTATTGTCTTACAAGTTACAACTGCTCTCACAAATTTTGCATGAAGTTTTTTTAGCAAATCCTCGTGAAGCATAGTTTCCAGTACAACCACAGCTATGCTACTAAACCAACATTTGTGATTTCAAGTGTTGAGAACTTCTCAACCCTCGAGCAATCTCACCTTTACAGATACTAATACACAAAGTACCTTTATTTATCTGTAAATAGGGTATACTCAGATTCTGTGTATACATAGGCTATGTTCATGGAAAGATTGAGAATACATAAACACAGATGCACAAGCATAAATACAAGAATAGAGCTCCTTCTAGTCCTACTATATTCCCCATGACATATATAATCAGTAGCCTAAGCAGACACTTATGAATTCAATTACAGCAATCGATTTGGCTCATTGATGGGATGCTGCAAATAGAAAACAGATATGAAGTTGAATCGGTTTTTTTACCTGACCGGCGCCGAGAAGTGAGCTAGGAGGAAGTGGTGATCGATTCCCAGGATCAGTTCCTAAATTGGCAACAATCCAATGAATGAGAGAACATCTAACGAGAGTCAAGGCGTCAATGGAACAAAACCGGAAAATCAAAATTTCTAAACCGGAGGAGAAGGATGAATCGAGAAACCTGAAACTTGAGCAGGCGTGTTGCTCTCCACAACTCTCACCGGCATCTTCTTCACCCCCGCTTGCCGTTGATCTCTTCCTCCTTCGTTAACTCTGCTTTTCCGGCGAAATGAAATCGCTGACCAGTTATGAGATCAATCTACAAAACAGTGAAATGGTCTCGAGCTCATAAACCACATCTTACCAAATCCGGTTCGGTTGTCGAATTAATAATTAAAACCGGTAAATCTTACGAACCGAGTAATTAGTGGTGGTTCTCTTTAAACCGAATGGATTTGGAGATTCGCCGAAAAACCCAAACTCTCTCTTCACAAAACCCTTCTCCTCTCTCTCTCCTCGCCGTCGCTTACTCTGTTCAGTCTCAACTTCTCATTTTTTGTTGCTTGGTTTAGAACCGATTTTCAGTCTTCTGCATCCTCTGTTTGTTTGATTTTTTTTTTGTTCTCTCCCAAAACTTTTTGAACTTGCAGAGATTCTCTTATGCGAATTGATAATCAAGTGTTATCCTTTTTCGCATCCCCTCTATAAAAATCGAACCTTTGGAGCTTGTCTAGCATCTTCTCTCACAAATTCGAAAACAGGTTAGTCTTCATCCCAATTTGAAACCATTTCAGTGCCACATAATCTTTTTCATTGGTTTAGCTATTGACACTGACTTAAGTTTTGCTTGAGCTGAGCTCCTCCTCTGTTTTGGTCTACCATTCTTCATCTTGTTACTTATTTGCATATTTATAAACGGAATGAATACAACTTCAATATAGTTATGAATGTAATTGTTAATATTGTTATATTGTAGATGTTGCTTCTGAAACAGTGCTCATCTGCTGTTCTTGTCGCTGGGAATACAAGTCCAGTCCTCTACACTTCTCGCTTGCCTTACAGAGTTGGTTCTCTTCCATTGAGCAAAACGCACTCGTCCCAGTGTTTGACCATGGAAAATCTGCAGAAGCTTCCCATTTCTTCATTTGAGAAACGCAATCCAGTCTTAGCGTGCAGTGCTTCAGCAGCGCCTCGTAGCTCTCATGAATCTTCTCCTATCAGGTCAGTGCCTGTGTCCCCTGTAATGTCTTTTTGAGGTTGCAATGATTTGAAATGAGGGAACTTTTTTTCTGATGTTATTTTAATGTTCTCTTTTGAAAGTGAGAATGACGAGAATAAGCCTGTCCATGGAGTTTCTGAGATAACTGTTGGAGTGTTGGGAGGAGGACAGTTGGGCCGTATGCTTTGCCAAGCTGCTTCGCAAATGGCTATCAAGGTGGTGATTTTAGATCCGTCAGAGAACTGTTCAGCAAGTTCACTGGCTTATGGTCACATGGTTGATAGCTTTGACGACAGTGCTACAGTAGAAGAATTCGCCAAAAGGTCCCTTCTTTTTTGTTCTGTTTCTTGAATGCTTCAGGTTTCTACATTCCTATAGTCAGTATCAACATTGATGGTTGCTTTTTGATTGTAGTTAGATGTGGAGTCTTGACAGTGGAAATTGAGCATGTCGACGTGGAAACATTAGAGAAGCTTGAGAAACAAGGAGTTGATTGCCAACCGAAAGCCTCTACTATCAGGATCATACAGGATAAATATAGGCAGAAAGTTCATTTCTCTCAGAATGGCATCCCACTTCCAGAGTTTATGGAGGTTAGGCCTCTGTTTATGCTTTGTTGAGAGAAACACTCACTAAATCCTCCTTGATTCTGGAGGCGTTTGTTCAACACTTTAACCCCTTAAGCCTTGCCACAACAGATAAGCGATATTGAAGGAGCGAAAAAAGCTGGTGAACTTTTCGGTTACCCTCTTATGATCAAGAGCAAGAGATTGGCTTATGATGGACGTGGAAATGCAGTTGCCAACAGCCAAGATGAGCTCTCTTCTGCTCTATCAGGTAATTCTTTAACTAACGTTATGTAATGTGGTTTCACAATTTCCACCACTTTAGTCTTAGACAATGCCACCATCAAAACTAACCTATTTTTTTCTCCAGCTCTTGGAGGTTTCAGTCGTGGTTTGTACGTCGAGAAATGGGCACCTTTTGTCAAGGTAAAATGATGATTAACATTATTTTTCTGTAGTAAACTTATTTGGCTCGGATGTTTATAATCATTTACATATAAAATTTTAGGAGTTAGCTGTTATTGTGGCTAGGGGAAGAGATGGTTCCATGGTTTGTTATCCCGTTGTTGAAACTGTTCACAGGTAACACAAAAACTTGACTAAATGTTATATATAAGACTGGAAGATATGGTTTATACTTTTCTACTAATACGCCTCTGAAATGCACTGTAGGGATAACATATGCCATATAGTTAAAGCGCCTGCAGATGTGCCATGGAAGATTAACAAACTTGCCACAGATGTTGCTCAAAAGGCTGTTGGTTCTTTAGAAGGCGCTGGGGTTTTCGCAGTCGAGCTGTTCTTGACAGGGGACGGTCAGGTATTCTCATAACATTTTTAGCCCAACTCTATACCTGTTTCCTCTTGATTTTGGCTTATCAGAGTCTTTTTAGTCCCTCCCAGATCCTGTTAAACGAAGTTGCACCTAGACCACACAACAGTGGCCATCAGACGATCGAGTCATGTTATACTTCACAGTTTGAACAACACTTGCGGGCTGTGGTTGGTCTTCCCCTCGGTGATCCATCTATGAGAACTCCGGCCTCCATTATGTACAATATTCTTGGCGAAGATGATGTAATGGATTGTTTTCGCATCTTGATTATAATTCTCTCTGTATTATCTTCTCATCAGTTTAATGAAACATGAGGTTGTGTTTTGGTTTGAATTTTAAAATTTCAGGGAGAAGCTGGTTTCAGATTGGCTCATCAGCGTATTGCAAGGGCGCTTTGTGTTCCAGGTGCATCTGTTCATTGGTATGACAAGCCAGGTTGGATTTTTTGATCTCTTGCAGTTTTCTTGTGGTATGTTGTCAGTTTTTTGTATATGATTGATTACTCACAAAGCTTGTATGATAAACTTTTGTTGTCAGAAATGAGAAAGCAGCGGAAGATGGGACACATCACTCTTGTAGGGAGGTCTATGGGTGTTTTGGAACAAAGGTTGCAGTCTATATTAAGTGAGGAAAGCCATCAAGTACATGGTTAGTTTCCATTTCATAATTTTGTAGCTATAAACCACTGGCTTTTAGTTTTCAAATGCCGTCTCACCAAAATCTGCTGTCTGGATAGTTTGTGAAATTATGCACCTTTGTGCATTTTCAAAGTATCCAACTGAATTTTTGTTGCTTGTTATATTTACACATTGCAGAGACACCTCGTGTTGGTATCATTATGGGTTCAGACTCGGATCTTCCTGTTATGAAGGATGCTGCCAAAATTTTGGACATGTTTGGTGTGACACATGAGGTAAATATTGGAAGCCCCTCCTATCAAATTCAAGGGGTTTCTTCATGTTTATTACAAAATATCCATTGCCTTAACCTCTTTTGCATTTCAAATGGTATGATATGGTAGAAATGACTCATCATTGGTTTTTCAGGTAAGGATAGTTTCAGCTCATCGCACACCGGAGCTGATGTTTTCATATGCAAACTCAGCTCATAGTAGAGGCGTGCAAGTCATAATTGCAGGCGCTGGTGGTGCTGCTCACTTACCAGGTAACTTAAACATGAACTCATCTTGTACCTCCCACAAGATTTGTACCACGAAGAAGTATCTTAAACATGAACTCATCTTGTTCCTCTTTCTTTCTTTGAATATTAGGTATGGTTGCTTCACTCACTCCTTTGCCTGTGATTGGTGTCCCTGTACGCGCTACCCGGTTGGATGGAGTTGATTCTCTCCTCTCCATCGTTCAGGTAGGAGACTCATTGACTCATAATTTACAGTTGATTATAACTTCAGCTATTGATTGTTTGCATAATTTGAGTCGATTTAAAACCTTTGCTTCTATACATGAAGATGCCTAGGGGTGTTCCAGTAGCGACAGTTGCAATAAACAACGCAACAAACGCAGCCTTGCTTGCTGTCCGGATGCTGGGAATCTCTGATGCTGATCTCGTCTCAAGGTTGGTTCTTGTTATCTTATATTTTTTCTTTTGTTTCATAGAATCAGATTGATCAAGAACTAAAGGAACCTGAGATGTAAATGAGATTTTCTTGGTTTGGTTAGGATGAGTCAGTACCAGGAAGACATGAAAGATGAGAATATGGTTAAAGGAGAGAAACTTGAGACGCAAGGTTGGGAATCGTATTTGAACCAGTGAATATTACTTTTGCAAGAGCTCTCATTGATTTTGCTGCCAAGAAGATCTTGATGAAAGGATCTGAGAGTTGGCTTCAGTTGAGTTAATATCTTGTTGTTGTTGTCATGGGTTAGTTTACGTTTGTCTGCTTTAAATTAAAGGCAGAACTAATTGGGATCATTCATATCGAGTCTGTTTTCCCAAAAGATGTCCACGAAAACCGATATATTCTAGTAATCGAGAGACTGTTCGATTGAACCGGTTTAACCGGTGAGTTAGCTATGGTTTAGCTCGGCTATGTTCTATGTATGTTGATCAAAGGTGGAAATGATTCTTTTCATTAAAACCGAAAGTGAGACAGACATTCAAAGTTTCAAACGTAACTACATAGTAGTGAATCTAGCAAACTTGGTCCATTAACCAAACGCAACCATCCTTGTGGCCCAAGAAATTGATTAGTACGAGTTGTTGAACCCTTTGGTCTCCAAAGATGGCAAGACCAGAGGTTGGAAACCGTTTCTAAGAGCAGCTTCCCAAACTCGTGGAGGATTAACGATTGAAACGTCGAGATCACCACACTCGTGTTCCTCCCACCCTTCAAGCGCGTGTACTATCCCACCAACTCTCCATGCGCTCATCACTCTCCTCCCCAACCAATTCTACACATGCATGCAAGCGTCAAACGTGAACATATAGACATTATTATCATATAAAGTTAAGATTCTTGAGGCTGCATGTGGGTTTATTCTCGTAAACGAGAACGAAGTTAAACAACCGAGGCACTAATTTAGTATATACCTCACAAGAGTCGATGTTTTGGGCAGAGTCGGGGATGATCATAGCCGGAGTGTTATGGTAGAAGCAGTCCTTTCGGAGTTTAGTAGGAGGAAACTGAGAGAAAGGAAGAAAACGAGTTCCTTTTCTTGCCATCTTCTGCTCTTCTTTGCTTAGCCCATCTCCCACCAACCATATCTACATCATCATGTTATATATTGGTACGTTAATTTATAATTTGGATCCTTTTTTGGTTTCATATATGTAGTTATTATTGTCTTAACATGAGTAAGTTATTATATATCAATGTCATTTGCAAATTTACACATACCGTTGGGGAATAGTTGGCACTGAGCACCAGATTAACCTTACAATCCCCCTCCAAGAATTCGGCGAGCTTTGAATATTCTTCCTCACGTAACACCATCACCTGTCCGAAATTATTTTATTATAAAAGCGAGATGCTAAATTGTCTGACTTATATATATAGGCAATGTGACATTCTTTGCAGCATAATGTTTTACATGAAATTCCATTGACTTTAGAAAGCCATGTGGTGTAACGTGTATATATTGAAACTTTAATTTTATACTCACGCGCACAACTCAACATTATTTGTAAATGTTTTTTTATTACTGAAACAAAAACTAACAGAAAAAACATATAATGCTGTAATTAAATAAGTACCTTGATGCCATTTTGGCAAAGAGAGAGGACAATGGCACGAGCAACCTTTGTGATTTGGCCTCTAAAGAGAACCTCTTTCGTCCCAACAGGAATGCTATGAAGCACCACCTCAGATGCAAGGCTGCTTCCGTCCACTATTCTTATCTTTAGCTTTGGATGCTTCCTTACGTACATCTCTCCGTACCCATTTAATTCTTCTCCCTGATTATTATTACAGTGTTAAAGAAATTTGTTAACTACGTAAATTGCAAAACATAAGGAATGACCATTTAAATGTCTAAATTAATTTGCATGCCTGGTTTAGTAGACCTAAACTCATTACTCTCACACCCTTCTTATCCGCTTCAAGAATAGCCTCTTCTATCATTTTGTTGATACCTTCTTTGTGCCGTTGCGACATGTACTGTTGATTGGCCAATAAAACTAATTAGAAGATGTGAAATTTATTGATATTTATTTGTTTAAATGTTAGAGATGAGTATAAACGAACATTAGAGGAAAACTTGGGAAGGAGGTGGGAGTGAAAGGTGAGATCACGGAAGCGGTTTCTCTCGAAGACAAAGGTTCGAGAAGAGAAAGAAGTGAGAATGAAGGAGAGGATTAGCGATAAGGGTCTCATTAGGAATACGTAAAACCGTGAAGAGAGCGGGTGCGAGGAGAAGGAAGCAAAGCCGAGCCGGAGATGGTAAATAGAGTCGAGAGATGTTAGATGGGTGAGATGGATCGCGTCCGGTTTCTCTTCTTCTCGATCTAAAGATGTTTCGTACAATGAGTCACTGCACTTGTCGTTGGTCCCGTAAATGTAGTCGTACATTGGCATGAATAGAGAGTAGTTCGTCCTGAATTGTGTGTGGTGGAGCGAGTGAAACCTGCGCAGTTATTTTATATTTTTAGTCTCATATTGTTTTTGATGTGATATTCGTAATAAGGTATATTTTGTTTTTTGTGCTTAGCAACAAAAAAATCTCTAGTGTTTTAATCAAAATTCATTTGTAGTCTGTAAATGCAAAAGTAAAAAAAAAATTGTTTAATAACATTTGAAAACAATATTGTAAGTTCGTAACCATCATTCTAAACGTGTTTGAGCCTTCGAGGTATTGGTGAAATACTGTTCTGGTGGACTTAAAGACTTACGAGGGAGTGTAGCAGAGGAACTTGAGAGGAGGGACAAGAGAGAAGAAAGATTTGGGAATGAGCTCGAAATTGCAGTGACCCAAGTTGTTCATGAAATCTATGTAAGTCATATAGGTGAAAAGGGAGACCATAGAGATCGTGCCGCATAGCAAAGTCGTTACTAGGGGTATCCCCAAGATTAGTGTATACCCAATGTGCTCCGCAAATGGGTGCACCACCGCTGCAATCAAAACCATGCATTATTTACATAGAGAGTGCCACGTGTCAAAGGCTGGAGATTAATATTTTTTTGCTAAATATTTACATAAACAATATTTACACCTATTTCATTGTATAATTCTTTTTATATATTTAAGAAACGTCATTTTATCCATACTAAATACACTAAATTAAATAATGAGATAATATAATACTATATATGATATTCCCTTCATTTTAGCATTGTTTATCTATTTCACGACATCAGGAAGCTAAACTGACGTGAAATATTTGTTAGATAATAGAACACCAAGTGTTAATTTTTTTCTGTAGGACTATAATAGAATTCTTAGCATCAGTTTCTTAATTTGTTTGGAAAATGTTAAAAGGAATGGAGAGTAATAGTTAACGTGTACGTACAAGTGATCGGCTCGGTGACGATTGAGGAGTGGTGGTGTGAATGGTAGCGAGAGTAGAGGAAGTGGTGGTGAAGGGCTCGGTGAAACCAGTAGTAAAAGAACTCAACCGGACCAGCATGGAGGAGAGCGGCTAGTACCACTCCATCGAGTCGCCAAAAGGGAAGGATGTTGGTTCCTAAGATGTACACTTTAGCTAAGTAAGTAACGAAAGTGTTGAAGATGATCTGGTCGTCCCAGCTTCGTTCTCGGTCGACTTGGTCAAACTCTATGGACTTGTTCACGATTCTCTTGGTTCCTTTGGCAGTCATGTAACGCGACAAACTTATCCACACTTGGCTATGAACAATCCGCCACACCCCCATGGCCAATATCAAAAGTTTCACTTGATCTCGTATGGTTGCAAATGAGTAGATGCTGTCCACAACCAGCGGTGCCAACAACAAGTACTGCATTATTTGACAATATTACATTTCTCATTAGTAATAGTACATCCCGTGAACAAAAATTATTCATTTTCATAAATTTTCAACTCAAAAACCAACTAGGAAAATGTAAAAACAAACAAATATCATACTTAATCCATTTACATGCAAATATTATGGTTATTTGGTAGACATAAACAACGGATTACAATTAAAACAAGAGGATGTTATGTACAGAAAATTTAAAGTTCCAAGCAATGAAAGAGACCTTAAAGCTTCCAAGAGGAGCCCATGGCCAGTCCGTGAGAAGACCTGGTCTCGACGCCATTTTTTTCTACGTATAATGATCAATGGTGACTACTCCGTTACGTCCTTCTCATGGACTTCTTTGTGTGTGTGTTTTATATAAAAACATATGCATATTAAAAGAAGAGGGCATCAAATTGACATGTGAGGTACATGTGAGAGTTCCTTTTTCTGAAACCTTAAACCTAGTACGTTTAACAGATAAGAGATCGGCCAATTCTATTGGCCGGTTAGGAGTTTGCCACGATGACTTATTCTTCATTCAATGTCCTTGAATCTGCACGTTCGTTTCCCAATACCAATAGTACACAAACTTGCATATTTTATGTGACAATTTCCTTGCTCTTTCCTTATCTTTGTTGTGTTTCCTTAAAATGAGGATCCCAAACAGCATGAGCAATTAATTGGTCTTACTATAATACTACATGTAATGAGTCTTGTACAGTTGTACCCATGTAGAAATGGTTTATTGTTGTATTCAATTTGAGATGATGTTGGAGTATTAAAATAACAAACCTAATGTTATTCATCAATGATGAAGTTCATTTTTTTTTATATATATAAAAATCCAGTCTTATTGAATTTACTTTAAAATTTAAAACATATTTTTCTTGGAAATATATTAATTAATTTAGGAGTTTTGTTATGATTTAAAAGTGTTTTGGTGAAGTTTCTTAACTAAAAATATGAAAAATTATAAGTAACATAGTTTTAAATGGAATTCTAAAATATATTAAATAAAATCATAGAAGCATCTCTAAATCACTCAAAATCATTTAAAAGCAAATCTTTCAAAGTTTTCCAAAATATTAGATTGAATACATCCCCTATATATGTCGTCAAAGTGATTTTTTTTTTTTTTTTTGGGTTCATTATATTAAAATGTAGCAAGAGTTTTCTTTATTACAAGGAAGCAAGGAGGAACACTCCAATTAACCAAACCCAAATCTAGGTGAACCGCTGATAGAATCCATGGTCGCGAGGCCCAGTTGAAATTGCTTAGTACGAGTTGTTGAACCCTTTGGTCTCTAGAGATGGCAAAACCAGAGGTTGGAAACCGTTTCGAAGAGCAGCTTCCCAAACTCTTGGAGGATTAACGATTGAAACGTCGAGACCACACTCGTGTTCCTCCCATCCTTCAAGCGCGTGTACTATCCCGCCAACTCTCCACGCGCTCATCACTCTCCTCCCCAGCCAATTCTACACAACACATGCATGTAAGCGTGAAACGTGAGCATATAGGCCATGTTTAAGATTCTTAAGGCTGCATGTTGGTTTATTCTCGTAAACGATAACTCAATTAAACAATCGAGGCACTAATTAGTAGAACTAGGTTTTTTTTTGTTTTTACTAGAATTGAAAAAAAAATGTAAATATATATACCTCACAAGAATCGATGTTTTGGGCAGAGTCGGGGATGATCATAGCCGGAGTGTTATGGTAAAAGCAGTCTTTTCGGAATTCCGTTGGAGGAAATTGTGAGAAAGGAAGAAAGCGAGTTCCTTTTCTTGCCATCTTCTGCTCTTCTTTGCTTAGACCATCTCCCACCAACCATATCTACATCATCATGTTATATATTATCGGTATGTTAATAGATATTGCGCTTTTTATGTAGTATTATTGTCTTAACATGATTATGTTATTATCAATGTCATTTGCAAATTTACACATACCGTTGGGGGGCAATTGGCTGTGAGCACCAGACTTTCCTTAAAATTCCCGGTCAGGAATTCGTTGAGCATGGAATATTCTTCCTCACGTAACACCATCACCTGTCCGAATTATATTGTTAAGGATGATAACCAAATCATAAAAACGAGATACTAAATTGGTTTAGATTTAAAATAGGCCACATGACATTTTTTTTACATATCAATTCATCTCTCTCACGATGAACTTAATTAGATAGGTGGCATGATGTTTTACATGAAATTCAGTTAGTTGACTTTATAAAGCCATGTGGTGTAACGTATGCTGAAACTGTAATCCCATTCTCACGTGAAAAAATAAAATTATGCGTACTTGCGTAGATGTTTCAATATTGCTATTGGAATTAAAGGCTATAGAAGAAAAAAAAAACGTTAAGTATGTAAATAGGTACCTTGATGCCATTTTGGCATAGAGAAAGGACAATGGCACGAGCAACCTTTGTGATTTGGCCTCTAAAGAGAACCTCTTTCGTCCCAACAGGAATGCTATGAAGCACCACCTCAGCTGCAAGACTGCTTCCGTCCACTATTCTTATCTTTAGCTTTGGATGCTTCCTTACGTACATTTCTCCGTACCCATTTAATTCTTCTCCCTGATTATTACATCAAATTATTATTTATATGTAGAAGATTAGAATAACCAATTAATGTCTAAATCAAATGCATGCCTGGTTCAGTAGCCCCAAACTCATTACTCTCACACCCTTCTTCTCCGCTTCAAGAATAGCCGCCTCTATCATTTTGTTGATACCTTCTTTGTACCGTTGTGACATGTACTGATGATTAGCCAATATTAATACTAATTAGAAGACATGAAATTTATTGATATTAGTATGTATAAATGTTAAGAAGAGAAGATAGATACATGAGATGAGAACTTGGGAACGAGGTGGGAGTGAAGGGTGAGATCACTGAAGCGGTTTCTCTCGAAGGCAAAGGTTCGAGAAGAGAAAAAAGTGACAATGAAGGAGAAGACTAAAGTGAAGGGTCTCATGAGGAATATGTAACTCCGAGAAGAGAGTGGGTGCGAGGATAGGGAAGCAAAGCCGAGCCGGAGATGGTAAATGGAGTCGAGAGATGTTAGATGGGTAAGATGAATTGCGTCTGGCTTCTCTTCTTCTTGATCTAAAGATGTTTCGTACAATGAGTCAGTGCACTTGTCGTTGGTCCCGTAAATGTAGTCGTACATTGGCATGAATAGAGAGTAGTTCGTCCTGAACTGCGTGTGGTGGAGCGAGTGAAACCTGCGCAGTTATTGCATATCTTTAGTCTCATACTGTTTTTGATGTGATATTCCTACATAACTCTCGCTTCACCAAAATTAATCTATAGTGTTTTAATACAAAAAAAAAAGAAACATTTTCAGATTGTAAACGCACAAGTTAGATGTTCGTTTGCACTTATACGTGATTGATTGTTTTTTCAATTATGTTTTCAAAATGTGAAAAAAAAATATTCTACATCGAAATGTAAATAGGTTTGGATTTTGGAACAATCCGGGTTATAGTAAATTACTATCCTGGTGTATTTAAGACTTACGAGGGAGTGTAGCAAATGAACTTAAGAGGAGGGAAACGAGAGAAGAAAGATCTCGGAATGAGCTCGAAGTTGCAGTGACCCAAGTTGTTCATGAAATCAATGTAAGTTATGTATATGGTAATGGACACGAGAGAGCTCGTCCCGCACAGCAAATTCGTTACTAGAGGTAGCCCCAAGATTAACGTATATCCAATATGCTCCGCAAACGGATGTACCACGGCTGCAATCAAGACCCATAGATAATTAGAATTCTTTTGTACATACTAAAGAAAAAAAATGAAAGATAGCAAACAAGAACCTTTATAACTAAACAATAATTTTTTTATGAAATGTTAATCTAAAGTAACAAATCAATTCATAACATCAATCCAACAAAAAAAAAATTATTTATGAAAAAAAAGAAGGTATATACGTACACGTGATAGGCTCGGTGACAATGGATGAGTGGTGGTGAGAATGGTAGCGAGAGTAGAGGAAATGGTGGTGAAGAGCTCGGTGAAACCAGTAGTAGATGAACTCAACCGGACCAGCATGGATGAGAGCGACTAAGAGCATTCCATCGGTTCGCCAAAAGGGAAGGATGTTGGTTCCTAAGATGTACACTTTGGCTAAGTAAAAAATGAGAGTGTTGAAGATGATCTGGTCGTCCCAGGTTCGTTCTCGGTCGACTTGGTCAAACTCTATGGACTTGTTCACGATCCGCTTGGTTCCTTTCGCAGTCATGTAACGGGACCAACTTATCCATACTTGGCTATGAACAATCCGCCACACCGCCACGGCCACTATCAAAAGTTTCTCGTAATCACGAGTGGTTGCAAATGAGTATATGCTGTCGATAACCAGCGGCGCCAACACCAGGTACTGCGTTATTTGACAGAATTATATTTCTTGTTGGTGTTAATACAACCGGTGAACAAATATGATACATTTTCATTAATTTTCAACCGAAAAACCAATTGGAAAAAATAGTTAATAAAAACATCATATTATTTAGTCCATATTCATACAAATTTTTTGTTTTGTTTTAGTTTTCATACAAATATTGGTAGACATAAAACAACGGATTATAAATAAAAAGAAAGGGTCCGGGGAAATGAAAGAGACCTTAAAGCTTCCAAGAGGAGTCCATGGCCAATCCGTGAGAAGACCTGGTCTCGACGCCATTTTTACTACGTAACCTGATCGATGATTACCACTCGGTGATGTCCTTCCAGTGGACTTCTTTGTGTGTGTATATATAGAAGAATACATGCACATTTTAAACTTAAAAGAGAGGGCATCGCATTGACATGTGACGCATGTGAGAGTTCCTTTTTCCGAAAGCCAAAACAAAAGATTATAAACCTATTACGTTTAACAGAGAAGAGAGGACAGTTACTTTGGTGAGAAGTTAGTTACGATGCCTAATTCTTGATTAAATGTCATTGAATCTGCACGTTTCCCCCAATACTACGCTATTCATTTGACTACACAAATCTTGGCAAAATTTCTTTGATAATTTCCTTGCTGTTTCTTATTTTAGTTTTTGGCTTTCATTAAAATGATCCCAAACAGCATGATAAATTAGTCTTACATGTAAAGAGTCTTGTACCGTACCCATGTCTCATAAATGGTTTCTTGTTGAAACTTAAAGAGCAAAATTTCACCAAGTTGGAGTATTTTGTCTCATAAATGGTTCCTTTATAAACCACGTTATAGGCCTAAAATATCTAGAATTAGTTTGAAATGTCCATAATTATTTGATTAGCCCATATCTCAGCCTATGTATATTAGGCTGTTCCATAATCAGGAAAAGAGGGAATTAAACTGAAACTCAATACTACATACGAGGAAAAGTCTTAAAAGAATCTGAGTCACATATTCACAGATTTGTGCCTTTTGTAATCTTGTGACCTCTATTTACTAGTGACATTTTGCAAGGTTTTCTTTCACGGAGATACACTCAAAAACATTGGCCATAATGTTCTCTAGACAAAAGTTTCGTTTTATTTTTAACCTCAACATACACTGAAACATAATTACAATCCCTTATCATCATCATCCATACAGTCTCTACATATGAAATACAAAACACACAAAAACGTTCTAATATACAAAAACAAAAAAAACTCTCACCTCCCACCGGAGAGTAGAGAATCAGCGATAGAAGAACCACCGGTAAACCCTTTAAAGACGGACGACGAATACGACATCCCTAACTCACTAAACCCATCTTCCACCCCAAACATCATCCCACTCCCTGACAAATCCAACGGAGACAAATCAGGCAACTTCGCATCACCTCTCAGATAATGCAACACCTGTCTCATACTCGGTCTAGCCCTAGGGTCAGAGTGAGAGCACAAGAGACCCAACTTCATAACCATCTCAACCTCCTTCTCATCACACTCAGAGCCCATATTCGGATCCATAGCATCCAAAATGTTCCCTTTGTTCCACAACCCGAAAACCCAATCCACAAGCAAGAACGTCTCGTCTCTATCCTGACAAATCTCTATCGGACGTCTCCCGCACGCCACCTCAAGCAAGAACGCACCAAACGCGAAAACATCCGTCGCCGTCGTGGCACGCCCCGTCCTAGTGTGCTCAGGCGCTAAGTACCCCAACGTTCCAACTACATGAGTCGTCTGAGGATCCGACCCGTGATCATACAACCGAGCCAAACCGAAATCCCCGAGCCTCCCGTTGAGCTCTCCGTCTAACAAGACGTTGCTAGCTTTCACGTCACGGTGAATCACCACTTGCTCCCACTCCTCGTGGAGGTAGAACAAACCAGAGGCAACGCCTAAAATGACTTTGATCCTCTGTTTCCAGTTGAGCGTCACCTCCGGAGAGTTGTACAAGTACTTGTCTAAGCTTCCGTTAGGCATGTAGTCATACACCAGAAGAAGCTCTCCTCTCCGGCGGCAATAACCCAATAAAGGTACTAAATTCCGATGACTCATCCGACCGATACTCACGATCTCCGCCACGAACTGTTTCATCCCTTGCCGTGACTCGTGAGAGACTCTCTTCACGGCGATCTCCAGCTTCGTCCCGGGCATTATACCTTTGTAAACGCTCCCGAATCCACCGGATCCGAGAAGGTCCTTCTCTTTGAAACCTTTCGTGGCGTAGTAGAGATCCTTGAATCGGAATCTGTTCTTGCCGAACTCTTTCTCCCACTCTTCGTGCTCCTCCGCGAACTTTCTCCTCCTCCGCACGATGAAGCAGACGAGGAAGATCAAGGAGAAGATCAAGAAGAGGGAAATCAAAGGCATCCCGATCTTGAAAAACTCGGAGATTCTCTTGGGCTCGAACCGAGGAAGCTTCGGGAGTCTCGATAAGGCCAAAGTCGGAGCCTTTCCGTTCACCGCGAAACTCCAGCCGAGGATGTAATGCTCCGATAGAACAGAGCCGGTCGCCGACGAGAAACCCACGAACATATCTTGGAGGAGAATCGGAGAGAGATCTCTGACGGCGGAAACAAGCGGCTTTGCGGGTTTGTCCTCGTTGATCGGAGCCATCGTCACATCGATTCTATGCGAACGACCATCGTAATCGACCCAGACCTGCATCGGCTTACGGCTGATCAAAGTCAGGTTTTTGAATTCGCCTTTCTCGTCCCACCACCCAGCTCGTGAAGTTTGCACAGACTCCAAGCTGTTGAGATTGATTCCGACGTGGTTGTCGTCGGGGTCGTTGAACTCCGTGCTCCGGATCGTATCGAATTCGACGGCGAAGACATGGTTTGTGGCGTTTCCGTTGTTTACGATGTTGAAGAGACCCATGTATTGGCTCGCCGTTGCGTTTGGGAGGCTTGGGGTAGGCGCGACGGTGAAGGCGATGCCATGGCCGCTGAGAATCGGGATCTGAGAGTGGATGGCGAAGACGAAGGTCGTGGAGAAGGAGAAAACGGTGCCGTTTTGAGAGTCTTTGAACCGGATCGGTTTGGTGTGGAAGGCGTGACCTGTTTTCTGAACGGTCGTGTTGGTTAGCTTCAAGAGACCGTTTGGAGTGACGGTTGTGATCCCTTGGAGGGATAAGTCAGTGGCAGTGAGTGGAGTAAAGCCATTGTTGTAAGTGAAGCTGAGAGTTTGGGAAGAGGATTTTAGGGATTGGAAGAGGAGATTGAAGAAGAAGATGGTGAGGATCTTCAAGAACATGGCTTCGACTCTGTGTTTAGATTCCCTTTTGGATATTTGATTTGGTGAAGAAGAAAGAGAGACAATTTATGGTGTGGAGAGTGTGGAAAAGTCGTCGAAATGATTTTTGTTTTTTTGTCATTTTTTTTCTTCTTCTTTCTAGAAAAAACAAGTTTATTTTTTTCTTTGTGGGGATGCTCGTGATTGAGATAATTGATCAAGGTAGGTGATATGTGTTCCCAAATTCCAAGATTAAAGCTTAATTAAGTCTTATTTTTGTGCTTAAAAATCAAATACGAAATTCTAAGTGTGCAATCTATCACTCTCATTATGATGTAACAATAAGGATGTTTGTTTAACAATAAGTATTTTATCAACTAATATTTGTGGGTGATTATTTATAGATTCGACGGCAGCTATAACAGTGACCAGTCGATTTTTTATTAAGTTTCTAGGTGTAAGGTCACGACTCATGTGTGGATCAATTATTCGTGTCAACTAAGATCAAGCTATATATAAGAAAAAAAAAATAGTTATTTTACAATGAAAATAGATTTTACATGATTCAAGTTCGTAGATAATTATTCTGAATTAGTTATGCTCATTTAGCAATCTCGTAGTTGAATGATTATATGAGAATGACATCAGAATTAAGCTAGAGCACGTTTCCAAAGAAGGATTTTGGAGTATTTAAGTAAACGAGAATTTAATAAATGTTTCCTCATCCTCAAGTAAACTCGAATTTAATAATTTAAATTTGGATTTGGCTACACTACTGCCCTCTTTGATATTTGTTGTTGTCACAGAGACTCACAGAGTCGCAGTCGTCTAATATGCCAAATATACAGCGAGTTACTTTCAACATTTTTCAAACGTTATTAATGTGAAAGAGATATTGGAAGGCACGAAGTACCAATCAAATGTAAGAATGTAATTTCTTTGGCGAAATATTTCAATTCGAATATTTATGTGGACACTGGACACAAAATCCTCACTGGTTCTCAAAATTTCTTCCAAACGACATAACTCCTTGCTTTTTCTTTTCAACCTGCATTATACACAACGATGCCAATCAGAAAAATCGATAGACCTTAAATTATGATAAACTTTTATTTATTTATCATACCAATTATTTTGCGGTGGAAAGAAATCTCTTACTTTTAATACTTCATCTGTTTCAAATTAGTTGTCGTTTTAGCAAAATATATTTGCAATACAAAACACGTTCAGATACGTCCAAATATTTGCAGATCCATTTTGCCAAAACGACAACTAATTTGAAACGGATGGAGTATGTATTATTGCATGCAGAGAAATCTCTTACTCACTTTTCTATGTATACATTTAAACTTACTTATACGTACGCTGTGCGCATATTTCAATAGATTAGCTTCCATCAACTCTTTTGAGATCGTTCATGAGAAGGTTTCAAAGGGAGCTATACTAATGCAAAAATTTGACAATTGGCAATAAGTTAGTCATTATAAGGCACCTTGAACCAAATATAACTTTACCTGCATTATATTTGTTTACAAATCATGGCACCACGTAAATGTTATTCTAATTTTTTTGCTAACTCGTAGTATCACGAAATTTAATATTTTAGGATGTGCTCGTGGTAGCATTTTACTTTTTGTCATGAATAATGATGAATTAGGTTGGGTGGAAACTGGAAATGACTTGAATGAAGGAACGGGACCTACTTGGCAAATGCACATTTGGTCAAAACTCGTAGACTAGAAGATGGCCCAGTAATCTTGGAAGCTTCTCTGACTGGATAATCGTTGAATTTTGTAAGTCAACTATGTGAAAATTATTCTGTTTTGATCTACTGGAGTTTTGCGTCAGATTGTCCGTATGCCAACGAAGTCTATTTACTCACTCTTGTCGTGGTTTGGGAACAATTATTTCCTAGTTAATAGGATTAGTGGTAATAAGTACAAGCGGTTATTTTCTACTCTCTCTGTTTCATAATATCGTTTTAAAGTTTAATTTTTGTTTCATTATAAGTGTCGTTTTACATTTTTTAATGCAGAATTTAAATATAATTTCTAGATTTAACCTCATTCATTTATTGAATTAAGTAATTAACAAAGAAAATAAATTATGTAATGTATTAAATAAGGATATTATAGAAATTTTAACATATTTTTTAATATGTGTGAGAAAACCTTAAACTACAGTTATTATGAAATACAATCTAGTTATATTCCATTAATTTAGAAAGTTTCCAATTCCAACACGAAGAAATGGAAGATTCCACTTCAAGTGTTTAGCTTATTGGAAATCTAATATTTGTCCAATCAAAGTTGAAGAAGCTCCAGAATTACAACATAGTCTTATTTTATTTGATTAAGTATTATAATACCAAAATGTAAATAGTTAATACAAATCTGCACAAAATATTGTGTTTGTACAAAATACAGTCCTTTGTACAAACACAATATTTCTGTATTTGTACAAAATACAATATTTCTGTATTTCTACAAAATACATATATATAAAAAGTGAAGAAGCCTCATGATTACGGGTTAATCTTCTTTTCATTTATTAAATATTATTTTCTGTACTATACCAAAATGAAAGTAGTTAATACAAATCTGCACAAAATACTGTATTTGTGCAAAATATTGTATCTGTACAAAATTCAATATTTGTATATTTATATACAATACATACATATGTATAAAATATAATATTTATATAATTAATACATACATTTGTATACTTATACAGTAGTTGAATATGTAGACATTTTGGTTGTTAGATTGGATTAATCCACCTAAGAGTTGTTAAATTTTCCGTTTTGTCTTTCAATTTCTCTGTGTAGACGTTTTCCAAAAAAATATTCCTAGTTCTTTTTAGGCAACTGAATGGACTCTTCACCCCTCCTCCTCCTCTTCTTCTTCTTCTTTAAAATGTTAAATGGTTTTTCATAGAAAACTACGTTCACCACCCAAGTGTTACTAAGTTAATAAATTTAGTGGTATTACTGGTCATAGGATTATTGGTAATAGCTGTAAGCTGTTATCTAGTTTTTAATCTAATTAGGAGGTTTTGGTTGTTCAAATAAAGAATGAAAGAAAGATTTGTGCTAAGTGGAAAGAAAGAAGCCAAGAATGAAGACTCTTGATCATAATAAAATGTAGGAGAGATCATTTTGTTTTGTTACTATTGAGTTACAAAAATAAGTATAACATAAGCAAATTATAAACAAAATATATGCAAAACATAAGTAAAATATAAGAAATATGGCAATATTATCATGTTTGCTAATATATATATTTAGTTAATCCTTTCTTAGGGACGAATGTTTTCTCTCTTATTTAAGTACCAATTAGTATTCCATTTATAATACTCCTTTTGATTTTACTCTTCAAATTGTAGTTCGACCAGAAATGTACACAAAAGAACAGGAAAAATTGCTGCTCATTTCCTATCTTGGACGCGATTGTGTCGAGCTTCGAGACGTTTTGGTCATATTCCACTGGAAAGCTATACTGAGGAGTGAGGAGTTACACTTTCGAAAGGATTACAATGCCGTATCTTGACATTGATAACGCCTTTTGAATCTTCCTCACTGTTGACAATTTCACAACATTGTCTACGTGGTGCCTGTCAAGCCATCAAATAAATAAAAAAACATTAAAGTCAACTATACGTACGTGAAAATGTTAAAGTTTACTTACCATTTTCCAAAGATCCGGCATCAACTTAGTGGTAGAAATGTCTATGAAGTCGACAGAACTGGCGCGAGAATACTCCGGTGAGTCACATTGCGTATCGCTCACTTCAACATGCTTCCGATAAATTGTAAGAGTCTGACCCGACTCGACCTCATAAACCCGGTCTAGGAAATAAACGACGGGTCTCTCACACGGGTCTTCGCTGATGGGTCGGGTATCAAACGAGAAAGGCTCGGAACTCGACGTCCGCCACGACTTGAACGTAAGGATTGTCGTCTCAAGCTCCCTAGCCGTGACTAGAGACGGATAAATCTGAATGGTGTAGCCCCAAGAAACGGAGACAGACCAGTTCCGGGTCTGGTCATGGCAGTAGCTGTGTTGGAGGATCCGGCTTGGATCGGTTTTGTAGGCCGACATGAGTCTTCTTAGGGCGTCGATTTGTGTCGTCGCCGGAAAAATTGGGTCGACATAGTCGAGGTGGTGGAGTGACACTAGAGGAGCCACTGGATGAGCAGCCAGCAAACCGAACGGGTTGCCACGTATGTCGACCTGGATTTTAACGTGCATTAAATTTAGTGTCTAATTAAAAACAATTAGTGTCTAATATGGATATTAATTATGGTTTGAAATTCAGAAATTTCACTTATATAGTTGCACTAATATGCATTGACACCTATTTGATTTGTTTTTACCATCTTGTCATTCACGAATGATTATTATGGAATCAAAATGATCAGTGAGTTATATACTTCCATATGTGTCCTAACCAACAATCTTAAACTTAAGGAAATACAAATAATTATTTGACAAAATGAGTAAAAATAATGCTAAATAATGAGAAAAAAACAAAAAGGGAAATGCGAATATACCTGATGAAACCCTAGTTCCTTGGTCAAGGGAACTCCAATCTCGCTAATACAAGCTTCAATCTTCTGATCAGATCCATATAACGATGCGTATCGATCAATACAGCCGTCGAGTAACTTAACTAGCTCAACGGCCAATGGATAGCTAATAGCTATTCCTCCTCCACCGTAAGCCATGGCGTAGGAGTGAACGATAGCTTGTTCGACGCTCTCGGAGTTTCCTCCGATGTAATACATTTGATTGTGATCGTACTTATTTAGAACCGTTAGAAGATTGTCTAAAAAGAAAACGGTGTCGTCGTCGCCCATCACGAACCATCTCACGTTCGTTAACCCTAGCTCAAAAGTCTCCTTGATGATCCTCGCCATTCGTATGGCCGATCTTGTACCATACCTTTAAAGCGAAAAAAAAAAATATCGAATGAAAAAAAATAAAAATAATAGTCATTTTAATACACGATCGTAATTTATTTGATTTGTGGTTAAACGATAGATAAAATTTTTTTTCACCATCTACTAACCATTGTATCAGGATTAGTATGACTTTTGGGTGAAATTATGTTTATTGAGAATTTGACATTGACCTAGATCATAGGTGTAGACTACTTCAACTTGACTAAGATCAATTGGTTGAAATAACTATGTTAGTAAGTGAAATAGAATTAGAAATAGTTTATACCAGCAAGTGTAGTTGAACCGGGAGGTATCTGCTGAGACTTGGTAAGGTGGAGAAGTCGGGAGCCACGTCATATTAAGAGGTGGTTCCTCGTCAAGCCAGACGAAGCCGCGTGTGACGTTGGGACGCCACCAGAGTTCGGTGTAGCGGCTGCGGTCTCTCCACGTTTGAATGGAGCCACCAATACCGAAAACTATGTGGGAGACATCGGTGGCTTCCGAGGACTGATTCTGCTGGGGGATGACCGAGGAGGTAGGGGAGGAGGAATTGGTAGTAGAGATCACATTGTCATGGCCAAAGCGACGGTGGCCGGTGATGCGGTGGCAATCGGAGCAGTCGGAGAAGATGACGTAGAAGAAGATCATGGAAACGAAGATGAAGATACATATGGTGAAAAAGAGCTTGGCGACGATGGAAAGAACATGCCCTGGTTTAACACTCGTTGTCGGAAAAATTGACGGCGGTTTGTGGCGGAGCTTAAACGGATCGAAGATGGCCATATTTTTTTATGAAGTTTAATATATGATGTTTTAATCCGGGATGGGATTTTTTTATGGTTTTCTATACAATAATACGACTGTACGAATAGGGTTGTCAAAAAAGGAAGAAGAAAGATTAGGGTTTTGTGGAAAGAATCAAAATATATTTTTAGTTATCTATTGCGATACAAATTGAGAAAGTCCATATTCAACGAATATTCCTACTCCTTTATTTTCGTTGATAAAATATATGATTTCGAGAAAACAAATCTTGTTAAGATGCAATCATCTACATTAGATTTTCTTTTGAAATTCGAAATGTCTATAGAGTGATGGACCTTTTACCGCAAAAAAGGAAGAAAAACTGAAAAAGTGATGGACCTTACGCTGTTGCAAATCTGTCTTATACTATTGGGCCAAGTTTGTTCAGAATCAAATCTGACAGAAATATATACATATGGAGACATTTTTTTTTTTTTTTTGTTAAAAGGCCTTACATATGGAGACATTTATTCGAAATGTAAATAAATTTTATGAATTTGTATAAGTATGTATTTTATTGGTCATATTGAATTCAACTATCAAGTTAGAAAACTCTTCCAAAAATGGTTTAATTGATAAATAGTAATAGTATCATCAAATAATAGTTTCAACTTTAGAAATGAATAAACAAATTATACTCATACAAAAAGATATATGAGAGACGATGCATGAATATTGTGAGTAAGACTTGCATGTTATTTATAAGAATTATGAATAAGAATTTCACGTTAACTTTACAAAATTAATGTGAATGTAGCTTTTTAGCTTAAAGGCTTTGCTTGTAAACACATGTTTTTGAAAAAAAAATGATGCTCTAATTGTTTACCCTACCTATACCAGGTAAAACAATCTATAACTCATTTAAAACATATTTGGCGTTTATCATCTAGCATAGCTTTCATTGTCTAACTGAAATATTATTTATAGGGGGTGGAAATATATTTGTGAAAAGATAAACACTTGTAACATGTATTATTATTATTATTATTATGATTATTATTATTAGTTTGGTTAAAGGTAACATATATGCAAGTTTCTCATGACTAAAGCAAACCAAAACATAAGTCATTTCATATTTGTTTCTTATAAGAAAGTCGTTTAACTAGTAAAACTCCAACATGAAAGTTGTATGTGTAATATATTACATAATGATGAGTATGTACTTGCATTATCTCACTCGTGGACAACTGTGATTTATACTCCATGAATTTATACATGAATTTCAGAGTAATTGACAACAAACTAAAATATAATAAAATCATCCAGATTGGTAAAGCGGACCAACCAAGGATTTTGGTCTTTTCTTGTTGTCAGGATCCTTTATAGAACTTTCGCTTACATGTGTACTTGTGCATTATATTTTACTATTATTCGAAGTCTAGTTTTTAATTTCGAACATACCTATGGCGACTAGCCTAGCGGACAATAGTCTTGCTGCAAATTATTTTCGTAATCATACAAAACTAAAGTTTGATTATTCAACATTAATTCTGGCGATGACGCAACGATAATTACTAGGCTACATATTCTAAATATCAACTAGTCTTTTATTTCTTTCATGACATTTTGAAGTGTCATGTAACTGTGTGAGTAATCTCACATTCGAAACAAATGACATAAAAGGTAAATAAGTCAATTCTACTCTGAAATGCATGTATATATACTAAACAACCAAATTAAAATAAACTGTTAAGTATTTGTATAGAATATAGATAACCATTGTGGTATTTGTATATATCTAAGTATTAAATATTAGATGACCATTGTGGTTTTGAGTAAATTATCAGAATATCTATGCATTATGTTATTACTTAAGAATTGTCCGAAATTCCGTGATACCTATTCTTAGACTCCAGACAAAATTCTCTTCGCATATTGAGTATTTTCACATTATGATAATACTTTAACTATTGAAAGATGGAACTTATAGAGAATGAGATTTATTCCCCCATGTGAAAGCTCTGCCCTTATTCGAGGACTTCACTTCCACCTATGCATTATTAATTATAGACGTATACAGAGAAGATAATTTGTAATTATAATTTTATAAATCTAAAATGCGTATCTAACTGATCCCCAAACCCGTTAAGACAAGAATGAGTTGTTAGCTTTTAAGTTTGTGATGAAGGGTTTGCACTTTAAATAAAGCTGGTTGAATTCTTAGTAACTAAAAATGTATATATGCAATGAAGTAAAACCTTTTTAATATATATTGGTTGTGATCAAAAAAATTTATTAAAAATTGGCGCTTTCAATGGAAACTGGATGGTAGATAGGATGAGTGAAAAAAATACTAGGGTTTCTAGGATTTTAATTATCAATGGAATAATTGAGTATATGCAGACTTTTCAATGCATACGGGTTGTTGATTGAAAATTTGAAATAGTGTAAAACTAGTTCAGATACGATTTTAATAATCTATGAATTAGTTAAGTCTAAGCGATAGGAGAGTTGGTGACCCATGGGGCTGAAAAGTTAGGGTAGAGACAGTAATCAGTTGGAGTATTATAAACACATAGTTTAATAATTTAATTTGATTTTAATGAAGTAATTGTTGGAAAAGAACAAGCGAAAGGGAATATGTGTTGTGACATATTTGGATGTTTGTGCTATTTTCTTCTGTTTATTTTTATAATTTTGACAGAATGTCATGTTACGTACTGAGATGCGAGTGTATGTGGAAACGAGCTTATTACGACGTTTCACAAGGAGTGAAGGAGGAATACATTAAACTATTGATGGTTAACTAAAAACTTTCGTTATTTGTGTATAATTTAATTATCGACGGCAATTAAACATGCATCTTCTAAAATGAATCAAAAGAAATATTATTTTGATTTGTAAAATATAGCATAGTCTTATAATTGTATATTTTTTAAAGTAAAATAAGAGTACTTTTAGATATCTGTTTACAACAAAATAGAAAGTAAGAGTTTTTATTTTTCGTAGATTTTTTATTTTTTGGTAGTTTCGGACCCAAACTTTAATTTTTAATTTCGTACGTCAAAAATAGTTAAATACTTTCGGATGTAACTTACGTTATATCCAGCTTTTGTATTGAATTCATGTGGATGTGGTTAACGTGACTAAAAACAACATTCAAATATACATTTTCTAGATGCAACATCCGAATGAAAACTCGAACATGCTCACAATAGCGAAACATTAGTTGCTTTAATGTTAAGCTCATTATATTTTTCGGAGTTTGAATGTAATAGATACTTTGGGTTTTCGTGGAATGTTGGATTTTTTGCATGTACATGTGTGTAACGAACACGGGCATGTATGTGGGCGTAATGAACAAAACAAGGGTTATACCTTTGGTCCCAAAAAATGATCATAACAAGGGCAGTTGTTTTAGGCTTTTTAATATATTACAAATTTAGGACTCTAGAATTTTACAGCTTCATTTGGTATTTTTGTAAAATATGTCGTATACTAGTAATGTTTTCTTGATTTTTTTTTTTACAAAAGATGTATAACTTTTAAGTTTTAACTTTTTCCATTCGTCTTTATCAAAAGATGTAGACTCGGTCGTCATATATGTTTTAGGATAAGAGACCGGTTATGGTAATATTTTTCGAGACATATATAGGTTGAATTCGTTCTATGGTGTAAGAAAGTTTACTCAACCGTTGTTTGGATAAAATATACGTTGTTAGTAACACTAAGATAAAAAAAAAAAAAAGTAACACCAATGGTAAGTTGACGCAAAAATATGCATCAATTATTCAATTTTTGCTACGCCTCTTCTTGATTCGTGTATTGGGGACTAGAAGTCTAGTACATGGCTACAACATGTTTTTTTTCTTTTTTTTTTTAAACATGGGTATAACATATTTGTGAATGAATTTTGATATACTCTTTCTGTCTCATATTATAAGCTGTTTGGGGCTTATGCACAGATATTAAGACAATTTCACTTTTTTATTTTATTTTTTTATTTTTTTAAACCATTTATTTATATAGATAAATAAATGTAAAAGCTTCCAACCAATCTCTAACTCTCTCTCCTCTCTTCTACATCGATTTTTGCTTTTGCATTCTTTTTAGTTTTCTTTTTTTCTTTTTTATGCATTGATTTTTGAAATAGCTTATATTATGGGACAAAAATTATAAGCTAAAACAACTTATAATATGTGACAGAGGGAATACCGTATGTATGTATATATATATATATATATATAAATGAGAGGTTACTGAAAACTTATAAGACGAATTAACTTGTATCAGAAAACCTAGAATACATTATATATGTGCACATTAATTATATTAGAGCCACTGTAAACCCTAAATTAATAGAATAAGCAACTAAGATCTGTGGGACAATTATTCATTGTTGTCATTCTCATTCTCTCTCTCTCTCTGACAGAAAATATTCTTTCATCATGTGACTTTATTTTAGATTGTTCAATATGCTTCAAATTATGTAAGGAAGTATAGACATGGTCATTTACAAAGCATTTGCTTTTTAATATATCCACATACTTCACAACAAAACGCATGCACAACATTTTGGATGGGCACAACATAGACATTATCATTTCCAAGACTAATAGTAATTAGTAATTGTAGAGTTCCTAATTTCCTATGCTGATTTTCACATTCAGATATGTAACCATAGCAAAACCTTTACTAAGAAGCTATAGAAACTAGAGATGAGTGATCTTTTCGTATGAGATAGGATTCTATTATGATTTATTAGAGAGGAAAATATATCTCAAGCCGCTAGTGATTTACAGACAGATAGAACTTGATACTTGCACTCAATTTGTCATTATTATAAACTGTTATATTCATACAGTTTATCAAAAAAATAGAAATAAAATCCCAAAAACTATGTAAACATCGATACAATTTAGACACGCAAAACCAAGGAAAGATAAATCCAAGTAACACAGTCATAGACACATAGTCCCATATGAAATGTTTCTATTTATAAATATATATTTTCCTTACCTTTTTTTTGGTAGGGATTCATCTGTCCGTCATTCAGTTTCCCTTTGGTGGATCGGTCCCTAGCCTAAGCTCAAGATCTAAATCCTCAAAGTGATCACCCTTGTGTTTACGCTCCTCGTTTCTTGTAGCTATGTCACTCTTACAAGATAAACTTGAAATGAAAATTTCCGGCTGCGAAGAACTCTCCCGCATACGTCTTCTCTTATGGATATTACCCCTCGAAATCTCTTCATCACCGTCATGGGCAGTAATCGGAAAACTCTGGTGGATCACCAGATTCATGCTCACCGAGAGATCAGTGCTGTTTCCTAGATGAACTTTTGCCTTATCCGTGGTTTTCGGTATATCTCGGTCCATCTTTCTCTTCTTGTCTCCTTCTTTAACGGGAGATTCATAAAGGTCACAACGCTTCTGCTCCACAGAATGACCCGGGTACGACCATGGGGAAGAAGAGTGAATCTTTTTAGAATTCTTGGAAGGTTCAACAACAAAAGAAGGAGAAGAGGAAGAAGTGTCTTGATTTCGAGACAAACCAGAAGAAACCCTAGAAGGAGTCAAGTACGGTAAAGAAGAAGAAAGATCAATAACACAAGATTTTTGAGACTTAAAATGATTAGGATTGGAGTTGAAAACCAAAGTATAGCAAGAGGTTTCACGAATATCATCGCTGTTGTTGTGAGATGGATACTCCGGAGAAGAAGACGACTTGGAAAACAAGAATTGATCATCGGACTGCTTAAGCCGTGCTCTGTCTCGTCGGTGAACATTCATGTGGCCACCGAGAGCTTGGGCCGATCTAAACTCTCTCCGGCAAAAGCTACACATGTAAGATCTCGGCGGCCACAAAGATCCGGCGGCATCGTCTTCCGCGAAAGCCAACTCTTCCCACGATGAGTCTTTGTTGCTTTTCTTGGGGATCCAGAGACCATCAGGTTTCTCCATTCTAGAGGGTCAAAATTGAGAAGTTGACGACAAACCCTAGAATAATTTTTTTGTTTGGGTGGTTAGAGGAACCCTAACTAGATGATTATATTAGGTGGTGGATTACGGAGAAAGATCAAGAAATGATGTAATGGCAATAATCGAGGTGAAGATGTGATAAAAAGAAATTTAAACCAAAACGAGTGGAGTATTTTAAACGATCAAGTAGTTATAATTATTATTATATTTGATTAATCGGACCGTAGGGATTTTGCGATGGCAAAAGATGATACGAACTTTGGATTTTAGCAAGAGTTAGCTGACTAATCTAAAATCTTTGATGTTTGCTTGTCCCAAGTGGCTACCCAACAGTAACGTATATTAGACTGTAGTGTTTTAAAATTTGTATTGTATTATTCTTGTGAATCTACAGTAATTAACTAATTATAGTAATCCGTATATTTTATACATGCTACACACAACTATACGTGGATGATATTAAATAACAACATTTCTTTGGTATCACGTATCATAAATGTTAGTACATTTGTTATATAATGGTTGAAAATTGCTAAACATGTTTAATTCTTAAATTTTGGTTCGGTTTGGATTCAGATATTCAGTATTAATGGTTTTTGATTTATAATAGCAAGTAAAGTAAGACATCAATTATTATATGCTTTGATATGGTTTTGGTTTCGTTCTTATTCAAGTTTCAATCAAATACATCTTTTCCACAGGAGTTCAATTCCATGTTTCCTCTTTAATTATAGAGTTGATAATGCTAATGGAGCGGGTTTATTGGCCCAAAATGTTATATAGAGGAAAGGAGACGACTATTAGATGTACAAAAACTTGCTTCTACTTGTTTCTTTTATTGGATGAAATCAAAAAGGCTGAACCAGGTATTGGGCTTTAACAAGTTATGACCCATATTTATGAACACAGAATAGGAGGTTAGACATAATCCTAGGGAGATGATCACGAGAGAACAGATTGACTCAACTCTCAAAGATTAACAAGCAAGTATACTGGTGAGAGCTTGTGAATGATTGACGGTAAGCAGGGTTAGACTAACAAAAGTTTTCACTTAACATTTTACCCAAAAAAAATAACAAAAGTTTTCAAGTAGCTTACATTTTGGATTGATAGTGATCTTTGGACTTAATTTTCAAGTGTGATAATGCAAAAAGCAGTACAAGGGTGTGAGAACTAAGTGGGTCTTAGGTTGGTAGGGAATTTAGGACATAATTTTCAAAAGTAGTGCATTCTTGAGCCTCTTAACTCGATCCTGGATTGGGAGGAAGACAAAATGTTTCCGAGAGGAAGATGCCTGAGCTTATAATATGTAGATAATACTAATATATAAAAAGTTCTTGTGCGTGTACGTAATTATAATTTTATAATAGTCTATAAGCTCAATCAAATTAAGCATTATAGGATATAATCACAGTCATCATATAGGTACAGCCAACGAACAACGAGTTGAAGATAAACATGAAATCAAAACATTAGTCAATCTTACTCAAATGGCTTACCAACGGATTAATTATTTCCTCTATAGCCCCAATAGTCCTTAAAGTTTTTATTATTTTGACTAAACCAAATAACTTTAGTCGGCACAATTTCGTAAGCCTCACTTATTTTATGTACCTTCAACGTCATCATTTAACAAATCTTTTGACATCACAAATTCTTTTCTATAATAATCCAAACACATCTTCCACTTTTATAAATATAATATGATATATATCCCACTATACAAAGATTTTAGAACATATTTTGTTTCGAGTAGTTATTATTATATTGCTTGACATGTCACATTCTTTTCAAACAAAAACTAAGGCCATCAGGAAAGAAATATGAACCATCATAATTTTTATAAGGGAGAATTTGCTAAATAACCATATTGGACCACAATATTAAGTATATAGCCATATCAAAACTAAAATAAGGTAAGTAACCAATGCCTTCTTTTTGGACAAAATTACCCCTGCCTGAAAAATAGTATAGTTCTCGTCGTAATAAAAAGAATAGTCTAAAAATATCAATCAAAGGGAATCAACGATTTCCATCAATCTCAAGCTTCCAAAATTAGTTGTAATAACAATTATGATGATTTTAAATTAGTAATGATCATCGTATACACACAATACGAACTGATTTAGTTTGGGAGAGAGAATTTAGTTATTGTTCTAAGATTGAATCATCACTTCCTTTGCTTCCGTTGAGGCTGTCAAGGTTGTTGTCTTCAAAATGAAGAATTTCAAATTTAAAAATCGAATTCATCTAATCATCAGTTATTGATCTAATATTGTTGAGATCCAAAAATTACAGAGACACTTGAAGTTGAAGAAAAATAAAAATATAGGTGAATGGAGGTGGAGAATTCTGAAGCGGTGGTTAATTGTACTGATCCGATCTGAAGCCACATGACAGAGCAATTGTGGAGTTTTTTAACCTGGATTTTTGGTTCAAACGCATCGTCATTGAAGATGAAGAATAGAAAGAGAGGTCTAAACCAATAGGTGAACCAATGTTGATAACCACCAGAATCGTAAAGATCTCGGATTCTGCTTCGCTCTTCCTCTCTAATCTTTATAGAACCCTAGAACTCAATTTCTAAGACAACCCAGAAAATTAAAAAAAATGTAGAGCACCACGGATAGGACAACCCAGTTTGATTAGAGCTGTAGAAAAATCAATACAATAATTGAAATAAAGAAAATCAAAGGGGAGGAAGAGATGGAAGAAAATCAAAGCGGAGGAAGAGATGGTCGCCGTCGTGAAAAAAGTGGGATACTCAAGGAGAAAAAAAAAGAAAAAAAGAAAAAATAAAGTGTAAAAAAAAAATGGTTTCCTTTTATTTTTCGAGGGCAATTTTGACATATTACATATTATACACAGAATATTATAGCCATTAGTTTGATATGATCATTTCCTTAATTATACTTTTTTTTATGGTTATTCAATGCTATTTCTCTTTTTATAAAACAACAAATTCAAATTGTAGCAAGAAAAATTTAAGTGCTAAACAGCTAGACATAAGCGAAAAAATATATAGAGGAGAGTAGATCATACGAAATTCATTGATTTACATCGTCGCGTTTTCATAAACTATATCATTTTGTTTATAAATTCATAGTAATTAAACCATGATAGATATAAAAATATAAAGTATCATTTTAATTAGTCTACGTGTGGTAAACATTAATATAAGTATAAAACAAAAAAGGTCTAGTAGACTGTGATAATATCAGATCGAAAAGTCTGCATAAATGAAACTTTTACAATCCTGTCGCACACAGTAAAGTATACTTATTAAGCTAAAGATAAGAATAAAAAATATCAAAAGATAAAGTAATATTCCATCTGTTTCTTCTTGATAAATTTTATAAACTTTTCACACATCTTAAGAAAAAGCTGATTTTCAATTATTAATGTATAGATTTTTGCAATAAAACAATTTTTTATAATTTTAAACCAATAATAATCTAACAAATACAATTAATGTTTATTAAAAACTGAAAAAGTGTATTAAAAAGATACTTTATCTGTTTTATAATAAGTGTCATTTAACCAAAATGATAATCAATGTATTTAAATGTATTAAACTCAAAATAACACTTATTATTATCCATATATATCCAATTATTGTCTAGATACATTTTGTTTAAATGACACTTATTATGAAATAGAGAGAATATAAAACTTATCTTTGTGGAGAAATAAATAATGTCTAGAAAATTCATCTATAAGAAATAGAGGAAATAGAATAAACTGACAGAAAAATAAGTTTACAAGAATCAAAATAAATATAAGAGTATAACTATTGAAGAAATTATTTACACATAAGGATAGCATCTTTACAACTTTTCAGCAGTCCATCTACATAATGTTCATTATTATAATGGAATGTGGATAAAAAAATTTAGATTTAATTTTTATATTAATAGTTGTGTTGAAGATAAACCATTGGACCAGCCGTAGTTTCATATCAGTTTCAATGTAGCTTTCAGATTCTTCCTGTAGAGCCAATTTCACATTCAAAGGTTGCTTCTCTTTTTAACCTTCAAACTTGTAAAATAAATATATATTTTTAAAAACAAATTCCAACTCAATGACGTGGGAAAACTTGTGGATACAGCAACAAATCATGAGGCACCACGTGGCGATCTTGTCTTCTCTATAAAACCAAACGGCTCTGTTTCTTTGGGTGCTATAGCAATAACACAAAATGGAGGGTCTTATCCCGTTAGTTTACAGAGCCGTCATGCAAATCCGTTACGGTGAAGAGTCGCAACTTTCTTCTTCTTCTTACTACGTTCGTCTTCCGGGCGACTCGGGACGGATGGGAAGATCCGACTTCGAAGAATCGTGTCTCGGATCTTCTTCCAATACGGCGTCGTCAAAGACCACGACCACCACGTTTGTTGTTTCCACTGGAGTTCAGTCACCAGTTAATCGTCGGGTCATGACGTGATTCACACGCGTTCCTGAAGGAACCTGAAGATGCGCGTGAGGGAGGGAAAGGGTTCGTGACTTTGTGTTACTTTTCGGTTTTAAATTTTTATGGAGTTAGGTTTGGACCGGTTAAATAAACCTGATGCAATAATCGGGTGGTGAGATTGAGTCTCGTGGTTTTTGTGTGTTTCTCTTAATTGTATAAAAGTTAATGAATATTTAAGTTCATTCGTGAAAGTTATGGCTTACACTTTGTTGTTAAGTTTTATTTTCTTTTAATAAATTAAAACTGTATAACGTAGAGCAAAACTATTGAGTTATTACTGATTAACGCGGCAAGAAATGAAAAACATTATTGTGCAATGATAATTACTTGTTAGAGTTGCGATGAGGAAATACCAAAAAGACTCGGATGCAAAAATTGGAGAAGATGTAAGAGATTATTATTTTTGAGGTGATCATTAAAAATATATCCAGCTGATATTATTATTTTTGAAGTAATATTTCAAAATGTTGAATAATGTATAAAAACTTGGACATAACATATATCACACGTTTTTATGACGAAAAATATAAATTAATTTGTTTTTTTTAATAAGAAAAATGAAACTTATCTGATAAGAATAAGATAGGTGTTTACATATTAAAAGTTGCATTCAACAGAAAATAAAAATGTCTATTATAATGAAAAATCATCCGTTCCATACCAACTAATTAAAAAAGTTGAAATCGGCCAAACATATTGGCCAAATAATTCTTCACAAGTTGGGCAGTGACAATACTTCAGAAACGACAATTAATCAAATCATTTCATCTTATGTTTCATGTTTTCTGTGAAAAATAAACAAGATAAAACGTGTGACGTGTGACAAGGCTCATATAGTATAGAGTATAGACAAAGCCCAAAGTGAAACGTGGCATCTGTCACATCATTCATTCGTTTACAGCATTTTCACGGCAGAGACTTCGGATTTCTCAAAGTTGCGTCTTTTTATTTTCTTCTGCATCTCGTCTCGTCACCTTCTCTCTTGTTTCATTCTCTTCTTCTTCCTTATCAAAAATGGCAGCTCCGATTCGTTTCTTCGAGCTCAACACTGGTGCCAAGTTACCTTCTGTCGCTCTCGGAACCTACGCCCTAGCCTCGGCAACGCTCGAACAAGCGATTAAGGTATTTACGCGTCTCTCTTCAGAAAATTGAATCTCGAGCTTCTTCTGTCCTTTGATACTTCTCTTTTCGATTTTAGATTGGTTACAGGCATATCGACTGCGCTTCGATCTACCGTAACGAGAAAGAGGTAAACTTTTACACCGATCATTATGAAACATTGTCTTTTATTCCAATTTTTGTTTATTGGTATATCGAATTTTATCCACTCTTAAGAGTGTAAGCTAAAGCTTTGTTCTTTATCAAGTTTTGTGGGGTCATATTGGACCACAACAAGCTTAATTAAGTTCCATTGAAAAAAACATAAACTTTGAAGTGTCCTGCCTTTGCTTATTTCCTTGTTCTGATCAAAACTATAAACCCATTTATTAGATTGGTAGTGTACTGAAGAAGATCATAGATGATGGTCTCGTGAAGCGAGAGGAACTATTTATCACTTCGAAACTCTGGTTTGTTAACATACTTCTCTGAAACATACTTTTTTACTCTGTACACACTTATGTATGTTAATGTTTTTGTCCAGGTGCAATGAACATTTGCCTGAAGATGTTCCTATGGCTCTGGAGAAAACATTGAAGGATTTACAAATTGACTATGTTGATTTATATCTGGTACATATATAACTTTACATCTTTGAGTTAATATAAATTGCTTCCGTTTTTTTTTATGTGGATTTTGATTTTTTTGTTTGTTGAAGATTCATTGGCCGGCGAGTTTAAAGAAGGATTCACTTATGCCAACACCTGAAACACTCACAAAACCTGACTTGCCAAGTACATGGATAGCAATGGAAGCTCTCTACCAATCTGGCAAAGCTCGTGCCATCGGTGTGAGCAATTTCTCTTCAAAGAAGCTTCAAGATCTTCTCAACGTGGCTCACGTTGTCCCTGCTGTGAACCAAGTTGAATGCCACCCAGTTTGGCAGCAGAAGTCTCTTCACGAGCTATGCAAATCCAAAGGAGTTCACTTATCCGTGAGTATACACAATTACACATACACTCTGTTTTTTACTCTGTTTTATACATACACATTCTGAGTTTACTCTGTTTTTGTCATCATTTGGTTATAGGGTTACTCTCCTTTGGGGTCACAATCTAAGGGAGAAGTGAGGCTAAAGGTTCTTCAGAACAAGATTGTCGCCGAGGTTGCAGAGAAACTTGGGAAGACAACCGCTCAAGTGGCTCTTCGTTGGGGGCTACAAATGGGTCATAGTGTTCTACCAAAGAGCTCCAGCGAGGCTCGGCTAAAGGAGAATCTTGATGTTTTTGAGTGGTCTATTCCTCAAGATCTGTTTGTCAAGTTCTCTAACATTCCCCAGGCAAGTTCTCAAAACACCCTTTCATTGTTTGATCATATAGATCATCATCTAAGCATATGGTTTTCACTCACGTCTTCTTTATAACTTGCAGGAGAAGTTAGTCCGAGGTGGTGAGTTCGCGAATGAGGCAAGCGGTTTTTATAAGTCCGTTGATGAGCTCTGGGATGGTGAGATTTGAGAAACTTCATCTAGACGTGAAGGACATGCGAATTATAGTGTGTTTTGAATAATAATCCTTTATGTTTGTTTGTTCTCTGTTAGAAAACGCTAACACATGAAACTTCATGAGGTTTGGCAAATGTTTACTCTTTCGGTCTCGAAACAATAAGTCATTTTCATTAAGTTCAATATAAAAAAATATTATTACATATGCAAAATCGATCGGTTTAATCAACTAGAAATAGAGTAAATCTAGTTAATTTTATACAATTGACATCAAGCTTGGAAAATAAGAAACCGCGGTTCCAAGAAGATAAACTTTGTAATCATTTACAAAACAAGAATTATAGGATCTCAGCTCAGGATCATATATTACAAGATTTGGATTATCTGCAACCACATCGTAAAGCACTAGTGATTTCTTCTTCTTCAAAACTGCGACAGGAGTGACACATGAAATGATATATGGAAAGAAAAGAAGTGGATGCAGATCTTTAGAAAACCAATGGTAATCGTTTTGTAGATTTAACGAATAGATTTTCTCCCAACTCATGTCTGAATTATTTAATGACCATATCTCCTGTTCTGGCCACTTTTTCTGCGTTACACATAGACGGTTATTCAACTCGCACATGATGATTTGCTTAGAAGGTGCTTGGACAAACGGAGTTTTTGAGATTATGTGAAACATTTCTGTATGAATATCGAAAGATAATACTCTTGTTTCTGCAATATTCTCATCTGTGAGCCAATAAAGGGATCCATCTAAGTATACTGGAGATCGTTTATCAAGAATACGTACATGAGCAGCAGCCACATACCTCCAAGTGTCGGTCTTAAAATCAAAAACTTCACAGGTTGTAACGTTAGGTAAGTTTAACTCGAATGAGTTATACAACCAAACCATTTTATATGTGCCTGTGAATTTGTCTTTTCCAAACCCTAGATTCCAAAATGAGACATTTTCTCCATTCCAACGATCTTGATTAAACGCGAGGAGAACATCTGCTTGAAATCTCGCTTGAGGAACACTTCGAGACCATCTAGTAATTGGATTGACTATATAAACACCATTGTAGTGACTGAAATAGCATATCATACCATCACAAGTTCCAGTAACAAAATAGGAGTACGTAAGAAATGTTTCAGAATTCTCCAAAGGAATCGGTTTAGACAAAGGGCAAAGATTAGGAAGTTTGATCAAATCAGACGAGCCCAACGTAAACATCCTCGTTATGGTTTCATAACAAGAAGAACCATACCATTCAACTTGATTGATGATCAGAATATCTGGATCTTGTGATTGTCGACAAATCAAATGTTTTTCTTTGAAATGTCGAGATTCGATCGTAGATCTCCATTGTGTTGACACAGATTTGAATGTTAATAGTGACTTCACAGGAAGTTTCTCTAGAATATGTTCGACTAGGTCATGGGGTAGTACCATACTATTACTTTAAGATTTCGTTTTTGATTTGTTTTTCCAATTTTCCCAATTGTTTTGAATGACTTTAGAGTTATGTGTTTTCCTTGATGATATTCCCCTCATGCCATGCACTTATTTATATAAGAAAAAGTATATTGATATGCATGTCCTATATGTTAATGTTTAAGCCTTAAAGGGAAGTAAACCGCTAATAGAGATTATGTTAATTAATTTTAATTAGTTAGGAATATTAATTTTAATTAGTTAGGTTACTGTGACATCTTTGAACTTTAATTAGTATTAGATTGCAAGTCTACAACACAAGTGTAGTGTTTGAAAAGATAAATAATAGAAAACTATTTATGATTTGAATTATTTGTTTATTTTAAGTTTACATTTTAGTTATATTTTGTCATTTTGAATACACCTATTTAATCTATAGAATGGAATTTTTTCTTGAATGTTTGATTATATATGGAATACTGAGATTGAAAAGAAGCTTTATATTAATCAAGAAGGATATAATCTTTTTACTTACACGTGTAAAACTGCGAGATCAAATTTATAAGGTTTTCATTTTTTACATTATTCTTAAGTGTTTTTGATAATACACAAAATTAAAATTAGACACATACTATAAAGTTTGTATATTACTAAATGATCTTAAAATCTTAAATTTTCCAATCTAAATTTGATAGATTCATATGTGTAAGCTCATGTACATATTTGTTTTTGCAACAAAACTATCCTCAAGTTTATAAATTCTTATAAATAAGAGATTATTATGCTTAAAGGGAAGTAAACATCTTAGTTTTTTCTTTCCAGTTTTTGTTTTTTGGAATGAAAATAATTCGTTGGTAAGAATTATTTTTTGTTTTTGTTTTTTTTTTTTTGTTTTGATGTTTTAAACCATGTTATTTTGTTGTGTTTGTATTTTATTTCAAGTAAGAGGTTGACATAATGTTTGTTTAGTTTGATATGTCGTCTTCATTTTGATGGATTTTTCACCATCATTGTTTACTGTCATGAGACCAACTTCTGGGGATATTGTACTGTAATTCAATTAGTAGATAATTCCTGTAGAATTTGTATGATCGGAAAGGACATAAACATTTAATTATATAATCATGTGTTGCATGCAGAAGTCTGATGTTGTTTTAGTTTCCATAGGGAAACGTGGTCTATGTTCTGTGGTGCATATCAAGGTAAAAAAGCTTTAGAGTTTGTGATTATTACTCAAATTTCATTTCATCCCTGTCAATATTCACTTGATAATACTCATGTTTCTGCAATATTCTCATCTGTGAACCAATAAAGGGATCCATCTAAGTATACTGGAGTTCGTTTATCAAGAATGCGTACATGAGGAGCAGTCACATCACATACCTCCAAGTGTCGGTCTTAAAGTCAAAAGCTTCACAAGTTGTAACGTTAGGTAAGTTTAACTCAAATGAGTTATACAACCAAACCATTATATTATATTAATCAATCAGTGTTAAAAATTAACTTATATACTCCTAAGTCACTAAAATTAATTAACATAATCTCTATTAATTAATTCTAGATTATGTTAATTAATTTTTAAACCTCTAATAGAGATTATGTTAATTAATTTAAATTATTTAGGAGTATAGTGTTACTGTGACATCAGACGTGTAGTTTTAGATTTGTTTTAGAAGTTAATTATTCTCAGTTTACATTTAGTTATATTTTGTCATTTTGAAGTTTGAATACACCTATTTAACCTATAGAATGGAATTATTTCTTTAATGTTTGATTAGATATGGAATATTGAGATTGAAAAGTGGCTTTATATAAATCAAGAAGGATACAATCTTTTTACTTACACGTGTCAAACACCGGATCTTTTGTGGCCCGAACCAGTTAAAATCTGACTGTTGGTAATTTTATGTGCGCGATTGCATTCTCCGGTGGAATAACGCTTGGCGCTCCTCCCGCCCTCGTGATCACATCGGCCTTCACCAACTTCAGACAAGGCGTCCCCTCGACGACATACACAATCGGTCTAGCTGCCATTGTTAAGTTTGAGAGATTTTTGTTTGATAAAAGATAAAGTTGAAGAGATTAAATGGTTTGTTTCTTCACAAGACCAAACTGAGGCTTATTATATAGCCGTTCAAAGTACTCAGTACGTATAGTATACATCGTACTAATAACCTCTTGTATCTACCTAAAGGAATCTATACGTAAAACTCTATTTTACGCGGACATTTTAACTTGTACCTTGATTAAGGTGTGGTTTGAAACAAAGAAAATTTTAATTCCATTCGTGAAAAAAGTAGAAAGAAATTGAACCGAATTCGATTTACAGTTGAGTGTATTCATTTTGAGGAATGCCAAATTTTAACACGTTATACCTTTTTCTATAAAAAAAAATGTAAAAACAAACAAATTTCATGACTCTTTGGTGACTCCACTTCGTGACTTAACAAAATGTGCTTCGTGACCAAAGTGGTGAGATTTCTTTGGATTTGGTTTATCAATAACCCCAGCTTATATTAGTGCTTGAAAATATATTTTTGAATTGTTATTTTTTAAAAAAAATATTAAAAAATCATTAATATTAGCTCAAAAATTGCTCAGTAAGTGCTTTTGTTTTTCTTAAATGTAAAATAAAATCTTGGCTCAGAATCGTTTGTCTCGGTGGTTGATTACTAAATTATTATTTTAATAAACCAATATCAGAATTATTCTTTTACCACTGTGAGCGATATTGATAGATATTATTCATAATTATATTTCAACGTAACATGCACGGTTCGAAAGAGAAATCCACACCCTGAAAACATATACTCCCTCCGTTTTTTTTAATGAATTTTCTAACCATTATGTGTTGTTTCACAAAGATAAAATTTTTACCTTTTTGATGCACTTTTTCAGTTTTCAAGATACAATGATTATATTTGTTGGATTTTTATTGGTTTAAAATTATAAAAAGTTGTTTTATTGCAGAAATTTATGCACTAATGATTGAAAATCAACTTTTTCTTAATCTGTGTGAAAAAACTAGAAAATTTAAGTATAAATCTTAAATTGGTCATACTAATCTTTTTTCATCATTTTGTACCTTGTTTTCATCAAATATTATATTGACGTTTTAAAAGACATTTAATATCGAACATAATAACTTTGTTTCCTAATAGAAATGCGACATTTCAGACATATTTGGTAAGTTTTCCCATATTTTCAAGTTAATTATTATTCGATCTCTCTTCAAAGGGAAATAACAAGGTTAGCTCACGTTAGCCGTTCGATTATGAAATTCGATCGCCGCAATATATGCGTGCGTGGGCCCAAAAACGAGTCACTTTGACGATCACACTCGAGATTATCAATGAGGACGTATAAGTGAACGAATAAGAGGCGTCCACGTCATGGTCAATACCTGACGTGGCAACAATAATAATGCAAAGAAGTAAATTTCCCGACCAAACTCCCGCCTCTGTCGCTGCTTTCCTTTCTTACTTTTGTTATTTCTTTCTAATTTTCTATTGATTTGATTTGATGATTAGTGGAGTGGTAGCTGATAAATGCTGTTTGTGCGTTTAAAGTAAACACTACTAGCGATCTGAATCTCCAATCTTTGATAATGGCGAACGAAATCAGACTCAACACCGGAGCTAAGATTCCATCTGTTGGTCTAGGAACATGGCAAGCCTCTCCTGGCCTCGTCGGCGATGCCGTCGCCGCCGCTGTTAAGGTTCGTATTTTTTGTAAATTCGATTCTAAGGCTCATCGGATTAGTTCTGTCGATCTCTTTAGATTCTTAGTTTTAAATATATTGATAACAATATGCTAATCACCGAGATCTCATCTCATAACATCCATACTTTGTTTTAACGAAATACTAGTATTTGCTCTCTGTTTCAATTGGATTTTTATTTCTTTCTAAGATCTTGATCGTTCAATTAGTATTTCTTCGTAGCTGCAAAATTAAAGATTTATTTTTCTTATTTTTGGTTGCAGATCGGATACCGTCATATTGATTGCGCTCGGATCTACGCCAACGAGAAAGAGGTAGAAAGAAACACACAAATGCTTGATTTAGCCAAATTTAATAACATTTAGACTCTTCTTTTAGATGGGTCTAGTGTTTCTTGCACGTGTTTTTTCTTCTTGATTGTCTTTTTTGTTTGTTTGTTTGTGTTGATGAAAAAGACAAGATTAATGACAAACATGTGTATCTTTTGCGTGTCAATGATTTGCTTTATTTGTCAAACTCTTAAACTTGTTGCTTTCCTGTTTCTGTCTCCAATGAAATTGATACTGAATAACTCTTTCCTCTTGTGCAGGTTGGAGGAGTTTTGAAAAAATTGTTTGAAGACAATGTAGTGAAACGGGAGGAGTTGTTCATCACTTCCAAACTCTGGTAACTTGTGTTTATTTGAATGCATAAATAATTATGTGAATTAAAAGTGTAGCTTTAATCTTGCATGTTCATATATTTTTTGTATCATCATCATCAAAAGGTGTACTGATCATGATCCTCAAGATGTACCAGAGGCACTAAACAGAACTCTACAAGATCTACAGCTTGACTACGTCGATCTCTATTTGGTAAGCATCACTTTGATTGAACTAATGTAACGTTCATAAAGGACACATTAATGTAACGTTTTTTTTGTGTGTGATATTCTTGAAGATCCACTGGCCTATAAAGATGAAGAAAGGTACTGTTGGAGCTGAGCCAGAGAACCTTTTGCCAGTAGATACTCCTAGCACATGGAAAGCAATGGAAGCACTCTATGATTCGGGCAAGTCACGAGCCATAGGTGTAAGTAACTTCTCGACCAAGAAACTAGCTGATCTCTTGGAAGTAGCTCGTGTTACTCCTGCTGTTAATCAGGTCGAATGTCATCCTTCTTGGCGACAAACTAAGCTCCGAGACTTCTGCAATTCCAAAGGGATCCACCTCACTGTAAGCATCACTCATCTCACCAATCGACTTTTTTACTTTCTTTGCCTTTTGCAACTATACCTTATACGGTTCTTGAATATTCTTGCAAGGCATACTCTCCACTGGGATCTCCAGGAACAACGTGGCTCAAGGGCGATGTTCTGAATAATCCGATACTGAAGACTGTTGCGGAAAAGCTCGGGAAGTCTCCTGCGCAAGTTGCACTTCGCTGGGGACTCCAAATGGGTAACAGTGTACTTCCCAAGAGTACCAGTGAAGGAAGGATAAGAGAGAACTTTGAAGTTTTCGACTGGTCAATACCCGATGACTTGTTCGCCAAGTTTTCAGAGATTGAACAGGTACGGCTTCATCGTTCTTTACATTTCATTACATAAACTTAGTTGCTCTGTTTTTTTTTTATTGGTTTGAAGTTCGAACTAAAGAATTAAGAGTTTATGTATTTGGATTAAATGCAGGTTAGGTTATTGCATGGATCCTTCTTCCTTCACGAAACGCTGAGCCCTTACAAGACTCTCGAAGAATTATGGGATGGGGAGATATGATATTCACAAGTGATCTATTTGTTTTTGTTTTGTCAGTAATGGGAGGTTTTTCTCTCTCTCTCTTAAACTCGGCAGTTTGTTCATGAATGTTTTAAGAAAGACATGCCACTCAAACAATTTAAAATCATATTCGATTCCTATTTTCAAATAATTTAAACAAGTTTTTGTTTATCCATTGTATACATTTGCAGTGTATACTAGTCACCTAAAACAGAAAATGTGACATTTTCATTGACATTTTCATTTATATGCTTGTGACTTGTGAGTGTACCAATCAAACCATACATTCACATTGCATAGAACTAAATAGTTCAAACGTGATCAATCCTAAATAAAGGTTTCATTAATCGAAACTGAATGTGTCAAACAAATTGCAACTTTGAGACGGCCCTTTCAAAATCTTGCATCGAGAAAAAGTAAGATAAACTTAAAAATTATAGGGATCATCATTCTTCTCTATGTCATACCAATTTTGAGATGGTACAGGAATGCGTTGACAAAGAGACTACTTTTAGAATTCTTTAGTTTTACAAAAAAATTCTTTGTAGTCGCGATGACTACGATCGATCTTATTAAACCCAAAATCGACACCAAATGACAAGAGCAATTTGCAATCATACAAATACGTGAAACCGAGACACATACATACTTATATCTTTATGCATGTAATGGAAAACAACACCAAATTAAGACAAACGGACAAGTAAAAAATTCATCAGAAAAGAAACATGCAATTCTTCATGCAGGATATTCTTCCCCCGCAACCATTGCAACTGCCACTTGCGCTGCTATCGTAGCACTTCCAGCTACTACAGCCTGGAAGGCTCCCAAAAATCCTCCCTTTTTCTTCTTTCCCTTACTTGAATCTGCTTTTGGTTCCGTTTTTGGAGAACCCGGGCTCATGTGCGGCTGCTGGTGATGAACACCACCATGAGGATGTGACCCATACGGACCCATTTGTGCATAGCCATAAGGGTTTCCTTGACCATAATGTTGCGGCGACGATGGCTGTCCATGTCCCGCAGGGTCATGCAGGCTTCTCTGCTTCGTGGTCGTCGTCACCGTTGCATCCGGAGACGAGGCATACATTGGAGTTGGACCATGTGTGCAAAGCGGGTGAGATTCAAAGCTGCAGTGCATGCACTTGTAGAACATCCCTTGGATGTAAACTCGGCAAACGTAGCACCCACGCTCGGTCATGTGCGTGGGACCGTTGATCAGGCTGAGCTCGTGATCAGGTGCGTGCCATGAGTATCTGAGGATTTGAGGACACGTGGCGCAATATTCGTGGAGATCGTAGTCGCAGTCGTTACACCGGTAGGTCTTGCCTGTACCGTACAGTTTGCAACCGTTACACGTGTATGTGCCAACCACGTTGACTTCGGTCAAGGGATGGTTATGCGAGAAATGTTGAACCGTGAGCCGTTCTGTTGACATCTCTCACCTGTTGTTTTGAGGGGGTTTGAAGTGGAGAGCGAAGGATTTTGTTTTTTTTTTTTTTGTTTTTTTTTTACACTTTAAGTTTTTGATCTTCTTGGTGCTTGCAAATATGCAATTATAGCCTTGTTGTGTTGTATCATTCATAAAAATTTAGTTGACTTTGGTGGAGTTGACTGATCATACGGAAGAAAATGTCACTCTTGATATCTATTTTTCTGTTTCAAATTGTTGATACTATATATGAATTTAAGTTGAAATGTTCTATTACACAACTGGTTTTCAATTGGGACGTGTCTTCAAGTTGTCAACCATTACCATATAGTTATCAATTTTTAATGAATGGATATATAAACTAAGCCGGCCGCTGTCATATTCTTTAACTCAAAACAATTATTTATATCTACTTGTTACTGCTTGAATCTACATTTTGGTTACTTTTTCATACAATTTTTTTTTTAAATGTATTTTTCTAATTTGTTTTCTAAAAACAATTTAAAACTATAGAAACAAAATGCTCATTTGAAATGAGAATATTAGGCCCAAGTCTCACTAACAATATATCATTACCCAAACTCTACTATAGCCAAACTCATTCATCTTGTTGTCTCCTTTCGAAAGACTATAAACCACACGGCCACACACACCAAATTAATTCTCTACGCTTTTCTCAATTCACACTTTATAGATCACTCTCACTCTCAGTGGCTGACCAGAAAAAAAAAAAGATAACTCTCAGTGTAGATTTCACGGGATACGTGCACGTCTCGTAGCTCTGATAATGGCTGAGGAAATCAGATTCTTCGAGCTCAACACCGGAGCAAAGATACCATCGGTCGGTCTCGGAACGTGGCAGGCCGATCCTGGTCTCGTCGGAAACGCCGTGGAAGCTGCTGTTAAGGTTCGTCAGTGATTTTGTGGCTTCGTGGTTACTGAACATAGAGTTTTAGGATCTATTGGATTGCCAGTTCTGTATAGCTAAATTGCTGATTCCTCTTTTGTGTTTGTTGAGTAAGTCAGCCAATTTACCTAAATTGAATTACAATTTAACCGGGAAAAACTGAAGATTCTTCTACTATGCAGATTGGCTATCGGCACGTTGATTGTGCTCAACTCTATGGCAATGAAAAGGAGGTAAGCTAAATCATCGTTAATTTCAAGAACATCTCATTTTTGTCCTCAACTTCCCTTTTATTATGATATATCTCTGTTTAGATGACCAAGAAATCTCTTGGAACAATGTTATTGGTCTTTATTTTACCAAGAACTATTTTTTCTTTATTTGTCCAGTTACAACTTCTTCCTCATGCAGATTGGGTTAGTCCTGAAGAAATTGTTTGATGAAGGAGTTGTTAAGCGTGAGGAACTTTTCATCACTTCCAAGCTATGGTATTCTGCATCAATTTGCTTTAAAAATATCTTCTTTTTAAAGTCTATGTAGCTCCTAACTTGTTTACGTGCTCATATGAAAGGTGTACTAATCATGATCCTCAAGATGTGCCAGAGGCTCTGAACAAAACTCTACAGGATCTACAGCTTGACTACGTCGATTTGTACCTCGTAAGTAATATAAAATATTAAACCTTGTCTTGTTTTCTAATTATCCATATTGGGTCGTGAACCTGAGCTGTGCTTTTAGATGTGGTTTGATCTACGTATGTGTTACTGCATTTGTTAAGAATCTTAGGACTAGTGTGAGAGATTTGCTAGAACATCTAATTCTCTTTCAATTGACTAGCAGTTTTTTGTGACCCTTTTGAAGATGCACTGGCCTGTTAGCCTCAAGAAGGGTTCTACTAGTATTAAGCCAGAGAATGTCATACCAGCTGATATTCCTAGCACATGGAAAGCAATGGAAGCACAATTTGACATTGGAAAGGCCAGAGCTATTGGTGTCAGCAATTTCTCCTCAAAGAAACTCGCAGGTCTCTTAGAAGTGGCTCGTGTCCCTCCTGCTGTTAACCAAGTGGAGTGTCACCCTTCATGGCAACAGACCAAGCTCAGAGATGTCTGCAAATCTAAAGGCGTTCACCTCTCAGTATGTATAACAAAAAACATTTCCATATCCTTTTTTTTGGAAAAGCTACAAAAGATCTTGCAAAAGCTAAACGTTTTAGTTGATATATTTTGTAGGGATATTGTCCGTTAGGTTCTCCAGGGACAACGGAGTTCAAGGGCGATGATATTCTGAAGAACCAGATTCTAGGCGTGGTTGCTGAGAAGCTAGGGAAGACTCGTGCACAAGTTGCGTTACGGTGGGGTCTCCAAATGGGTCAAAGTGTTCTTCCGAAAAGCACAAATGAAGATAGGATCAAACAGAATTTCGATGTTTTCAATTGGTCCATACCGGATGACGTGTTATCCAAGTTTGCTGAGATTGAACAGGCAATTGATTGCATATCCAAATAGATTCAAAAGGTTTCTCTGTTTTGCTACTAGGCTCGGGTTTATTAAGATGTGTGTTTTCAATGTTGCAGGGTAAGTTGATGAGAGGAATGCATTTTGTTCATGAGGCGAGTCCTTATAAGACTCTTGAACAACTTTGGGACGGTGAGATATGAGCGAGACTCATCACTTGTTGTGCCAAAATGCATTCACGGATTTGTCATTGATCAGTTTACGTATTAGTACTGCAACTTGTTTCTTACATATAGTTGTCCTCGTTATCCGAAAAAACGAAGAAGATATTGCTACCTCCAATTAGATTGGATTCCGAATCCATTGTTATGAACGTTAGATGCAAATGATTGTAGTATGTTGCTTATAGTTAAAGTACATATTGTAAACATATTGCAAAGAAAGAATCAAAACGCTACCATAAAGAAAGAAAAGAAAAAGTAATGACTTCTGTCACCGAAGTTTGCCGCTGGATGAAAACGGAATCCGGTATTAAAGAGTAAAGACGTTGTGGAGGTGCAGCGTAGGGAGAGCTAAAGAGGCGAGCCACCGAGAAAGACAGGACTCTGGTTGAAGCGCCCATGATCCGAGCCATGAACGCCCAATTCGCTGAATACAGCGAGAAGATGAAGGAAGTTATGAGTAGAAGATCGTTGGAGTTGTATAGGGATCTTTGCTATCCAAGAAAAGTATTGGCCAGGTTCTACGGTTCATTTATCTAACATTGTGATTTGTGAATAGTCAGTTCTTGACTTCTGTCGGAAAGAGGGAGTGAAAAGTAAACTTATCGAGTACGTTAAGGGACTTATCGGAGGTGAGACGAAGATTTACCCTCGACGTGACGTCGGAGTTAGAAGCGTAAAGCTGCAACGGCTCTTGGACACGTTGGGGAACCATTGTCTAAAGACACGTCCACGTTGGGTTTATGCTATTCGGAAGATGCATTTAATGTGAATGCTAGCCTAGCAAGCCAGAAAAAATTGTTTTGTTTTGTCACAAAACTTGTTTTAGCACTGTTCTTTAAATACGACGAATCTTTCATTTAAAGATTTTTATATTAGTTGTCGTTTCAAGTTTTAGCATCTAAAAAAACATTTAAATTTTCTATTTGTATATATACACATATTTTGGTATCATTAATTAACAATCTAAAAGAATAAAAACCAAAGTGAAACTTTTGTCAAAATTTTGCATTCAAAACAGATAATTTAAAAAAAAAAACAAAAAGATATTAAAACGCCGACTTATTTTTTTTAAAAAAAAGTAACATTAATAATAGAAAATGAGCACATTACAAAATGAAGTAAAAAGTAAGGACATACAATTTGGGCGAGTGGACAAAGCATAGAATCATGGAAGTAATTAAGCAGCAAAAAAGTTAAATAAATAGATGCAAGCAAATTTTAAAACTAAGAAGAGAAATCAAAGAAGCAAACAAGGAAACAGTGAACAAGTTAAGCATGTAAGGAAGCAAAGAAGAAAGCAAGCAAACAAGAGTGAAGTAAACAAAAGAGGCAAAAAGCAAAGGACAAAAAAACAAAGCAATGAAGGATTCAAGGAGGCAAATATGAAATATGCATGTGTATCCTGCATGTTTGGAGATTCAAGAAATCACGCAAGGCACCAAGAAAGTAAACAACAAATAAAAAAAGCAAGTAAAGAAGCAAAAATCAAGCACAAAGGAAACTAGTAAAAAATCAAAGAAGCAAAAATGCATGTGTATTATGCATGTTTGGAGATTCAAGAAATCACGCAAGGAACCAAGAAAGTAAACAACAAATAATCAAGAAAACAAGGAAGCAAGCAAAAAAGCAAGCAAAGAGGAAGCTAGTAAGAAATCAAAGAAGCAAATATTCATGTGTATCATGCATGTTTGGATATTCAAGAAATCACGCAAGGAAGTAAACAACAAATCAAGAAAGCAAGTAAAGAAGCAAGAAAGCAAGCACAAAGGAAGCTGGTAAGAAATCAAAGAAGCAAATAAGGAAACAATGTACTAAGTAAAAAGTTAAGCATGTAAGGAAGCAATCAAGGAAATATGGAACCAAAGAAGAAAGCAAGTAGACAAGCAAAGAAGCAAAATAAGCAAAAACCAAAGGACACACAAAAATAATCAAAGTAAGAGATGACGAAAATATGCAGTGTTCGGAGATTCAAGAGATGACGCTATCGAAGGAAATCAAGAATATTTCTGTCGATAGCATGGTTTTGGTCATGAGTACTTTGTCTATGAAATCTGCTAATCCCTATAAAAGAAAAGAGACGATCGTCAAACTAATAGAGCAAAGTGAAACACTACATTGAAGAACACATACCTGGGAGAAGGATCAAACTTCAGAAGCTAGAAGACGTCTTTTCAAGCAATATGATCTGCAATTAAGAGTGTGTCCCATTCGAGAAAACAGATCAAAAGCTGATAATTTGCAATATACTGTCAAAACCATCACAATCAAGGCCTCGCTTGTCTTCTATTGTAACCACCTCCGGTTCTTGGCTTTTCGCGTAACTTCAGCTCTCAAAGAATGACATGACTTGGTATTCCTCAGCTGGATACTTTGGTAGACTCATGCCTGCATGTCAAAGCACTTTCTCGAATGACGAGAACAAAACTTAAAGTGCACCTATCTCTGCAGATATTTTAACTAACCAATGAGTGTTTCTCTATTTCTATTAACCATTCGAGACCAGAACGTCCAGCACGAGCAGTTCTTCCCACTCTATGAATGTAATCCTATACCACAAAGTACATACGAATGTGTCTCTGTCTTCTCAACATCATTTCATTAATTCATAAGAAACTAGCTGAGAAAAAAGAATCAGGCAAACCTTTGGATCTGTGGGCATGGCGTAGTTAATGACCACATCAACGGATGGGATATCCATCCCTCTACTAGCCAAATCCGTACAAACCAAGATGTTGCATTCCCCTGATTTAAACTTATTCAAGGAATTTTCAAAAGAATTTTAAAGAGAATTAATCAAGTCATATAAATTTGAATTGTACTGTATCATTTTTACCTGGCTCATATGACCACTGATAGGATCGGCTCTAAATCCAAGGCTCCGAAGCGATAAAACTAGCAGTTTCACGAGTTCGGGTGAAAAACCATTGATATTGATTCAGGCATTTCACTCCGAATGTATACAAGATAGCTCTTGTGAGTTGTGACGATACCTTGAATTTAGAAGGAGCAAACAGATACTGCTGTTTTAGAGTATCAACAGTGGGATATTTGGAGACAGCTTCAATCTGAAAATAAGTAACCAACTATTATATCTACAACGAGGATAGATGCCGTGACAAGAAATCATTTTAAGTAATTTTACTCTTTACATACCTTGACAGGATTCCTCAAACAAGCCCTTTGAAGTTCTCGAACATACAAAGCCAAAAACAATCCTTCCACTCCAAGGAAATGCTATTAAGAGACAGTTAGGTCGATCAAGACAACAAAACTGTCAAGCAAGGTCAAGTGTCCCTACCTTTTGAGTCATAGTCGCTGAAAAAATAAACGTTTTACGGTCACGAGGGATCTCTTCCAAAATCCGGTTCATGTCTTTCCCAAACTCTGTATTCAGCAGTCATGTCCGCTTCATCAAGTACCTGTTGAAGAATGTTTTAGGTGAATATAAACAAAAAGATAAGATTTACCAGTAGAATGTACCAAATGTCAAAAAATATTTCAGTGTTTTCAGAGAAAAGCCTTTTGTCATGTTTTCAAATCTGCAATTCAGCTGTCATGACCTTGTTCTTACTTGCATCATAGGGTGGAGTATCAGCAATTCAGTGTCTCTTTCAACTTTTTTTCTCCTGAAGATTTAATAAAAAATAGTATATGATTAGTTCAAATATTGTCCTATTTAGTAGAACTAGTACATGTCGAATGTTTATCTCTTTGAATTCTGTTGACTTCTTCAACAAGAAAGATAAGTATGAATCTCCTTGGTGCAATAATGGAAGCGCAAGCACGTACCAAAAAAATCAGACTGGTGAAGATGTCAAGACAGAAAGAATGATTTTACAATAGACGATACCTTTGACGAAATTTGACTTTGATGCTCCTTCTTGAATAGACAGATAGACTCCTAGGATGGAAAAGAAGATGCCTTTGAAAATAAATTTTCACCAAACCACAAATGGTGTTAGGACTTGTAAAAAGTAAAGATTAGCCAAATGGTGTTTGCTTTAGTTCTCACCCGCAAGGCAAATAATGTAGTTACTTCTCCATTCTCTGGGAGGTCTATTTCCTTTTGATTTGTACATTGCATCTCTTGAGCACACTAGCTACAAGTAATGACGCGAAACAGAGATTAGCATCCTATAATGCTTTCAAGAGTAACCAACCAGTGTCTAGACAAAAACTTGAGCTGAAAAAGGATCATACTTTCATTATCTCGGGATCATTCCAAAGCCCCTTGTTGAATCGCATACATCCACTCTCATTCGCACACGTACAGTCTCTTCCAAGAAACTCAGGAAGCTCACTGTTTAAAGATAACAACAAAGCCTCCAAAAAACTGTGCAATAGCCAATGTAAACACCTCAAAAGTCCTGTATTAAGGCTTATATATATGGAAGATGTAATACGTGTATCTTAGAAGTAGTTTTAGGGTCGAGAAAGCCTTTCACTGTGTTCCAAATAAGATTGAATCCGCCTCCAGCGTTAACGATGTACATCTGATTCAATGTCTGTCTTCAGTGAACCAAAACCAGTGTTAGTGTTTTTCATCATTGTATAAGTTGACATTCAAATAACTTTCATACACCCACCTCAGGATAGTTGTCGCCATCAGTTTTCTGCATGCGCATTACAAGGTCCTGAGCTAATTTTCGAAAGCTCATCCAGCTCTGCATCAGAAGAAGCACTCACAAACTCAGGATTTGGTGTCCCTGAAACTGAAGGCTGAGAAAGGAATATAAAGGTACCAACCACTCCTGACACATCTATAATGGTCGTCAAAGAATTTATATGCCTCTTTGCTGCGATCGAACAAGCTGGAAACTTCTCAGCAAAAGTCTTTTCGAAACCTTGTACATGTAACCTTCATCAGCTTGGAAGGATCAATTTTACCAAGCCGTTCAATGTAGACAGGACGTCCTTCTCTGTCTACACCATGGTAACCATGTGGATAGTATTGGTGTACTTCTTCGTACTCATCATAAACAAAATCCTGAAGAATGATTAGATCATTTGCCATGTTAGTAACAGCATAAACCCCATGTTGAAAGATTCTTAGAGAAAGTCTTTTAAGTTTTTAAGGTTTTTTGTAGCAACTAATTAAATTACTCGAAATATATTAGGACTTCTAGGTTACTATATTGAATGTTGTGTAGAAATATAAACGCAAGCACGTACCAAAAAATCAGACTGGTGAAGATGTCAAAACAGAGAGAATGATTTTACAATAGACGATATACCTTTGAGGAAATTTGACTTTGATGCTCCTTCTTGAATATACCTTAACCACCACAGTTTGAACAGATAGACACCTAAGATGGAAAAGAAGATGCTTTTGAAAATAAACTTTCACCAAAACCACAAAACTTTTGCAGTTTCAGTAAAGTGGACAAGATAAGCCAAATGGTGTTTGCTTTAGTTCTAATAACTACCGCCTAGAAGTGGAGGATAATTATACTCATCTTGGTTTTTGCTTTGGCCCTACTGTCAGCTCAAGCTTCACACGTCTGCAGATTAATAAGATCCAAAAGTTGCCTTCCATATACCTAAAAACGCATCATAGGTAAACTGAAGTTTGACTGGACTCGTTGAAACCATTGTTCATGTGGTTATGTATGTATGTAAACGAAATGTATTATGTATGTGGTCCATGTGGTAGCGAGATTGATGTGGACAAAGACTTTGACGCTTATGAGTGTCCATTTTCAAACAGTAACCTATAACTTATTCTAAAACAAATACATAATAAATATCATGTAAGCTAGATTGATAAATCGAGCTAGACCAAGTAAAGGAAAGGAAGTACTGAATCAAAGAAGAATGCAAGGAAGCAATTAAGGAAGAAGAAAAGTAGAACATTAATCAAGAAAGCACACAATTAAGCAAGCAATCAAGGAAGAATGTAAACAACATTAATCAAGAAAGCACACAACTAAGCAAGCAATCAAGGAATAAAGTAAACATCAACGAATCAAGAAAGCAAGTGAAGAAGCAAGAAAGCAAGAAATCAAGAAAGCACGAAGGAAAGTGAATAAGCAGGAAACCAAGAAAGGAAGCAAGGAAGCAAACAAAGAAAAAAGCAAGTACAGAGGAAGCTAGTAAGGAATCAAAGCATACAATAACGAAGGAACTAAGTTAGCAAGAAAACCAAACATATATGGAAATCAATAAAGCGAGTAAACAACAAAGTATGGAAGCAAATACGAATTTGCTAATAAACTTGGAAATACAAAGAGGGAGAAATTCGAATTGGCTGATTGATTAGAAACTAAAGTTATCACAAATTGTGAAGACAAATCAAACATTACTATCTCTGATGATCAGTCAATGACAGTACACCATGTTCGACTTGTTTTCACATTATGCAATTACACTAAAAGTTTCCAAAATCATTCAGATAATTCGAAATTTCTCTGCCCAATGTGGACGTTACTTTTTTTTTTCCTAAATCAGATGAATCGAAAACCGTCGGAAGAGAATCAGACCAACCTAATCAAAGCCCAAGATCGCATAACCCTAAATTTTAGGAATCCATGATTCATATCTCGATCCAGAAATCGAGCGACGATATTACGGAAGAAGATTATAAGAGGCGCGATTCTATTTTAGAGAACAGAGTCCGACGAAGGCGATAACACACACACAGCGAGACAAAAATAAGAACAAAATCGCTAAAGGAAAACTCCAGAAAGAAAGCGTGAATCATATCTCGATTTCTTCATCTATTTGGCCAGAAAACGAGAGGAAATGTGCGATTCAATTCGAGAATACAGCTCTGACGAAGACGATAACACAGAGAGAAGAAGAAAAAATCGCCAAATTAAAAAGTTCAAAAAGCAAAATGGGAATCCAAAGTTACCGATCACGGAGAGTCGGAGACGGAGGGAGAGAAGAAGACTCAGGGGATGCTCGCTTCTCATCGAACGGCTATTTTTTTTTTTTTCTTTTTTACAAATATGGAAAATGTTCTTCTTCTTCCGTTAAATCGGATACTTATAGAGGAGCTCCGTACAATTCAAAATTTGAATATAGAAACGGAAAGGCCCAAACAAAAAGGCCCATGCACAGATTTTAGGATTTGACACACACACGTCACCCTAAAATAAAATTAAACCGTTGTCAAAAATTCAAAATATATAGAGACCGAGATTTTATAAAGTTCGGTTTAGAAAGACGTTCTAACCAATTTTGCAGAGTAAATAATATGGTTTGGTTTGGTTCAAAGACTAATCTAAAAATTAAACCGAGGATAAGTAGCTAATGTATGATATAACATCTGAAAGATGAAATAATGTGATGTATGATGCAACTTCTCAAAGATGACATCTTTTTGACATAACAATTCAAAATGACATCTTTTTGACATAACATCTCAAAAATGACATTTTTTAAAAAACATCTCAAAGATGACATAGTATGAAAGAAAGATATAACATATATATGTTTGATTTGTTTCTTACATTTATTGTAGAAAACGAAAAAGAAAGCAAGCATTAAAAAAAAAAAAAACAGAGAAATAAGCCACATATATAATGGCAGGGACGTTAGAGACGTGCCAATTCAAAACCCGCCGAAAAGAGCCTCAGAGACCGGCGCAGCTATGATATTGCAGACAACCCCAACCGTTAGAGCCATCAGAATCCCAAACATTCTGCTTCCTATACTCGGGCTAGAGCCTTGAACCTGACCTTGATTTGTATATCCCTGATTCTGATTGTAATAAGGCTGGTACGGGTGAAAATACGGTTGCTGTCCATAACACCTTTGCTGAATCCCCCTCGCTGCTACTGATGATGCTGACGTATCAACGCATTCCATGTGAACATCTAACCGGCATGGACCGCACTTGTACCTCCAAGATCGGATCGCACCGTGGCAAACCATGCACGTGTTGCTCGCTCCCCAATGGCTTAGCTCTAAAGGATGGGCCGAGTGATGCACGTGACTCACGTGCTGAGGCAGCTTCGTGCAGATTGGGTGGACGTCGAAGCCGCAAGGCTCGCAGTGGTAGTAGAGCCCTTCGGTTGGTTCGTCGCATATGTCGCACATACGTCTGTTGTTCTGGTGCGTATGCTCTGGTCTTCTGAAGACTAGTCGGAGCTTGTGCTGTGGATGCATAAAGCTGAGGAGGGTAGATGGACACGTGGCGCATTGATCGTGGAGATTGTAGTCGCACCAGGCGCAACGGTAGGTCTTCCCAAAGCCGTAGGTTTTGCAGGCACCGCATGTGAACTCGCCATATCCGTCAACTTTCGTTAATGGATGGTTATGGGTGAAATGTTGGACTACGTGCTGTTCTTGCGTCAACGAAGACATATCGTAGTTTTTCTTTTTCTTGTTCTTGAGAATGGTTTAGATTTGGGAGAATGAGTGATGGTTTTAATAGCACTTGTTTTCAGACGACCATTCCCAGACAAAACTTGTTTGGCAAGTAGACTACTTGAGTATAAATTTTTGTTTAGACCATATCAAACAAATAATTGTTTCTGTTTAGTTGTTGTTATGTATATAAAACATTTGTTCACTTGTTCTCCAAGTATATTAACTTTAACTCAGTCGTTTATAAATTCTGAGAACGTGGCAAAGCAGTTTAGTTGAGTTTGGCTCGTTGATTAAGTGATTGACCATATTATATTATGGTCAATTTGATCTTTTTTTTTGGTTTTGCGTTTCAGGGGGTGATTGGTTGTTGCTCTAGCTTATTTTTTTTTGCTGTAGAGTTTTTGCTTTATGTTTTATGGCTGTGGCTGTAAAATTGTTGCTTTAGGATATTGATTGCAGGATTTTAGTAAAAAAGGAAATAGGTAAATATGGAAAATAATAATAAAAAAAAAAGTAAAGAAAAAAATAATATATTTGGAAAGAATGAAAGAGAGAGAAAAAATAAATTCAGAGCCTTTAAAATTATGCTCTAGACATTTTGCTCTGCAAAACTAAAAAAGGAAGAAAAAATGAAAGAAATGAAAGAAGGCTGTAGGTTTTAAAGAAAAAGTATAGAGCATGATTGGTGATCTATTTGGCTTTAGAATTTATTTTTGCTCTCTACAACTTCTACAGCCACAACCAATCACCCCCTCAGTTTTTTTTTTTTTTTTTTTTTTTTTTTTTTTTTTAACGTAGGAGTTTTTTTTATATTTTAAATAATAACATTATAACTTACGAGTTTTTGGTTCCATTGCCATCTCGGACCTGAAATTCTATGTAGATAAATCATGTGTATATATCATTTTTTAGTTGATTTCCTCATTGGATAGCAATTAAATCTTCAATGAACATCCACCATAAAAACAAAAAAACATGTCTTTGGTGTGCTTTCTTTCGAATATATTCCAATGATCGAAGAATGGAACATGATAGATCGCAAATATTAATTTATTTTATTTTTTGATCGAGTCATCAGATTAGAAGTAAATCATAGTTCAATCTGTTGTTAGAGAATCAGTAACTACTCCATGGTTATTCCTCAAACATTTGTACTCCATGGTTATTCACTTATTCCTCAAGTAGTAAACCATAGCTCAATCTGTTATGACCGTTTCAAGAACCTAACGTCTGTTACTTACAAGTTACAACATTGGCCTACATGCCTCCGATTGGTTTGCCTTTTTCTTTCTTTTTCTTTTTGGTGAAAGATAGGTTTGCCTTATCATTATAAAAAAAAAACAAGATAGGTTTGCCTTATCAACCCATGATTAGTGTTTTTTTATTACTCCTGTCGACTTTTTGATACGTTAAAAAAATATAACTTTTTTTTGTATCCATACAGTTTTTTTTCCTAAACAAATATATTCATCTAAACTATAGTGTTACAATAGTCAATGAATGAGTAGTACTTTTAATATTTTGTATTTATTTGAAAATAAAATTTGGCCAATTATGTATTACCGTTAACATATATACTATATACAAATCAGTAGGAGAAATAGCAAACTGACACAAAATACTTTTGTCAAAAGTTATGAATGGTTTTTATTTTGTTGAAGAAGTTTCCGTGTTTTTAGTCCATAAAAAGACTGAACTGGTGATTTTAAAACTTATGTCTTATCACACAAGTAAGGTTATAGCTGCTGGATAAAAGTTGAATGAAACACATAGCAGGCACACGAAATAAAATAATACATGTTTGCGTTTTTTCGTAAAAATTCAAAACTCACGCAAAGAGACTTTCAATGGAAACCCCAAACAGTACATTAGAAACCACCCCAATTGTTAGCTTCGATGCAATAGTAAACATTCTCCAGCCCTTACTTCGACCCGGCTTTTGACCCGCTCCGGCCGCTGGTACTCGACCCGGATTCATATTGAACCCATTCATGTGACTAAAGTTGTTAAAATGATGAGGATGATTATAAGGTTGTTGACCCATCGGTCCATGCGCATAATAAGGGTAGCCAAAATGTGGTTGTTGACCCATCGATCCATACGCATACGGGTAACCAACGTGCGGTTGTTGCCACGGTGCCGATGATGATTGTTGTCCTCCCTGTGGCTTGAGCCCTCTGCTTTGAGTACCCGATGCGTCAGTCTGGTCAGAAGGTGACGTGTTGCACACGGCTAATATACACTCCATATGAATATCGAACCTACATAACTCACACCTATACCTCCAAGATTGGCACGGACCGTGACAAACCATACACGGGCTAGCTCCTCCGAGGCGAAACTCCAAATGATGAGCAGGGTGAAGCACGTGCCTCACGTGCTGAGGCAGCTGCGAGCAGAGCGGATGCACGTCGAACTCGCATAGCTTGCATCTGTAGAACAATCCCTCGACCGACTCGTCGCAGATGTCGCACACGCGTTCGTTCTGGCGCGTGGACTGTTGTTTACGGACGACGAGGCTGAGCTCGTGGTGGGGATGAATGAAGGTTGGGAGGGTGAGTGGACACGTGGCGCAGTATTCGTGGAGATCGTAGTTGCATGGTTCGCAGCGATAGGTGCTGCCTGAGCCGTAGGTTTTGCAGCCGTCGCAAATGAAGTCACCGATGCTGTTAAACTCCGTTAGTGGATGGATATGCGTGAAATGCTGAACGGTGCGACGTTTTGGTGTCCTTGGAGCCATATTCTTTACTGTTTTTGGTGTTGTTGTTGGAACTTGGAATATAACAAAACTTATTTTGGATTTGAAATTGAGAGTGGTATATGTATAATCATGTTGACCATTGTGACAGAGTGTGTGACACCGTTTATTAGTTGACTTTTCACGAGTTGACTGACCAAAAGAGGTGGAACTGATCTCTTCCTCTTTTTTTTTTTTTTTTTTTAACCGTGGGGATCCTAAAGGCTTTCTAGGTCCAATTGATCTCTTCCTCTTCATTTTTGTTTAATGTGCATATAGAATTACACAAACTTTTTAGTGATATATAGGTTAGTCCAACATATACAATAACGTATTATATCATCAACATGCTTAGTGATATTTTATGTACTAATGTTTTATACCAAGTCCAGTTAGTTATACCTGTTTTAAAAAATTATTTGAGTTATACACTTGACTGGTTTTAACGTAGTTTTATTTCAACTGTTGATTTAATTAAGTCTAAGATACAACGACAAAAGAAAAAGAGCGGAATTTCAAGGACTATAAACACCAAGGTTATGAAGACCATACTTTATCAAACATGTCAAGCATGGTTATGCTTTGATGGAAGTTTGGTTAATAGGGTTCAGTAATGACAGTGCAGATCCAGATTAAAATCACGATGCCCCGCATTAAATGCTAGCATGTATGACTCTTTTTTTAATCTTTATTTTTTTTGTAACAAAACTAAGCATATACAATCGTTGCCAACGTTCGTTCCCCCGAAACTTTTGACATTTTGTCTACCAATACGCTCTTTTTGTTCTGAAACCGCTACCAATCCACTCTATATAATTAAATTTACTGTATACAGTAATTAATTTAAATTAGGTGCAACAAGTCAATTCTATCTTAACACATGGAAATAAAAAGAAAAATGCTTCCAGCTACCCAAATCTTCGGCATGGAACTCAAAACCACCATATCTTCCATTACATCCTCTATCCACGCAATTTTAATCCTCACAATCCAACGCTCAAGTCATAAATGAAGGTTGGTCCCGTGCCAAGGGAAACTATGGCTCAAAAGCCGGAACTTCATGGTTATGAGTCATAACTTATGACAGTACTTGATTTTGGAGTACTTCTTGAAACGAAAGTTAGGGTGGTCTTGGTCTCTATAGTTAATACAATACACATTCGCGATATGGTAACTTTTGCGGGTTCTATTTGTCTATTATACTCACTTTTTATTTTATTTAAAAAAAAATTGCCTCAGTCAATAGGAAGTTATAGGATTTACTTGACGGAGTCCTATCACGCACTATCATCATATCAGGGATATGATAAATATATGAAGAGCACAAGAAGATAACTACTTTCTTCTTGTGGTTCGGTTCATGACTTGGTCTCATCATCAAGTAAGATGGCGTACATGTATGCATAAATCAGGTAAATTTGTCTTTGGTCAAAATAACAATTTATTTCCACTTTCCGATGATTTAGTTTGGCCTTAAAACATTAGTCCAAACTGCATCATTGATAATTTGATTGAATGCTATTACTGTATTACCTGATTTTTTTTTTTTTTTTTTTTTGATAACCGTGGGGATCCTAAAGGTTTTCTAGGCCCAAAGACTAATCCCACGAGGCCCACGGCAGTCCGCGTATTCTTACCATTTAAGGCAGTCCGGGTGGCCAAGGGAACTCGAACCCAAATGACGGAAGTCACATCTGTGACCCCTTTACCACTGGGCCACGAGGCCTTGATTTACTGTATTACCTGATAATAATTAATATATAGCATCATGAAGAATAAAATTATTGGTCACATATATTAGGACACCAAACGAACTTCCCAAGAACTACAAAAATAAACTTAAATAATATTCAACAAATCTTATTAATTCACAAAACTAAGAAACTACACAGAAAACAAATACTAGGAATTTTACGAACATATAAACTTTTTTTCTAAAATGATATGAAACACCGAATTGAAGCTCAGCAACCTCCTCCGCCTCCTCCACCGCCCCCTCCATCACCCCCACCACCGCCGCAACCAAAGCCTCCACCACCATCACCGCCGCCAAAACCTCCACCACCACCACCAAACCAGCCGCCACCTCCCCCACCACTATTCCAAAACCATCCACGACCCCCAGAATAACCCATACCTCTTAGAGCTCCATGACCCCCGTAATAACCAAAACCTCTTACACCTCCATGATCCCCGGAATAACCAAAACCTCTTAATCCTCCATCTCCGCTGCTGCCATGCTCTCCTCCTCCACCTCCACCGTCATCACCACCCCCATCTTTTTCCCTGCCTCCTGCCAAGGCCACAATAACTATCAAAACACCAACACAAGAAGCAATAGCTATGATGATTATTACCCAAGTCTCCATCCTAAGAAAAATTTCTACATAAATTTAATTATCCCCGATAACATGTACTGTATATATAGTGTCTCCCTGAGGTTTTCATATGGTCATATAACGTGTTAAGTTTGTATTGACTTAGGATTTTATTATTCATATATGCTAATTTACATGTTCAAAGTTCTCATTACGTGTAAAACTTGAGAAACAAGTATGCTTTCTTTGATGCAACTACGATAAATCTTTTACTGAAAAATTTATTTACGTAACCTTTTGTTTTGGTAAAGAAGAATATATGTAATTTAGGTAGTTTTTTTTTTTTTTTTTTTTTTTTTTTGCTAGGAATGTTAATATTCATTAATGAAACGTTTAGGGAATACAAAAGATATTTCCTAGTGCATAAGCAACCTTGGCAAAAAAGGATTAAAAAACAAGGTTACAGAAAGGAAAAGAACTTGAAGTTCTTAGATTATCTAAGCCAAAGGGTCATGAGACCATTGAAACGCCTCCTCTTCCTTCTAGCCGTGATAGTGTTGATGATTTCTCGGTAAATCGCTTTCGAGATGGTTTCCTGAGGAATGTTACATCCATTGTGAATGATATTGTTCCTCTGTCTCCAAATATGGTACACCACTGCTTGAGCCACAATCTTCCGCAATAAAGTTGGGGCTCTGTTTGAGTCGTTTCGAGTCCAAGAGAGTATCTCAGACCAATTTTGAAAGTGTCTCGGTCTGGGATTGATTTTCTGGAGAGCACTCGACCAGATTAGCTTGGAGAAAGGGCACCGGACGAACAGATGATCTCTTGTCTCCACTTCTCTGCCGCAGAAGCAGCAGTCTGCATGTTGAATGATGCCCCACGAAGCTAGTCTCGCTCTTGTTGGTAAGCGATCAAGCTGGGAAATCCACATATTAAAAGCATGCTTAGGGACTGCCCCCTTGAACCAAACAGAAGAAGACCACTGCTTCACCTCTGATCTCGGTCGCATCACTTCCCATGTTTTATAAGCATCATATCCCACACATATTTCCTTGTTTACCATCCAGCCATAGTAGTCATCACGCATAGAGGCGGCTGGGACCGGGATCGTAGTCAGGTGGATATGCAGAGCTACTTCAAAGTCAGATCTCGGTTGCGACAGATTCCAGGAGCCAGAGGCGCATACCTCTGAGACCTTTGCATTAATGGGGATTCGCAGATTCCTTGGTCCCTGGTCTCCTATGACTTCTAAGAGAGGTCCAAGCGGCGTCCACCAATCAAACCAGAAGCTCGTGGTCTGTCCATTGCCAGTCATCGTTATCAAAAACTGCCTTGCTATTCCTCGCAGCTTTAGAATTGAGTTCCAAGAGGCAGAGGCTCTCACATTCTCTTTTATGCTCCAGAAAGATGCATCTTGGATGTAGTGGTGTTTGTGCCAAGAACTCCATAGCGTGTCTTTACCAGAGAAAAGCAACCAAATGAACCTCAAGCAAAGAGTTTTATTCCAATCAGCGAAGCGTCTCAGCCCTAAACCACCTTCTGATTTCGGTAAGCAAACCGTTGACCATGCCACTTTAGCTCCTCGCGAAGAGTCAATGGTTCCTGTCCACAAGAATCTCGCGCAGAGAGATTCTATCTTTCTAATGCACCCTTTAGGAAGCATGAAAGTCGAGATCCAGAAATTCACGGTACCTGAAATAACTGAAGCTATCAATTGAGCTCTTCCTGCGAACGAGAGAGTTTTAGCTGCCCAGGATTTAAATCTGCCTCTTAGCTTGTCCATTAACGGCTCATACTCGATGGTCTTCAGCTTTCTATGCATTAAGGGTAGCCCGAGATAACAGATTGGTAAAGAACCAATTGTGAAACCGTAGTCCCCAAAAGCTGAGGCCTCATTCTGAGTAACACCTGCATGAAACAGCTGTGTTTTGTCTTTATTCATCCGCAAGCCTGACCAAGAAGCGAAATCATCTAATGTTTCTGCAATCCCATGCAGGGAAGACGTTCCTCCATCGAAAAACACCATAACATCATCTGCAAACATTAGGTGTGAGATGTTTAGCTCCGCGGTTCTCGGGTGATAGTGAATATACCCTGCGTCGAAGCGCGATTGAAGCAACTTCGAAAAGACCTCCATAGCTAGGACAAAGAGGTAAGGGGAGAGAGGGTCTCCTTGTCTTAGCCCCTTTGTGCTTTTGAAGAACCCTCCCGAGTTTCCATTTACCGAGACAGAGAACGAAGCTGTCGAGATGCACTGATCAATCCAATTTACAAAACATGTCGGCATGCCTATAGCCTTGAGCGTGGCCGTAATGAAATCCCATCTGACCGAATCGAATGCTTTCCTGAGGTCCACTTTCAACATCCCTCTCGGCTCAATATTTCTCCAGTTGTACCCATGAACAATCTCTGTGGCGAGAAGAACGTTCTCTGCAAGTAGTCTACCGGGCATGAACGCAGACTGAGAAGGAGATATGATGTCAAGAAGCACCGTCTGCAGTCGCGAGACAAGCAGCTTTGAGATCACTTTGTACACCGTGTTGAGGCAGGATATTGGCCTGAAATCCGAAGTAGACGAGGCGTTTGAGATCTTTGGAATCAACACCAGCGTTGTAGAGTTCCATTGCCGAAGGAGCTTCCCTGAACTGAAAAATTCTTTCACCGCCTCTGTTACTTCTGGACCTACAATAATCCAACAACCAGTGAAAAACTCTGCCGAGTAGCCATCGGGGCCGGATGTTTTATTTCTCGGTAGCTCAAAGAAGGCTGTTTTGATGTCCTCTGACGAGAAGTCTGCCTGAAGAAAAGACTTCTGCACGTCGGAGCATCTGTATGGCAATAGAAGATCAATGTCCTCCTGAATAAACATTTTCTGGCTCTCTTCACCACCCAGAAAGTTTTGGAAGTGCTCCACACAGTGCTCTCTGATTCCCTGATCTGTTTCGATTCGTTCCCCATTTTCATCCACCAGAAAATGGATATGATTAATCACTTTCCTACCCGCTGCCACTCTATGGAAGTAAGCCGAGTTAGAGTCTCCTTCTTTCAACCACGTGACTCTAGACTTCTGACAGAGAAACGCTTCTTCTGCCGCGGCTAGGACTCCCCAATTTTTCTGAGCATTTTCAGTTGAGGGATCCGCGAGCACTCTACCTTGAGTAAGAAGCAGTCTTTCATGAGCCTCCTCAGTTCTCTTCTCTATTCCTGAGAAGTTCTGTTTGCTGAATTTTCTGATGATGTTTTTTAGTAGCTTCAGCTTACGGGAGACTCTGAACATTGCCGATCCAAAAATAGAGCAAGAGAACCAGTGATCGGCTATTATTGGGAGCAACTCCTTGTTCTGCAAGAGAAAGTTAAAGAACTTGAACGGCCTCTTCTGGTGGGTTGATCCATGATCTAGAACGACTCCACATGACGCATGATCCGAGAAATCAGGTTCCCCAAAGATCGCATAGGAAGCCGGGAACAGATTCATCCAATGTTCATTGATGAGAGCACGATCGAGTTTTTTTGCCACCGGTCTAGAACTTGACTTATTCCACCACGTGAAGGTCTCACCTTTGCAAGTCAAATCTGAGATATCCGCATCATGAAGGGAGGTTCTGAACTCCATCATTCGAGAATCGAGTTTCTGAGCTGCGTATATGGAGTGTTCATGAGGGTTTAGCGTCTGGTTAAAGTCACCTTGAACTAGCCACGGCTTCCCAACCACTCTACTGTCCACTGACATCTCCTTTATCTCTTTCCATAGCAATCTTCTCTCTACTTCATCATTTGAAGCATAGACAACAGAAATAATTATCCAACTTGTAGATACCGGAAGCATGACCTCACAGGTAATCATCTGCAACGATTTAGCGAGAATCACCACTCTAACACTAGGATGCTACACCACCCAAATCTTTCCCAACGCCAAAAATAGATAGTTATCTACAAGAGACCAGCCAGGAAGCAACTTATTAACGAACTTCAAGTTCTTCGGCTCCTTGACGTGAGTCTCAATAATACCTCCAAAAACAGGTTTGTTCACCTTTAGCCACTTTTTAAATCCGCTACGATGGCTGCATATATTAAAGCCGCGGACATTCCAAAAAAAGATACTACACATAACTTATGTGGGTTTGGGGCTCTTGCCCCGAGATCTCTTCTTCTGCCTAGAAGACAGAACTTCCGTGAAACCCTCATAATCTTCTTCTAAACTGTCATACCTCTCTGATTCTGAAGAGGGAACATCAGACGAATCTGCTTCTACTTCGGATGACTGTGCAGACGGAACCTTCTGGACTTTTGGAATCCATTTCTGTTTTGCACTTGTTTCCCCTACAAATAGCTTCCCAGTTAAACCAGAACCTGACACCATTACCAGCTGGCCGCATTCTTTACTCTGTTCTTTTCCCTTAGATTTAGAGCGGCTGCGACCTCGCTTCTTTTTCGTAGGAAGCTTGTTTATTGCTCGAGGACAGTTGGAGGAGTCACGAGCGGTGGAGTTACAATCAGCACATGTAACTGGAGCAAGCTTACAACGCTTTATTGTATGCCCAATTCCTTTGCAGTGACTGCAAATGGGAGGCATCCATGGGCTGGAGACAAGGACCCTGCAGATTTCACCTGAATCAAATTTGACGTTGACAGCTTCAGGCAACGGTTTCCTTGGATCAATAATGGTGAAGACTTTGGCCACCTCCAGGTTTGTTTTGTTTGCAGTGGAGGGGTGGAGACATTTGGGTTCTCCAACTAGGCTTGCTATGCGTTCTAACGCCTCATCATTGAAGCATCAATAGGGGACCTTCCTTAGCTCCAGCCAGATAGGGGCTGAGGTAAGCTCCGGTTTCATCGGGATTACTCCTGGTTCCCATTTGCCGACGAACATGGTTGGACCCTCGATCTGCCATAGTCTATGGGTAAGAATTCTGTTACGAGTGGCCGAGTTGGGTATCCTGAAGAGGAAAGAGAATCCTTCCATCTTTGATACTGTGATGTCCCTGTAGTTCTTACTCCATATCCCATTTACGATGTTGTGAATCGTTCCTGGTGATGGTGGGTCGGAGTAGAACTGTCCAAGCACAAAAAATTTCCACGATTTCTTGCTTTTTTCAATCAGAGTGTCGGGGATACTAACACAGGCTTCTCCGGAAGCTAGATTGAAAGCTTTACCCTTTTTGCTAAGCTTTTTTGCAGGACCTTTGAATAGGTCTGACCACAAATTTGCTTTGGCTGCAGGGTTGACTGGGTCAGCTACTGGCGTAGCGTTCGCAGAGGGTTGAGCACTTTCCGTCGCCTTCCCCTGCTCCTCAGGAGTGACGTCAGTAGTGTCGTTGTTGTTTGACAGTCCCGGGTCCGTAGATTGCTCTTCTAACCCAGAAGTGTTGATTTCAGGCTGGATCTGGGAAACTGTTGTCTCGACCAGATCTGAGGGAATTTTCGTATCTAAAGTCGGCTGAGCTTTCGCAGCGGCCGAGATAGACGGGGGCGAGGACTCAGGCGAGACCGGAGGGCGGGATTCCATTTCAGATCTGAGAGGAGAGCTGTTAGGAGATCTCGAAGAGGACGCGGATTCGGTCGAGCCCGAACCCGGAGAGGACGAGTCAGGTTTCTTTTTGGGTTTTTTCTTCCTCATGAGGAGAGGAGGGCCTAGAAAAGGAAGAGGAACTGGCTTCCGACGCCGTGAGAGACGCCGGCGGATAAACGCGAAGGAGGACACTTTTTCGCCCTTTTGAGAGAGATATAACTATGTTTTTGACTGCCTGCAAGTATTTAGGTAGTTGTATGTTTTTCTAAGGATTTAGATGGATTGACATGAATTCAAATTGCGTTTTACGTTAAAACAATGTGACGTATTTCTGACGGTCTTGACCAGATCCAAACATGAGAAGAAGAGTGCAAGGCCGAAGCTTATAAAGTGCAAAAGAATTTGACTACAAGTAACTGACAAATAATCAACAAATCTAATACACACTATTCAAAATTTATATGCTTCACAAAACGAAGATTTTAAACAAACAAACAAATACTTGGAATTTTCCGAACAATAACTTTTTCTGGAATGATAAGAAACACCGAAGCTTAGCAACCTCCTCCACCTCCTCCACATCCCCCTCCACCTCCGCCTCCTCCACCTCCTCCACCTCCACCTGCACGACCACCACCTCTATTCCAAAATCCGATATGCCCCCCAAAATTACCTCCACCCTCACCTATTCCTCCACCTCCTCCATAATGAAAAACCCCACCTTTGACCATGCCCAAGACCGTAACAAGTATAAAGAGACCAAATAAACACAGCAAAAAATACGGGATTTAACGTCAGTTAAATAAAGTCAGTTTAAGAACCGACGGCAAATAAGATAAAGTGATGTAACTTAACGTTAAAATGTTAAGTGACGTAAAATCCATTCATTTTATTGTTATCATTTAAATTAATTTAAAAAAAAATAACATTTCAGAAATAATCATTTTTCTCGCTTTGCATCTGCGAATTCGATTTCCCCATAAATTTCAGTCATTCTCGATCCTTTAGTTTCAATCGTTCTCGATCCTTTGCATCTGAATCTTCATATGCGAATTCGTCTGATCTTCTTTGTCTACTCCGAAATCTCCAGATTGGAGTGAAATTTGGATCATGAGGCACCATTCGTCAATTCGTCATTCTCCGATCAAATTCGTCGTTCTCTTCTCAAAGTGCTCTTAATAAGGTAGATATTTCGTTGGGTTTAGTTTTGTTTCCGATTGATCCGCCTAATTATAGCTTTTTGAGAATTTCAATTTGTGATTTGTGAATAATCTTTTGTTAAGGGGTTTCGGCGAAAATTCTCAATTTCGGAGGTGACGTGACTTGATTTCTGCAATTCAGATTTCAGAACACTGTAAGTTTTCAACCTTCGTAATTCGGTTTGATTGGTATTATGTTCTCATTTGCTCTTTCTGTAGTTATGAAATTTGTAAATCTGCAGGGCTTCTGAATTTTGAATTGATGAACTTAGAATTACATGTTTTCTTCATAGAGTAATCACTACTCCATTGTTATCAAATCTAGTTCATGTTCAAGTATGTTCTTCTGTTGCTTTAGTATCACTTCATGGTAGATGGAAGTAGATGAAACTGCTAATTAAGACTTTGATTCTTTTTTTTTCTGTGTTTCAGAAAATTCCAAGGAGCTATGCAGATTGTAGCCATGGCAGAAAGTGTGGTAATGAGCATGTTTTATATGTATTTCAGTTTCATTACACATCATTTTGATTTGCTGCTTACTCATAGTCACTTTGACTTTGGCAGATCTATATGAACATGGACAATTCCTCACATAACTATTGGATCCGGCCCCTGATTCGAGAATGGGCTCAGTTTTGCATTTTTCTCTACATTAGGTAAGTTCTTGTCTCACTTTTTGATTACTGAAAGAGAGATTTTTGTATACTCTTTACAAATGAACCCCCTTTTTAATCAATTGAAGTATAGCTTGGGGTTCTTTGTCAAATCCAGTAAGGTCAAGAGACATCAAGAATGCATGAAACATAAGTGAGCTAAGCAAATTCGAAATGGTTTTGTTTTAACAACCTAAATGAACATAAAGCATAAGATAAAAATGCAAGAGATGAAAGAAATGCAAATGGAGGCACTTGGGATGAGGGTCATTGACCTTGGGAGATTCTCAAGTCAGTTTATGATGCTCAAACAGTTTAATGATTGCTAATCCTTAGGCAAAGAACTCATTAACAAGACTAATCCACTCTCATGGTACTAATCACTTTGCTAATTACCAATTTCAAGAACTAATTCTCATTAGTGAAATTGATAAAAGCAAGCATAAGATTCAGTTCTAGAAAGCCAATAAACACCCTAGACAATCACTCTCATGAGCTAGGAATGTAAATCCTTTAGATGGTTGGTTCAAGCATTTCATCAAACACTTCTGGTGCATGAAATGCCTAAGATCTAGAATCAACTTGATCAGAGAAGATCTAGCATTAAGACCACCAAATAAAGAAGGATTAAGCAAATCAAGTCCTAAACATCAAGGTTGACCATCAAATCTCCCTAAATCTAACTCATCCCATGAGCCTAAAGAGAACTACTCAAAAGACATGAGAAATTCGAAATTAAGAGAAACAAGATGATGATTATGATAAACTAAGATAAATAAGAAAGATTCAAAGAAGAATACTTTCAAAATCATTAAAATCAACCAAGATCTTACAAAAACGAAAATAAAAGAAAGGAGGCAAAGAGAGAGGTTTTTGATCAAGGAAAAGATCCAAGATGCCTAATAAAATTAGGTCTTCAGCTATTTATAGTAAAAGATAAGTGAACCCTTGGTCAACTCCGTCCCTGTTGACTTTGTCCTTTATGACGGTCTTGAGCAAACTTCTCAAGTGCTTTGTTCTTCTTGCTCAAGTCCTCTGGTCTGCGAATTTCTTGAACACTTCTGAGCTCTGATCAGCTTCTAGCTTCTCTGTCTTGCTCCAGTCACTACCCCAACTTGCCTCCATCTTGCTAAACGCCTAGGAAAACACTCCAAATGCAATGGAAAATGCAAAATGCTATTTAAAAGCTAAATGTTCCTAAGGAGATGAAACCTACACTAAATGGTATGAAATGAGACTCAAAGACATACAAAACCATGCAAATTATGATGCTAAATGTATGCAAATATGTTGAGTACATCAACACCCCCACACTTAGTCTTTGCTTGCCCTCAAGCAAACAGAAAACAAATGGAGAGATGCCGACTTGAGCAAATTGGTCAAGCGAATGCAGAGAAGAGAAATCAAGTCAACAACCTAGTTCCAAGGTCTAAAGCGCAAGTGAAGTGCTCTACTTCAAAAATCTTAGCCACACCCTTCAATTACAATCAATGAGATCTAGCTCAACCTAAACATGCATTCAAATCCTCCACTCCTTTTAACATTCATTAAAAACATGTAACCATGGATCAAAACTCATGCAGGTCAAGGATGCTTGTTTGGCTGAGAAAAGAATGAGCAAGTATGAATAATATGCGCTCAAGTCAATAAGATCAGGAAAGGGTTCTCTCAAAAGAATGTGAAAGAGCTTTGGCATAATGCTAAAGGCTAGAACCAACTGATGAGTACAAGGACAAATGATCATCTACCCAAAGTACCTCAACCGAATCCTAAACCTCAAAAAAAAACAACTCAAGGCTCTATTTCTACCCTTTTTCCCTTTGGTTTTGACTTTCTTTTTTTTTTGCTTTCATCAGGAGCTTTTCGCTTGGGCAGCTAAGAGGAATTTTTCCTAAGGCTTTTAACTTTACTCACAAGACTTGGTCTAGATCTTTTCTTTTCTGCCCTAACCCATCTTTCTTTTACTTTTTCTTTTCTTTCTGTTTTCTTTCTTCTTTTTTTTAGATGGGGGCTAAACTTATACAAACTAAGACCAAGCCCTTATAACCTTTTTCACTCTTGCTGCCTTTCTCTCTGCTCAAGACTTTCTTTTTCTTCCTCAAGACCCCAACCCAAAATGAATTCCCAAGCCCCATCCTAGCCTAGTCTAGTCCAAAAAGGCGTGGACTAGAGTCTACATGATCACCTATTCTTGATCCGGCCCCTGATTCGAGAATGGGCTCAGTTTTGCATTTTTCTCTACATTAGGTAAGTTCTTGTCTTACTTTTTGATTACTCAGTTCTTGCTTTGGTCAAGGGACTAACAAAGATCCAAACTTTGGCAGTTGGACTTTCAGGTTATACAATTATTCCTCCGGTTTATAGCATTTGGTTCCATTTGGTTCATATGAAGGTTATGACTTTGAAATTTATATTTTCTGATGATTTGGACTCTGAAATTTACTTATATTAACAATCTTTTTGCAGGTATAAATATGTCTGGAGGTGAAGACTCCAAAGCTGCACCTCCTCTTGAACCAGAATTAGGAAGTGGAAAATGAAGAGTTCATGTCACAGACTCACACAGGTTTGTGATTAATCTCTAAGAGGAAATGAAATTATGATTCCTTCTTGACTCAAACGTATCTTTTGCTATTTATGTGTTTGAGAAGCTTCTTTATTGTTGTTCACTCTTGAGTTAAAACATATTGAGTGAGGTTAAACTCAAGAAAACGAAGCATTTTGTTGATGAAATACTTGGTTGAACTCTAGTAAGTAGAAATGTATAGGCTGCTTCTTATCGAGATTGCATTGGAGATACATAAGGTTTTTCTGACTATGGTGATATTTTTTTTGTGTGACTATGGTTAACTCTGATGCAGTGGTAATTTCTTTGTGATCTCTGAGTCTTCAAGTTAAAATTTCTTGTTGGTAACACAAATTTATTTTCTGCAGGTGAAGACAAAGCTTGATACCAATCTTCATCAGTCGTCTAATATCAACAATGATTCAGATTTCAATTGAAATTGGTATGTTCCTCTTTTCTCTGTCTTGGTGTGTATAGTTGTGTCTCTGCTGCAAGCTTAGTTATTGTGATACTCTTAATGGATAATGATTTATTTGAAGAGAGAGTTGTACTTAAATGTTTACATGTTCTCTTCATATGTTCTTAACTTATATGGTATGTTCCTTGATCTTGCTGTGTTTTTAATTTCTGGTTTGCTGGTTGTGATTGCTTTCAGGTCAAATCTCATATATCTTATCGAGAAGATGGTGTTCTGGTGATCTCTCGAGGTTTACCTATTAGCTAAGAAAACCAGTGATCAAACTTGGTATAGATATTGTATTTATGTATGGTTGAACAAAATTTGTATACACATTGTCTTTGTATATGGTTGAACAAACTTGATCTCTCTATAAAATTTGATTGATTATTGGTTTTTGTTCAGTATATTGTGAGTTTCAATTTTTTTTTTTTTTAAATATAAAATGGTTATAGGTCGGTTTTAAAGTGACGCATACATAAGTGACGCAAATTTTCCACGTCGCTTTTGAAGCAATGCAAACTACATGTTGGTTTTAAAGTGATGCAAATAGAAGTGACGCAAACTACACGTCAGTTTTCAAAGTGATGCAAAGAAAGTTAACGTCGGCGATTGTCGTCATTTACTAAACTGACTCCAAGTTATTAGAGTCAGTTCAAAACCGACGGTAATCCACATAATAACCGACGTTAAATCCCGCGTTTCTTGTAGTGAAAAAAGCAAGAACTATGATGAATATTATTACCAAAGGCTCCATTCTAAGCAAACTCGCTGCTACATGTAAGTAATCATCCTCGACAATATCTATATTACTATATGTAGTTTCTTGCTGAGGTTTTCTTGTAGAAAAATAACGTCTTAAGTTTGTATATTGACTTGACTTTTATTAATGAATATTTGAAGCGACGACTTTAGTAGACGACTTTTGGTTCCTAATTTACAAGTACATAGTAATTAGACAACGTGTGCATGGTATTGTGGATGATCATTGAAGCTAATGTCTTTAACATTAATGAAGTTTTCATATCTATTATAAATACACATTCTAGTGTCTGGTCAATTGATATTTGCTATTATGCAGTGACTATATATCCATGTTGATTTGAAGGCCTTGAGACCATGACAATATCGAAGTTACTACACACCAATAAAGCCATTTTAGCCAAAATCTGCAAATGAGAGAGAACATGGAAATAAGTTGTGAAAATCCCTTTACAAGAACGGTAAACATTATTCTTCGTCAGTGATCCTAATATCTTTTCTCTATGTAGTTCAACTGAATACTGGTTTTGCATATGGACATTATTGTATACACAAACCAACCTCGACTTCTTCATATATCAACTGACTATTGGTTTATGCACGACGAAGTTTAATTTCAACATCTAACACCGTGTTGTAAGTTTTTCGTGACTAATCCCAATCAACTTTTTCGTGCAAAGACCCTCGTTTACAACAAGATTTCATTACGTGTAAAACTTGAGAATAATACACTTTCTTTGATGCAAATGCTGAAAATTCTTTTATTAAAAGTATATATATAACTATAGATAGTTATTTTTTCTAAGGATCTAGGTGAATTGAATCGGTCAATTGGACATGTTTCAAATTGGTTATTACGTTCAAACGGTGTGATATATTTCACACGTTCAAATTGATATAACATCCAAAGATGAGAAGAAGAGAGCGTAAGCACATTGTAGTTTTGGTCCGGTCTACATCCGATTTGGTTTGGAGTTATGCAAACCCTTGCTTTATAAGAAAATGAATAACGAAAACGATATATCGTTTTTCTTTAAATAAGAGACACTATTTTTCATTTTTCACCGTTCAATATTCGTTTTTTTTTTGCTTAAATAAAATTATGCAACTTCACACATGTATACACTTTGAAAACATTACAGGAAGAGAGTCGGAGAAGACAATGCTTCAAGCATACACCCAGAGGCCAGAGCTATTTATATTAGTAGCTCTTTTTAATAGTCACACCTCTTGATCATTAATTACTATCTTCTCCGACTAACATCTCATTATAGATTGTAAAACTAAACTAATACTGCTCACAAAGCGTTTGTAAAATTTATTAAGAACATGGAAAATGGTTATATACAGTACCTTAATCTCTTGATTTTATTAGGACTAAAACTTTAAACTTCATTCCTCCGCACCCTTAAACCAACAGATGGAGACTGCATTCCTATCAAATTGATATTGGAATTGTGCAACCGTATATATTAAGATTGGTAAATTATATGAGACTGAAGAGTGTATTTGTTGCTATTCATGTTTGATTTCAGCTTCTCATTCTGTTTAAACTCCTACTTCACAGTCTTCACTATGATCATAATCAAATCTAATAAGAATTTTTAAGTCTAGAAACCAGAAACAACAATAATACTGGTCACACACATAGCGCTATCGGAAAATAGGACACCAGACGAACTTTACAAGAAACTATACAAGTAATTCACATATAATCAACAAATTTTATATGCTTCACAAAACTAAACAAACATAAAAATACTTGGAATTATCCGAACAATAATTTTTTCCCTGGAATGATACGAAACACCGAAGCTTAGCAACCTCCTCCACCTCCACCTCCGCCTCCTCCACCTCCACATCCACCACCTCCACCTCCACCTTCTCCTCCACCTCCGCCTCCTCCACCTCCACATCCACCTCCGCCTCCTCCAATTATACCTCCGCCTATTCCAGAACCCGCCATGTCTCCCTAAATTACCCCCTCCATCACGACCACGCCCAATTTTGACCGCGGCCAAGACCACCACAAGAAGCAGAAAGACACAAAACATACAAGCAAAAACTATAAAGAACAATGCCGCGCGCTCCATCTTTAGCACACTCGCTGCTACATGTAATTATCCCCGATAATGTGTATATATATAGTTTCTTGTAGACAAATAACGTCTTAAGTTTATATTGATAAATTTGTATTGAATTGACTTTTATTTTAATCAATATTTGAAGCCTCCACTTTAGTAGACGACTTTTCCTTCCTATTTTACAACCACATACAGTTATTAGATAACATTTCGTATTGTGGATGATAATTGAAGCTAACGTCGTTAACATTACTAAAGTTTTGATATATGTATACACATTCTAGTGTCTGGGCAATTGATATTTGCTATTATCCATCTTGATTTTAAGGCTTTGGAAGTTGAGACCCTGACAGAATCCGAAGTTACTACATTCTCAAAGCCAATTTTTAGACAAAACATGTAATTGCAAATGAGAGAGATCATGGAATTTTTTTGTGAAAGTCTCTTAACAAGAACGACAAACATTATTCTTGATCAGTGATCATAATTTCTTCGATCAACTGAATACTGGTTTTGCATATCAACGACAAACCAACCTCGATTTTTTTCATCTCAATTGAATATTGGTATATGTATGAGCAATTGAGCATGAAGAAGTTTAATCTTAACATCTAACTCCGTGTTGTAAGTTTTACGTGTGGTGATTTTGGGGGACATGGAGGGTTTTGGAGTAGGGGTGGCGGAGGTGACGGAGGTTTTGGCGGAGGTGACGGAGGTTTTGGCGGAGGTGGTGGTGGTGGCGGCGGTGGCGTTTGGTGGTGAAAGTGGAGGTGGTGGAGCATATCCATTTAGTTTTTTCGAGTTTTTAGTCGATGGTAACGAACTGAGAATGTAATATCGCTTGGTCATTTAGGATTGGTGGCTTTATGGGCGTGACAAATCATTGTACTACACGTAGTATGAAGGATATGAGTTATAGATAGTTATGTTTAGTTTTGCATAGGATGCTAGGTTAGGAGTGAATCGGGATACAAGTTGGACATTGTTTCGAATTTATAGACTCGTGTTTTTTACGCGTTCCAAGATCGCGCTGTACATACTATCTCACACTTGCTCGTGCATGCAATCACATGTTCTAAAATGTTTTTAGTGAGAAGTTGAGAGCGTAATGTTACATGATGATATATACCTCTTTTGTATCCTCGGGTCTGAGCATTCCTCTCTGATGTTGGTTAAGAGAGAATGCTACGGCAAAAACTCTTGCGGTATGATTCGAGGTAAAATGAAAAAACGGTTAAGAAGAAAGCAAATAAAATATGAGAAGAACTATTTTTACAATTTTCATAGCAGAATTTCAAGATGATTACTGATCTTATTTTTTGTCGTCTTTGTCTTAAATATAAATAATATGCTAATTTACGTCTTGTCAGCTTATCAGTTGTGACCCGATTGTAAGTCTAGGTTAGATATGGATAGACTTAGAAATATTGTTTCTCTCTACATATTGTGTTGATCGTTATAAGTTAGATTCCTTAAAACGGAATGGATCGGAATATCCAGAAAATTTTCACTAATGTTTGGGTTCAAAAAAGAAAAAAGCATTTTCGTTCAGAGAAACAGAGAGAAAAACTAGTACGGTGCATGTTTGATCAGAACACGATCAGACGTTCATCCAGTTCTGACTGGATGATGGTAGAGATTTTTGTGACTCACTAATCTGATTATTTAGTGGTGGGAATTGCATTTCAAAGTTCATAACGTGTATAAAATTTAGTGGAGATACGCTATGCCAAGAGTGGCATGTTTTAAAATTCAGTGTACATTATGTTGTCTTAATTGTTTAGAAAAATTCTACAGTTAAATCTTGAATCTTTTCAGTTTGAGCATGGTACGTTTGTAGAGTTTTCTTGTTGAGTTTAAATTCGGAAATGGGATCTCCTACAGGATTCAGCTGAAGCTCCTTATTGTCTTCATCAGTTCGTCAACAAAAAGATAAATGGCCAACTTTGGACAAGGCTGGGAATATCAAGAAGGATATAGTTTCATAATATTATGTAGTCACATAAAAATAGCGGTATTTTAAAATAGGACATCAACCCAACTTCACAAGAACTACAAATAATATACATAAATACAATCGACAAAATGAGTATACACTATTCTAATCTTATATGCTTCTTTAAGCACTGAGTTTTTTCAAAGAAACCATACAGGAATTTTTCAAACATTTTACTTTTCAAAAATATGATGGGAAACACGGACGCTCAGCAACCTCCTCCTCCTCCTCCTCCTCCTCCTCCACCACCTCCACCTCCATCACCACCAAAGCCGCCACCGCCGCCACCACCACCACCTCCGCCAAAACCTCCGTCACCTCCGCCAAAACCTCCGTCACCTCCGCCACCCCTACTCCAAAACCCTCCATGTCCCCCAAAATCACCACCACCTGTTAAGCCTCCATCACCGCTAACTCCACCCATTTCCACATCTCCCCCGCCACCATCCTCTCCTCCTCCATCTCCTCCTCCTCTTCCTCCACCTCCTCCTCCATTATCACCACCACCACCACCTTTTAGCCCGCTTCTAGCCAACATCGCAAGAAACATAAAGACACCAAAAGTACAACCAAAAGCTATGATGACAATAACCCAAGTCTCCATCTTAAGCAAAACCGCTACATATAACTCTCCCCGATAAGACGTATATATAGTTTCTTGCTGAGGTTCACCTGCGGACAAATAACGTGTTAAGTTTGTATTGACTTAGACTTTGATTATTCAAATACTTATACATTCAAAGGTTTTCATTACGGGTAAAACTTGAGAAGAAGTACCGTACGTATGATACTTTCTTTCTTTGATGTCATATATGATAAATCTCTTAATAAATATCGATAGTTATATCTTTGTCTAAGGATTAGATGGTTTGACTCGGTCACTGGACTTGAATTCTAATCGGTGTGACATCTATCACACCATCTTGACCAGATCAAAACATGAGAATAGAAAAGTGCACACACGCAAGCCCATTTCAGAAATTTATTCCATTAGTCGTCTCTCTTGAATTTCTTCAGCATATTGAAACTGTGATAGCTTCTTCATCTTTGAATTTTTGTGATAACATTACGGTGGAATGTTCTCTACGCAATATTTATCATTTTCAGGCTTCAATCTTGCAATCTATCTACGTCAAAATAAAAAAACAACATTAAAAGCAACTAAAGTTGGGAATCTTGGACCAATAAACCATAATCTTAACCATGACATAAATTTAGTATTAAATAATTTCCCGATCTTATCATATAACTAAATAAACGGCACTGCGCGAAGATTCTTAGAATAAACTTACATTTAATTTTCATTAACCTCTCTCTGTCTCTCTCCTCATTATCCAATTACACCCAATCAAATCTTTTTTCAACCCGACGGGTCGTAAAATTCCAAAAGATTCCTCAAATTATACTGCGACTTGTCTCAGCTTAATTCGGAGCTCCGAGACCTGAAATCTCTCTGTTCACACGATCATCTCTAGATTCTCGGAGCCGGTTTTAGTTTGTCGGAGGAAAAAATGGCTCAGTCTACGGCGAGGACCGGTCGGGTGGTTGGCGACTACTTGGTGGGTCGACAAATCGGTTCCGGTTCGTTCTCGGTGGTTTGGGAGGCGAGGCACCGCGTTCAAGGCACCGTGGTCGCTATCAAGGAGATCGCTATGGGGCGGCTTAATCAGAAGTTGCAGGATAGTCTCATGTCTGAGATTTTCATCCTTAGGAGGATCAATCATCCCAACATCATCCGTTTGCTCGACATGATCGAGGTTTGACTCTCATTTTCTAGCTCGACATGATCAAGTACTCATTTAAACACCAAAAGTGTCAATTTTTTTCAGCTAAGTTGAATTTTGCTTCTGCTCTCTGTTTCTGGGTTTTGTTGAGTTCTGTTTAGTTTCGTAGGACAATTAAAACGAGAAAAGTCAGGACTTTTAGCGGCATTCTGAGTTTTCTGTTGGAAAGTATGATCTAGAAGGAAGATTGGACTACATGCATGGAATTAAGCTTGAAATGTGGAAGAAAGTTGAGTTTTTTAATGTTTTGGGGAAATTTTATGTAGTCTCCAGGGAAGATAGATTTGGTGTTGGAGTATTGCAAAGGAGGTGATCTCTCTGTGTATATTCAGAGTCATGGAAGTGTCCCTGAAGCTACTGCTAAGCATTTCATGCTGCAGTTAGGTAAATTACTTTGACTCATATACTCTCTGTTTCTTTCCTTTTTTGTTTTTTGGTTGATAGAGTCATGTTCTTAGTCTCAAGATGGTTTTTGTTATGTAACAGCGGCCGGTTTACAAGTTCTTCGTGACAACAATATTATTCACCGCGATTTAAAGCCTCAGGTGTGTTTGATTCTCATTCCTTTGAATGGTGAAAGGATGCTGTTTTGAAGGGTCCAAGCAGAGATAGAGTCTTAAAGAGTTTACATCTCTGTTGAAGTTTTAATTGCTAAGGTTGTTTCGTTCTTGAAACAGAATCTTCTTCTATCCACAGATGACAATGATGCAGATCTGAAGATTGCTGATTTTGGATTTGCAAGGTATTGTCATCAGCACCCCTTGTTACTAGATCAAAGAGTGTTATATGAGTGAAATGGGCTCGAGCTGCTTTTGAATGTATAATATCGAGTCGTAGGTAATTTATATTCTTTTCTTGGGGATTCTCTCTTAGGACTTTTTAGTTTGCATTTGAACATCACACTTTTCGTTATTGCAGATCGTTGCAACCTAGGGGACTTGCAGAAACATTATGCGGTTCACCATTGTATATGGCCCCAGAGATTATGCAGCTTCAGAAGTATGATGCAAAGGTGAGACCTTTATCTCACTAACCTACCTAAACCTTTCTCTTAGTGTGGTGATCTCTTTACAAACTAGCTGAAAACACAGGCAGATCTCTGGAGTGTTGGTGCTATCTTATTTCAACTTGTTACAGGCAGAACCCCTTTCACAGGAAACAGCCAAATTCAGGTTTTGTACTCTGTCTCACAGATTTCTGTAATATGTAAGTGTTTGTAGTCTGGTGCATAAAGCTAACGTATTCTCGATCTCGTATTCACAGTTGCTCCAAAACATTTTAAGATCAACTGGATTAAATTTTCCAGCGGGCTGTAGAGATTTAAGTTTGGACTGTATAGATCTGTGTCAGAAGCTACTGCGCCGTAATCCAGGTCAGCATTAGACTAATGTTTCAGTCTAAGACTGTCTAAACTTCATAAGAATAGGAGTTGCAGATTTGTCAAGCACTTGGAGTAGTGATTTAAATAGCTTATGGTCCTACTCTCTTTGTATCCAATGCTATTACAGTTTCATTCTTGAATATATTGTCTTTTGCAGTGGAACGTTTGACATTTGAAGAGTTCTTTAATCACCCTTTTCTTTCGGACAAGCAGTCATATGATTTCTCAAGGTATATGTGTGCTAGTTGGTAGTTGCGGTGGATAATGCTTTTCTTCTTCTTTATGCAAACATTTGCACTGATGAAAGTATTTGATCTGCAGGAGTAGATTAGATTCGGGAACAATGGATGGTATTTTTTCTTCTGGAAGCAGTCCGTCGAGAAACATGGAAGAAAGTTCTCAAGAAGACTGTTTGCCGTTCCTCTTAGACGATGATTCCAGTGGACCTGAGGGTAACCTTTCGATGAAGTCGTCCTCTGGATTTAACATTGATGCCAGAGTTGAGAGAAGAGAGACGGAATCTAGTCCTTTGCAATGTACAGAACTTACTTCCAGATATAGTAGAATCAACCAGGGAGCGGAAACCAATAGATTTAGCTATGAAACTCAGATGAATTCTGATAGGAGAAACCATGGCGAACCTACAAGACTGACTGATTCCAGATCTATCCCTAAGGGAAGAGGTACATTGATTCTCTTCTATTTGCTACGTCCTGGAAATATGCAAAGCTTTCTTGTTCGGCTTTTCTCACATATGTCAGTGTTGCAGTAGATGATTCTCAAGACTCAATGGATCAAGACTTTGTTCTTGTATCTGGACCACCAGTGGATATGCCATCATCTTCATCGAGTTCTTCGAAGGCTTATAATTTCCCATTCAAGTCTCAGTCTCCTCCTGTAAAGTTGTACAATAGAAGCATAAGTTCAACAGCTCCCATGCCAATAATTGGTGCTACTGGCAACAACATTGGCCGCTTTGGAAGTTTGGACAGTCAGAATTCTGCTCCGAGCACTTCTCATGGGTCTCTGGATCTTGTGGATGCTTTTGAACAGCCATCGAATCACAGCCTGGCAAGAATCAGGTCTCTGAAGAAATGTGCAGCAACAATTGCTGAATTAGTTCATGAAAGGGTAAAACCAAACTTCACACTGTTTATAGATAGTCATGTGGTTATCATCACCGTGCCATCATGAGTTTTCTGAGCAGTTTCTTGTCGTGATTCTTTTGCATAGATAAAATCTGACAAGCAGCTAGAAGCTTTCTCGATCCAATTGGCGATTCTGGCAATTTGGAAACAGGCAATGCACATATGCCATACTCAGGCAATTTCAGACTTGGAAGGAAGTCCAAGCCAAGACATTAACAAACTAAGAGGAAGTAGCAGCCTAAAACACGATACTCAATATTCTGATCTCAGCCATGATGGATCGGAGGAGATATCCTCTCAGATTCAAAGGCAATTTATCCAGGAGATTGAGCTGGCTGAAGAACTTGCTAATAGTATCAATCCTGGTATGCTTCTTTTCCCAAAAACAAAACACTTCTGTTTGTTTTTTCGGTATTCAAGAAAGATCTTTAAAGTTTTCCTTTACTTAGGAAATACACAATTGCCGGATGCAATGGAGACGATATTTCAAGCAGCCCTTGATCTTGGAAAACTTGGGGGAGTAAGTTTCTTTTGCATTTTTCCCAAAGAATCTGATGAGCAATCCAGAACTAAAATATCAGTTAACTTAAGTGTATGCTCAATTCCATTATTGGCTGTGGAAATTTTCTGCAGGTTCTTGAGGTAATGGGAGAGATAGAGAACGCTGGAAACCAATACTCTAAGGCGGTGCGTTTGCTGGTATTCCTTCTAGTAGAAGCACCAATGCTGATTCTGAATCCGCCATTGTCCCTCACAAACTCAGTCAGGTATCGTCTCCGATCATATATCGACATCCTCAGCAGAAGATTGAAACATCTGCAATCACCAAGAAGAAGTTCAGGTGCTCAGATGCAAGGATCATCAGTAGCCATGATGAACAAACAACCATAAAATTTCATTCACTTGGTTTGGGTTTCTCTTGTTTCTTCTTCTGTTATTTTTTGTTTTATAAAAAGAGAAAAAGAGAGAGAAAAAAAATGTATGTATATGTACAGAAAATTCATGTATTCTTATTCTTTTGGGGATCTGTAGACGTTGAGGGGATATGATGATGTGTGTGAGATGGATGTTGTAACATTTTTCTTTGTTCTTTCTAGTTTGATCCTAGTCATTTGTTTTTTTTTTTTGTTTGATACCAAAATTTGTCATGATGATTCGCAAATTCACCATTTATTTTATTTGAAAAAAGTTACATTAGACTCAAAGTCTTACCAAGCAATTTTCAAATATTACACCTTATGCAAATCGAAGTTTGCAAGTACTAGAAACTAGAAAATAATCAATCTTCCGC